CTGAAAACAAGTGCTGTGGTATTCTAACACCTAATACTCTTTGTCTATTCATACTACGTCACATGTACCAAGCATACTGTTGTTAAATCGAATAACAGGCAATAAATGTATTAACTGCAACTCGCCCTTAATGCCTCTAGTACTGCAGGAGTTTACTAGCTGCGGTAACAACCACTTACAATCAGGGACGTACCATATGCTTATTTGTCACCGCAGCGATATGTAAAAGTTTATTGAGTTTACTAAACCGCTGGTTATATGGATGTAAAAACCACTCAATAACAATGTATGTATATCTACAGTATATAAAACTGTGTTGACACACGAGACATAGGCGGGAGATTGATCGCTGATCACCGAAAATGAAGATTTATCACGCCACTGCGGCCGAAGTTAGTTACGAATAAACGAACAAATTATTTGATGCCTTAGTCTCATCAAACAATAAGCTGATGTCAACGATGCTAAACCCTGGCATTATTGACTACTCACGCATCGGTACTTGCTAGGGTTGGTTGGTTAATACAATGGTTCAATGCCTTGTCGTAACTTTAATGGGATTGTAATATATTTTTGACAGGCAGATAGGCATGATATGTTATAAAGTATAATCGGTGATAAATAGTTAATTATCAAGGCAATTATTTTATTTTATTAACTTTGCTAGTGTAAAGTAAAGGTTTACACATATTTTACAATATTGTTTGACCGTACAGTTATGGCGGGTTCAATATCCGCCCATTACAAACAACCAATGTTAGTATTTATATATCTGTTTGAATTGGTCTTGACACTTTCTGTATGTATAAATAAAAAAAAAAAAAGTAAATATACTCGCGAAAGGATATATAAGCAGTTATAAAGATATTTGTTATCTGTTACCATTGAACTCAATATTTGAATACAATATTGTAAAACGCGAGCCTACCGCCGTCAGATGGATTAGTTTGGTTTGTTAATGGTGTTTTAATCGCCGGAAAGTAAAAATGTATTTAACTATAACTATCAGTTAAAAACGTATTTAACTCTAGTAGCCGCCCAGCCAAGTTTTGATTAGACTAGGACTAGAGAATGGTGTGTGATAAGTGCCAGACAATTTTTTGTTATGTATGTAGCTAGTGATTATAATAAAAAAATATAATATTAAACGAACATTTGATTCTCCAACCCTAGAAAAGACTTGGCGTGACATATAGTAAATTAGTTTTTACCTGCAACTTTATCCACATGACTAGGACAAAAATAACTATATAATAAATAGTACGTATATACCTAATTTCATGATCATTGGTTGAATTGTTAAGGCGCCAAGTAGTAAGAAACTAATAAATTCAGTTTCAATTTAATATTATTAGTAAGGATGTAAAATGATGACACACAACCTTGTTCTATTTTGAATAGAAAATGTGAACTCTTTGTAGGTTACCAGCAAAATGGGTGGTAATTACCACCTAATCTGTTGGTAACAACTCTCGCTCATTTGTTACACTTTTGTTGTATGTTCGTATTGTCATTCGTTGTGTAAAGAAGTCTTTTCCAGATCCCATTACTCGCTCTTTAGTGAATAAAGACGTATTTTTGTCATGTTACCTTATGATACTCGTAATATAATATGCGTATGCTAGTATATACTTACAATGAAACATGGAGAGAAAAAAATCAATAATATTTGACTCGCATATTCTAATACAGTATATTTTTTTTCTCCCTAAACCTCTATTTTCATCGTGACCAAATGACTAACACGTGAGTGAATGCTTTCAAAACTATTATGGTAATTGGTTCAAAATTATGGAAGGCTATAAATATTGGAAAATAAAGATTTGATGAAAATTTGTAAAAATTTTTTTTTATTTAATCACGCTTTTTCAAGTGTCATTTGTAAAAAAATTGGTTTATTGATAGACCATATTCCAGATTAAAACAAGCAAATTTTTATTCGACCATTTCATGCGACCAAAGCCGCGGGATACAGCTAAATATGATGTACTCATAAAAATATATTCTATATTTTTTTATTAAAGGTTTGATGTCTAATAAATATATAAATCCCTCAGTACACTCCGGAAAATATGTCAAACAAAGATCCAAGCGGGAACCTTCGTATTGTTTAAGTACTTTATTGGCTTTCCACCAGACAGGAAAACCTGTGAAATACAATAAAACACACCGCAACGACGAAAGTAACGTAAACAGTTTTTACTTGTTTTCGGTAAAATTTTAATGTACTTGAGAGATACAATGCTATTCATATTTTCCATCCAATTTCACATACAATAACAACCATAGACGCAGTGTAAACTTAAAACAACAATGAATGTAGCCTTTACCTTCAAAAAGGGTCGTGTTACATAAATTTAATATTGTTGTGGATTGCCAGTATTCAAATTAGTCAAACCAGTGAACAGACACACAGAATAATATAAGATATACGCTTAAAAAGGTATATAGATGATGGGCATACGAGTACAAATGTAGATTTTCAGAATAATAGATAAATGACCAAACAGACAAATAGTCGGACAGATAAAATTTCTGTTTCAATTCTCTAGGTATTTAAAATGTTCTAATCTGGCTTATCAACGACTTCAAAGAAAAAAGAGATGACATGATTTACGAGATGTTTTCGTCAATTATTAATCGATTTAGATAATTACTATTTGTTGAAAAAGGCAAGATTTATTTCCGTTCTTTTTCCATTTTAAATATACAAAACAAAAACGAACGAATTCACAGTTTAATAATGGAAAAATCTTAAAATATTATAATAAAAATAATTAAATATATAGTATGTCCGACTTCGCACGGGTAGTAGAGCATATATGCTTACATTTTTTGCATCAGCTTGATGCGTCAAATAAGATTGGTATAATAAGGTATTCTTAAAAAATAGATATATGTCATTGTTGACTTCTTTGTAGACTTATAAAAAAAACAATCCCACCTATTATGTTATTTTGTTATATCTCAAACTGATTAAGCAGTGCTCTCGATGAAAGCTGTCAGTCTACTTGATTTAAATATCTTAAACAGTTATCGTCATAAATCAACAAATTAATACAAAACAATATTTAACTATACGTATGAACCTTCCATAGCATTCATTTAAGTATTCATTCATATAACTGTATAGACGGCGAGAGAGATTACTATAGGAATAAATAGTTACTCTTATGGTATTATTTAATATATTATAAGGATAAATTCTCGTACCTACCGACATGGGATATATTACCGGATGCTCTTTGAACGGTTTTCTATTTTATAACTAACGTGCAGGAAATCAAACAGTATTATGTTTATGTTAGTTATATATGACATACGTCGCGTGATCGCGTCCACCGTAAATTCAATAAAGATAAAAATTGTACCTCACAATATTTATAATACATTGTTATATCAGTCGGACACAGCTACGTCTAGCGCGGAAGTGGACATTGCATGCGAACATGTCCTATACACCCAATAGGTAAACAGTATACTTAGGTATACTGTTTACTGCCACATACTTCCTACAGATTTTTCAAAATTGTAATAATACTATTTTATTATGCTATATGCATTATCATGGATATACTTACGATACTTACTTATAAGTAAGATGTTAAAATACCAAATTAAGTTTTTTATGTGTTTACAATATATAAGAGTCCATAATCTACTCGTATGTCTATCTTGCTTATCGCTGTTATATGTTCATTATAGATACCTTAATAAATTCGACTATAAAGTGTCATTGTCTAAACCAAAATCTGTAAAAACAAAATTGTAAATTTTAGTGTAGCGATAATATTGTTATGGAATATTGTGAATTAAATGTGTAGTAAGTTATCCCAAGTCAAATCTATTATAAATTACTTCATATTGGATCATTAAATATAATCTCGCTGTAATATCAAACTGAAAATTTTGTTTTATACATAGATAATGGTGCTTCATAATCGATCTCATTGGTAGCTAATCGTATGTCTAATATGATTCAATTTAACTAACAACTCACACTCTTTATTAATGTCTTTAGAAACGTGAAATCTTACATAGAAACATACAACATGGTTGCACGCTAACGCCCTTATTTATAAAAATGTCTAACCTCCCATAAGTCTATTTCTGCTTATGAACTGTTTTGTCTCTTTCTTTTAAGTTAAATATTCAATTTGAAGAAAATTGACAAACAGTGTAATAGTTAATATAGATTTTAGTTTTTATAAATAAGGGGGTAAGAATAGATTTTTGAAAATTCATTCCCCAAAAACGATGATTCATCGGAATAAAGATTGTTTCTTTTAGAAAATTTTATATAGGATTTGCGGATTGAAAAATAAATAAGATAAAAGCTATGAATAGCGTCTCTTATGTTGAAAGCTCTACAAATGCTCTACTTTGAACATGAAATGAGATTCGTCTCTGTTGAAAAACGGATTGTCTGCTCCCAGTTTAAGAACCTGATAAACCAAGATCAAATAAATTTTGCTCGATACTTCCTGTGTTAGTAAATTTGTTCAGCGACTTTTGAAGCAGATTCTAGATTAGAGTTTTATGTCGAAAGTCCGACTGATTCATTAAGTTCTGGGTAGAATGTAGCTAATCCTATAACGTCTCACTCACTATATCTATTGCCGTAATAATATAGCGAGTGAGATTCGTTACGGGAGCCAAATAGTAAATCCTAGTATTCCGAGTGAATTGAAGCGAAATAAAAATTAAATTCGGTCGTATACCAAGTCGTTTCGTATCAATTTAATTGTTAATTGAAAAATTTTATTCTCCCGTACTAACTTGACAGTGGGATTTGTTTAAACCATTCTTTGGAAAAAATGTTTAATTTGCTAGTAGAAAAGGAGAGTAATGATTTTAATATTGTCCTATATACTTACGATCATATGGTAGATAATAGGTGCATATTAATGTAAATGATTTTAATTAACTCTGTGTATATCCTGATATACATATGAATATAATATATTCTAACTACATACTCGTTAATGCCTTTGTTCCAGGTAACAGCATAACTAGCGGGGAGGACATCGATCTCAAAGCGCCACCGCCATTTTTCCACGAACCCATCCGACAAGAGAAGGTTGGTTGAAATGGTCGTAACAAGCATTTACAAATAAACCATTCTACTTGTAAATGCCCTGCAATGCCCGGTAGTATCCAATTCTCCATTTAGCCTTCCCTGTTTTATTTGTGCGAATTCTTTGCTTCCTTTTTATCGTTCCTTTACATTTTAGGATAGCGCACTCAGTTCTACCTTAAATTAATGAGGACTTTTATTAGCTATTAAACAGTTCGTTAAGCAGATTTAACGTAGACAAATATTTGTGTCTTTGTAGGAAACCTATTTCGAGTTGAATCTACTTTTGATGAGACTATATATTGTTTATTTGCTGTCTTTTTTTCTTAGTTTGGTACATTTAATTGAATAAGGTGTCCAGTCCTTGCTAAAGGGCGGCGGAACACCTGAAATGAATGTTTATATGATTATTATACGTTTTTAATTGATAGAAAATCTTTTTTTGCTCCAAACTAATACGACAATACCATTTAAGCTATTGATTAACCCTTTAAACGTTTGTTTACGTTAATTTTATTTAGAAAATTAAAATTTACCAAAAACTATTACGTATAAACTTTTGTCACTAAGTGGTTTCAACCACAACAACAATTTAATTACAAGGGTTATTCACAAATTCCAACGTAAAGTTATAAGCTCGGTTTACACGTGTGATGCAAACCCCTAGCATTTAGCAAATACTAAACATGTGGATTGTGGATATATTGCAACGTTTGCCGTAAATTGCATTTAATTTGGGCATAGAGATCGATTCGACGACAAATAGCGTTCGTTTACGCAAGTAGACACATACCATGATAGATATCATGTCTATCGTGTTTATAGATTCAATTCGTGCATTAGCAAGCATGTAAATCCAACATTATATGTGAATCACGCGTTGACCACAAAAGCGGTTCAGCAAAGCGTGGAACCTGTGCAAGTAAGCTCGGCGAGCGGTGTTATCAATTTTATTCCGCTACGTCGCTTGGCTACAGCGCTCCTGTCCTTCATTCCTATTCCTCGCTTCGCTACCTCGCTTTCACGTTTGAAAATGTAGTGAATAGCCCTCTATCCTATAAAACCCATGTCCATCAGATATGTGCTACGCGAGGAACAGTAAATAAATCGACTTCGAACTTATTGCTGTACTTTATTCTTAATCAGCTTCAAAGAGGTTCTCAATACACCTGTATTTTTGTACCTTACTTAGTTCAAAAGGAATTTTAATATCTTTCTCTTCCTGTTATCTATAGGGTTGTTAATTTTGTCACGATTGAAGACACTGTTTTTATGGAGCAATATTTTGCTTGTCACATCCACCCATCTGCCTTTGACACACAATTCCGCCTTCCAAATACAAATATTTTATATCTAATGTTTCTATTATCCTGTTTGTCGTATCCATCCATATGCATTTGACACACAATTTCGCGTTCCAAATTCAAATATTTTATATAGGTATCCTTCTAATATTATAAATATGAATGAATCTTACTAAAATGGCTGATCGGATTTGAATAAAATTTATTAAATACTTTATATACTAATTCATGTCGGCAAAGTCACGGGAAATAGTGTATCTATAAATCAGTGCGTTTAATTATTGTAAAATATATATAAAAATAAAATATAATGAATGAAATAGCAAATTAATACTAAAAGATAAAAAAGAAAATCACAAATTATTTGACGACTTCAAAAAAAGGAGGGGTTTCTCAAATCGGTTATATTTTCTTATCTCAGAATTCCCTTATTTATAAACCGATTTAGTAAATTCTTTTCTATCTGAAAGGACCCTTTCAGATTGGCACTATAGAAACCTCATCAAAATCGGTTCAGTAGTTCGGTTTTTAAATCGGTTTTTGTAATTGGGTTTGCCAAGATTGAAGTCGATGCAATTTTTTTTTTGTATTATTTTGTGGAATAAAATCTACTGTTTATTGTTCTTTTTATATCTATGTATATTGGATACTAATGATAGTGACAGATTAATGAGAAAAGGTATTAAGTAATAGCAAAGTACTAACAGCTATTTGTTTGTACGTATTCGTCTACATACTCGTATATAGGAAAACGTGATGAAATCCTCTTGGATAACCGCCAGTGCAATGCAGAGACGCTACGACAATCTCGTTCTTCACGACTATAATACTATATTACATAAATCATTTCCCGTTCGATTCCCATACTAAATAGTTTTCTAAATTAATTCCACTGTGGATTATGTCACTTATTTGCTTAGTCTGTGCCCGAATTGTGGTACGTGTAGTAATTGCCATGTTTATGAAATTAAACCTTATATGCTATTAACACAAGGTTTCGTTTCGTTAGTACGTCAACTCTGCTGATATTCAAATACTTCATCATAATCAAATAGTTTTAATTGAATGTGTCAATCTTTGACACATTTGATATTATGTTACCTAATTGGAATCATTGATTTTATAATGGCCCCCTCCATTGTAATGTCAATGAAGAATACAATACGAGAATTTTAACATATGCCAATTTAAAAAACAACACCAGAACAAACGAAAAAATATTTCGCAAATATAGTTGAGCCATTAATGTTAATATATAGATGATAAATAAAAATGGAATAATATTGTTTACGAGGATTCCCTTAATTAGTCTAACTACTCTTTTTTTCGACTTCAGTTGAATCGAAGTATTGTTTTTTTTCGTAATGATGGTTTAGAGGTCAAATATTATTAACCTAAACACAGAATCCCGTCACACTAACAGTGCTGTTATTGGCCTCATGCTCTTTTACCATTTAACCGTCAGGATTAAGTTTAGAAGATGAGACATCGGTTGAATCGTAGTACTATTCGTCAATATTGAATAGATAGTGATTTGTCATTTTAAAAATTAATGAATTAGGACCTAGTTTACATATATACCTTGTCTTTAGATAATTATATTTCCAAATAATATATTATTCTTGTCCGTGTACGAGTATATTACTTTCACATTGGAAAGTACTCCAAAGTAAGATCCAGTGGAATTCGAACCCATATTTCTCCTTATTCCTTTCATGGTGTAAGTGGCAATATATTATATTAAAACACTCAGTCCGGACATTTACTCGTATCGTTATTTATCAGATTATATTGTGAACTAAGATCATTATAAATAAGGCACTAAATAAGGCACTGATTGCTCATTGTACTTAAAACCATGTAGAATCGAACAATTGAAGACATAAATGGGCGAAGATGGTAAGCCGCATTTTCAGATTTTTTCTATTGTATGAATGAATATTAACAACTATAAGTTATAGTAATCAAGTGTAAGTATAAGTTATGTTAGTATGCACATAGCACCTCTTAACACCTCCATCCAGGGAGGTATGAAAGGGCTAGCGGCCCCATTACTAACAATATACCTTGTCAGGTGGACTGCCACGCGTTTTCCCCTGGAAACCATGGTGGTTAATTCTTAATTAATCACAATGGGCCAACTGACTTGCTGTCATCCTTACCTATCATCCCTCACTGGTGCCCCACCAGCATATACTGTTAGCGCAGACGGGGTTACCATTCTATTATCCTTAGTTAAAAAAAACACCTCTATCCATTCATAAAATAGCCAAAATCCGAAATTGTGACGTATCACCTTCATCCATTCGTGTCTTCAATTATCTGCGTCTAAATGAAGCCAATATGCAAATATTTTTCTCTTAAATAAAATAAACACTATCTCGGTAGGTATTTGACCTGCCTTTATCAACGTTGAGGATACACGATCGATAACAGTTATTACGTTGCAAGTAAAGAATAGCGTAGTTGTTTTCTTTATTGTTAAGTCTTACTAGTAGACTCTAATTACATTAAGTGCTACTGCGAATTACCTACGCCTATTAAACAAGTACAATCACGTGTACTCTTAGATTATATAGATAGAGTGTCCACCATACAAATGCTTCGACAAAAACAGTTAACTTATTTATTTATGTGTGCATGAATAGGATTACCATAACATATATTTATTACTCGGTATAGGTATGTGAGAAATTACATTATAAAATTAAATAAAAAATTAAATATTTTTTAAAGATAAATTCTTTGAGATTTTTGAGGCTGACAAGGTATCTAGGAGATTTGCTGCATTTCCACGCTTAATAGCTATGAAGATGCTTTTATTTATGAATATTTTTCAAATATATTCACAAGGTAAAAGGTCTTTACTGATTCCTTTGATATATTTCCAATAAAAATTCCGTAAAATATGTTTTTCTTTAAAAATCATAAAAAATATTTTTATAAATCCATGTATATTAATTTCTGAGCAATATTTATATATGTATATTTATATTATATCAGAAAATATAATTTCCGATACAAATTTAATAAATCGACCTATTCAGCGAAATTTTTATACAAGTTACTTGTAACACTGAAAAAATTACATGTTTTGGTTTTAAAAAAATGTAGGCAAATTGAGTCAGCCAAATATCAATTTAGCTGACTAAACGTTAACTCGTTTTTGACACTCGATGAGTCTATATAATCTAAGGCAAGTAGTATATAAATGTATAATTATATGTTGAATATGTTTAATTTACTAAACATATTCAACATATAAGAAATTTAGTTTTATAACCCATGTCAAAAAAAGAGATTACCTATTCGACCATATTCTTTGTGTATTGCACTAAATCTTTATCAATTCTGAACTGAACTGATTCATTCCCTGAGTTTTTAATTAAAAATGAAGAGTCTCTTTTCTTGCTGATGTACAAGTTTTAATGAAATTGTGTTAATGTGTATTGTACGCTTGAACTTGTGAACATAGTTTTTATCCTGATAACAATAAATGAAGCTGCCAGGTGGCGGTCCATAAAATTACTGTTAGTATTTATTAATAGTCTCAAATAATTCCTAGAACAACTTTTTATATTAACAAAAATTTAAAAAATAAATTTTAATTATTGACTAAAAAATTACCTGCATCTGTACCTACGGTACTAAACAATAATAAGTATAAACACACGTTATGTATATATATTTAATAAAAAAAATATTTATGATTTTAAAAGTTTAATGTATTTCAACGCTTCTCTAAAGTTATAATGAAATATTCGTTGGTATTATTAATAATTTTATGTGACCATTATACTATATTATTGTACTGTTATTTTATAGTAATGTTATAAACAGAATGGTGTTTAATAAATTCCCTTTGTTGGTTTAAAATGTGGCAGGGTAGGCACTAGCCGCTTTATATTGTACATTACGAGAGTGTACATTATAGAATTGTTATATCTATTATTAAATCATGATATCCCACTACTGGCCAAAGGGTCTTCCCATCTCTTTCTAAAAGTTCCTATTCTACGCCATCTGGTTCTGAACATAAATAAAGCATGTCCTTTCTTTCATTCGAGTGTCCTCAGGAATAACAATGCATGACGGTTGCTATGGGTGGCAGTCTTTTTTATGATTACCATGGCATTATTCATATTTATATGCGACGGTTACCTCTTTCTATGTATTTGGCGGTTCATTCGAACTTTCATAAAAAGCCCTTAAAATATCAAGAGATAAGAAATAAACAAACTCACTTTTACATTTGTAATATTAGTAAGGATAATGTTTATTAATAGGAGCGTTTTGTTTCATGTCCGCAGGCTAATCTAGAACAATGTCCTGTATTGAAGGAGAGCGCAGCGGACATCGACACCGTTTCCATCTACCCTTCTTTTGAATTTCAAGTAAGTTTATTATAAATTTTCTACTGATAGCTGTTCAAAATTAACCTTTTTTCATACAATGACAATTGTAGATTTTTATAAAAAAGAAAATTTATAAACAATTGGAATAAAACAAAATATATACAATACAGCAAGTCAACAGACGGCAATTTTATTTACAATTAATATAAATAATAATATATACATACAAAAACCAGCATATTCGACAAACAATAGCGTTTTACTCTGGTCAATAATATGTAATTTTAATGAATATAGTAGTTAAAGTAGTATAAATGTGTGATTACATTCATATTTATATTTTTAATGACTGAAAATGGAACGGAAAACCTGTTTGCGCCTGTTTCCGACATTATAAACTAATTAATTTATACTACAGGCAGGGTACCAGTGAGGGATGATAAATGATGGTTTAAGAAGGACCGCGCATAGGTATATTGTGATTGTTGAGGCTACTCACAGTTACCACCCGTTACGAACAATCCCCTTCCCTATACATATATATTTACATCTATTTGAATCAGGGGACCAGATTGTCAGTATCTTATCAGGGATATGGCGCGTGATATGGTATATATTATGTTTGTTTGTTTTGTGTTTATGTCGATTCAATGAATTAAATGCAAACACCGGCGCAAGTAAAAAATTTACACTTAATGCATAAAGTACACTACTTGAGTTTGTTGATATTGCAGAAAAATTCAACTTTACCATTTTGTAAATCCAAACTTTCGTGAGAGTAGACACATTTATTTTATATACAAACAATTCGTTTTAAAATTTTCATATTCAGATTTACTTTTCGTTATTTCATATCGCAGTGGGTAATAAAATTTAATTAATATTACAATCACACCAACAATTTCTCAGTTTTAATTACAGGGGCGATTTAATAGCGAGAGAAATAATACTTTCGAGTATGGCACGAGGTGTACTACATTGCAAAAACTAATTATTTTCTTCAAATGAAAGCTTTATAATTCGTGAAAGAAATTTGTCGTAAAAACATTACAATCACGTAATGTAGACATTAAATGTAGGTGTTTTCTTTAGATAATAAGTTTTTTGGAGCGAGGTTACGAATGAAATTAAAATATATTCATGCATACTCGTACTCAAGATCTGTATGACTGTTTATTTATAATGACCTAGTTTCTCAGAAAAGAGTTAGATTTCGAAACGTATAAATTGTCTAAGAGCGTCAACTGTAATAGGACTTTTTAAATATAGGACTCACCAAATATTTATGTAAATAAAATTGCTTTATTTAGTGACTTTTTATCATGTACATAATATAAGGGCGATTCATATGAACAACTTTACTGCTAGACGCGTCATGTTATTTCACTCTCCTTTCTTTTGGGAAAAATATCTAGTTTATCTGTTAGAATACTACTTTCTATTAATTGTGATTTATAACTCTAGAAACAAATTCTAATATATCGATATTGGAATTGTAATGTTTCACACTCTCGAAATGCAATATTTGTGACATAATAGTTCCATACTATACTGATGAATGCATATTAATGCAATTTGCCAATGCAAAATATTGCAAACTGATGCCAATTTTAGCTTAATTCCTAATTGTTATTTCACGAGTGCAGTACAGAATTGTCATTGCCATTAGATTGAATTCGTATCGATATTAGATTCAAGAGTAGGCCTGCTGGTCTGATGAAAAAGAATTATTCTTATCTTAGTAATGTAATCATCTTACTGATATATTATAATAAAATTACAACTGCACGATATCTCTATATTTAAGAAGAATTAATATTTGGGGTTTTAATAAGACCAATAAATGCCAAAACAATAATTCTTAGAAAATTTGTTTTTCTGTCAGTCTATCCGCTTGTAAATTTGTCCACGCAAAAACTAGTGCATAAATTGAATGCAGTTATCCTGCAGGTATTTCTGAAGATTTAACTTAAAAATCTGGTAAATATATGTTTTATTTTGAAACATCATCAGAAGTGGTCTATTTCATTAGTTTTCCTACTTCTAAGTAATATACAAAATAGTGGACAAGAAACTAGTAATCTATTAATTAATTCCATTAACTAATTACTTAATTAAAACAATTCAATATGATTTATTTTTTCTTCAAAAGGCACTAAGAAACTAACAGTAATTGCACAAATTGGGTATCTAGGAGAAAATTTCGAGACCTGTTTTAAGAGAAAACAGTAATCATATATCTATCTAGTTTTCAGATAAAATCGGACTCATTGATCATAAATGTTCATAAAATTGAACAACATTCCTGAATGAAAATGAGATGAAATATGAAAAAGTATAAATACTATTTAATAATATACATGAAAACGACTTTTGAATCTTTCATATTGAATCAATCTCAAAACCTAACCATTGATGATACAAATAAAAAAAAAATTGTTTTCATATATCCATATCATATCGTTTGGGAAAGTAGTCTCATGCTGTCGTTGGATTTTGGACCCAGGATATTTATTAGACTATGATTATTGATGAACTATTTTCTATTTTTTTTTTGTTTAAACGACCATTGTACATTTAGGTGTATCAAGCTTGTTAGTTGGATAGCAATATCGCAGTCTAAAGAGCTTCCATTAGTTACATAAGAATTATCGATGATCCCAGGCTTACAAGCGATATCGAACCCTAAAATCTTGAGAGAGATTTTGCCTCACTCTACGTGTTCTATTGCTCGTACAAAGGAATGTGCACAAAGGATTTGTTTAATATGATGCCACGGCCATTTTCAAACATCGTACAACGTCATCGACGCCTGGATGGTCGCGTATAGCGCGGTTTCAGAGATATTTTCTCCCACAAACGTTCCGGTTATGGAATGAACTCCCTGTCGAGGTTTTTCCAAGAGACTACAACATGGAGTTCTTAAAAAAGGGCTAAAGATGTTGACGACAGAGGCATTACGCGCACCTTACCGATAACGTGCGGTAATGGCTCTGGTATTGCAGGCGTTCATAGCCTGCAGTAACCGCTTATTTCAACGCATCAGATAGGCCGCTTGTTTGCTGTGGTATAAAAAAGTATCAAGACGTCCCGGATAGTCATGTGATTGTTAAAAATATCTACAGGGTATTCCTTAAACTGCGACAATATAATTATAATGTTCTGGTTCTTGTTATTTTTATGGTAATACCAATGACATTTGAATCGCACGACTATCACCGTAATCAGTTCATCGGCGCTATTGACCGTACGACGTCGCCATGACGCAACGTTGGTCGCACAAACACCGTAGACAAACAATGATTGCAAATAAATCGTTTCCTTCTGTTTGTTCAATAGGTTAGCACTTTTCAAATTCTTGTAAAAGTGGTATAGATTCTGTAAAAATTCCATATCATTTTCCGGCTCATGAATTTATTCAGTTTTGCCGTTAACGATTGTTATTTAAAAATGGAATTCGACACTTTTTTTAATTCGTGTAGTATAGTAGCCAAAGAAAACTAACATGAATGTACATGAATCTTGACATCTTGTATAATAATTATAAAGCATGGCTATAGTATGATAAAAATAAAATAAAACAAATAAAATATAATTATACACTTGTCGAAAAATTTTTTTGAATAATATTATCTTATAGACGTGTGGTAGTATAAAATGAATATATTTTTAGATAGGTCACCTTAAAAACCTAAGCTAATAATATCTCAAAGTTAATCAGGGATAATCCTATTACAAAGATAACAATAACAAAAAGTACCCAGTTAAAGAGCATTTAGGCGCTATTTTTGAAGGCGTTGATTGTATATCTTGTCAGTACTCTAAAGTTACGGTTTTAAAGATATTCTAAACTAATAAAGAAGGAAAAATTTATTTTTTGTTTCTTATAGATAAACACAAAAAGCACTTAACCGATTTTCAAAATAATCCTAATTCTAAAAAAAAAATATTATAAAAATTTACATACATGTTTTCGCTCTTTTAAATGGTAAATTGTGCTTTATTTGCTTAGGTTCTAAAAATACCTTGAGGATTAAGAATAGTGTGGGGCCACATTGAAGTTGATTCTGTGGAGTGCCAAAGATTCTTTAAACCTTTCTCTAAATTCAAATAGATATAAGCTATAAAAAACTATAAAAGAAATTTATTTAATATTGGTTTTCATTATAAAGATTATGCTATAATATCAAATTGAGTTTTAAATATTAGTGGTACGTTTAGAGAATGCCGTTACAGACTCGCTCCCAATGTATTCTAACATCTAGGCTACAGAGATAAGACTACTATTTATGAAAATAAAATATTCTCAAAACAATGTGTCAGTGTTATAGTTTGTGTATATGTTTTATGCCCACAGCTATATTTGACATGAGTTGATTGCATATTCGTTTAAGTTTTCGCATAAACCCATTAGTAATGTATGCAAAGCCGCACCTAGTGTTAAGTACTTAGGTGACATACTAGCAAATTTTTCTACTTCTCAAGTATATAAAAGTTTGAAGGGAAAGGAAAGAAGGTGTTTTTTTTTTTTGTTTCCGTCCTACTCAAAATTTATTAGAATTAATGACATTATTTTATGGAAGAAACTAACAAATCTCAATTGAATTTAATTGGGCTAAAAACAAAAGAATGTCTGTTATATTATGGAAATATTATTACCTTTTGGAAATCATAACCCAAATTTGTACTTGAAGGACGACTTTGGTAGTATAACGGTTTAAAAGATTGCTTCACCTTCCAGTAGTTGCGTGAGCAAGGCGAACTTCTATTCGTAAACACATCTGTTTAGTTCCAGACGTTTCCGTTTAAGATTTCATATATATATACACGTTTCTTTACGCAAATGAGATCTCGGGTTCGATTCCAGGATAGGCTAATTTAGGAAAGAACTTTTCTAGATTGGCAGAGGTCTGGGTTATGCCCCCATACATATGGGGGCATAACTTTTTTGTTGCCTGAGTCCTCATAACTTAGGGTTTCGGACTTTACCATGTATGTGATGCTTATTATTAGTCTATATTTTTATCACTAGGTACCTGTTAATCTATTTATTGGCTACCGTTTAATAGGGAAAAAGGTTATATCTTATTATTATAGTGATAATTATAATGTTTTACAAAAGTTACAACATTCCATGATTTTTATAAAACATTTTAAACAACACACAAAAATATGTACATATTATAAATATTTTTTATATAATAAATATAAGTGTTATTTAAAAAAAAATTATAACATATAATTTTATATATAAATTTGAAAAATTATATATTTTCAGCCAAGCTGGCTGAGAACGAAAGAGTTTTGGGAGCAGTCATTTGAAGAGCGCTATGAGAAGATTCGGAATGACAACCGTCGCCCGAGATTAAAGGTGAGTTTGGAAACCTGTCTAGTACTATTTCACTGCACTTGTGATGTATCTAGAAGTGATGTTATGTAGCAAGAGCAAAGAGTAATAAAAGGATATGTAAAACATGCTATTATTAATAGAACACCTTTTTGTTAAAAAGAGTGAAAACAATTATCTATTAATATGAAATTTTCAAGAATATAAATCTATATATTATTATTTTTTTAAATATTTATCATATAAATTGTATATCGGTATTCAAAATTAAAATTTAAAGTAAGTATAAACAATAGGAACAATGCAAGAACAACATATTAAATTGTTCACGAATTCGATTAAATAATAAAGGAATGGTCGTAAAATGCTGTTCGCGTAAAATTACATCAAATAACAATTGTAGTAGTAAAGAAAATTTTTTATGTGTTTGGTTAAACCAGTGAATTTCAACCTTTTTTTTTTTTTTGTTGTGGCACATATTTAACGATTTCAAAATTTGGCGGCACACAAAGAAAAAGATAAAAATTATTTACTTACTACACAACACACTGCATAAATAGTTTATGACAAAAATTTTAAATATTTGCAAAATTTGGCGGCACACTTTTAAAATTTGGCGGCACACAAAAGTGCCGCGGCACAGTGGTTGAGAATCACTGGGTTAAACCTAATTCATTTCTTATTTTTTTTTTGTTGAAAAATAGCAATAATAATGAGTATAAAAAAGGCTAACGACACAAAAATTATATTGATAATAAAACATTATGCTCTAACTATATAAAACATTTATTAATTATCATTAGTTGAAATAGTATAGAATCATACTAACAGTAACAATTTCAATTGAAAAAGTATCGCTCATAATTGGCGAAAATAGTGTAACATACATGCAAATAATATGCTAAATTGAGCATCTCAATTTTAAAGTCGGTAAAAAATATTATGCTATTGCAATTCATTTTCATCAACTCAGTATAATAAAATGTCTGCTTTGTTGTCGCGATAATAAATTTAAAAACGTTTGCTTTCTCAGAAGCGTTGAGGGCAAATTCGTCGTTTGTTTACTTTGTACCGCTTGCTAATAACACTTCCATTTCGCTTTGTGGCTCCTTTGATCCCAAACGCGGTTGTACGGCTTTTTACAGGACACGGCCTGAAATTCATTGTGGACGTACTCGGGACTCTGTGACCGTCATGGTCGGATTTTCCAGTACATTTTCACGAGATTTTCCCTCTAATCTCACATTTGAAAAGAATAGAACGTTCGGCACTAATGACATTATGCAAATGTAGCAACACTCCACCCTCTGAGGATTGTAACCGAACGCTAAATAAAATTATTCAAAAAGCTATGAAAAATATCTAATGAAAATGTATGTGTGTGTCGGTTATTTTGAAACATATTCACATTCACACTCTGCTAGTCATATGAGGCAACTGATAGTCGCTCAGTGACCTATTTAAAGGGCTAAGCTCGGATTATCTGTGTATTATGGATATTTTAATCGTGGACAGTTTCCTTTTATTTCACCTCGCCAGTCCAAGCTTTTAAATCAGACGAGAGACTATCCTTGGGCTACTTTTTAGTCCAATCCTAAATAGTAAAATTCCTAAACTTGCAACAACGCACACATATTATATAAGTACACTATATACACAAAAGTCTTATTTAAATGTGATTGAATAACAAACATCAAAATGTCACAGTTGAAAACCAACAAAAATAATTGTGCCACAATTGTCACGACTTTGTCCTTAATATGTAGCATTAAACACGAATTTTCTAAATGCATGAACCATACAGTTTATGTACTCCTGTCCGATCTCTCTCGAGTATACAGAGTGTTATTATGCAATACATGGGCTCTCTTTGTCATGCTAATAACACGTATCTCGAAAAGGGCGCACCTATATAAATTTTTTACCTCACGGTGTATAGAGTTACACTCATTATTTCACAACTCTGGATAGAAAATTCTTTTTCTTTTCTACGTAAAATCACTGGTTTTACATTTCTTCAATGGCGTTATATGACGGTATATCAAGTACAAATGTTTGTTACCTGTTGTTATGAAATTACGCGTTCTCATAGTATTCAGTATAGAAAAGAATATAGGTTAATTTTGATTTTTGATTCCGGGTAGTCTGAAACCTGAGCATAGTTATTCATTATTATAATTACTTAACTTGATTAACATATTTTAGGTAATTGTCGTGCCTCACTCACACAATGATCCAGGTTGGCTCAAGACTTTTGAACAATACTTTGAATGGAAAACGAAGAATATCATCAATAACATTATACAAAAGCTCACACAGTACCCAAATATGACATTTATTTGGACTGAGATCTCGTTCCTCAACGCTTGGTGGGAGAGGTCACACCCTGTAAAGCAAAAGGTAAAGTGTTTATAAAATTTAATTATATTTAGTTGTATTTTTTAATGAATATAAGTATCGTTACTACCTAGTTATATTAAATAGCTTGCATTATTAGTAATTATGCCAAATCAATGCTATATTGTTGTAGTTACAATAATTCACGAGTACTATTGTTCATAAAATTTAATAAAATAACATATAACATTTTCAAAATTATAGCAAATCTTTTTGACCAAGGATCGAATTATAAAAATTCACAATTGGCGATTATATGTTCATGACATGACAATTATTTTATTTACAGGCTCTGAAAAAACTTATAAAGGAAGGTCGACTTGAAATTACAACAGGCGGTTGGGTGATGCCAGACGAAGCTTGTACACATATCTACGCGTTGGTCGATCAATTTATAGAAGGTAACTAAATTTAGACTTTCGCAAAACTAATATTTTTAGAGGACGTACCTGATCAATCAATTTTCTTATTTTCAGGCCACCATTGGGTAAAAACTAACTTAGGGATTATACCAAAAACGGGCTGGTCTATTGACCCTTTCGGGCATGGTCCCACAGTGCCTTACTTACTCGACCAGAGCGGCCTTGAAGGGACCATCATTCAAAGGATTCATTACGCTTGGAAACAGTGGCTAGCCGAGCGGCAGATTGAAGAATTCTATTGGATTCCAGGATGGTCTACTAAGAAACCCTCCATCGTCGTCCACAATCTGCCATTTGACATCTATTCAATTAAAAGCACATGTGGTCCGCATCCGTCCGTATGTCTTAGTTTTGACTTTAGGAAAATCCCAGGAGAGTATTCTGAATACACTTCTAAACAAGAGGAAATTACCGAGCAAAATCTTCATAGTAAATCGAAAACACTGATAGAGGAATATGATCGAATCGGCTCACTCACTCCCCATAATGTAGTGCTTGTGCCCCTTGGCGATGATTTTAGATATGAGTATGGTGTAGAATTTGATGCTCAATATACTAATTACATGAAAATGTTTAATTACATAAATAGTCACAAAGATCTATTCAACGCTGATGTCCAATTCGGTACGCCACATGATTACTTCACTGCCATGAGAGAAAGGCACCAGATTATACCAAGTTTAAAAGGTGATTTCTTTGTGTACTCTGACATATTCAGCGAGGGAAAGCCAGCTTACTGGTCAGGATACTATACCACACGACCCTATCTCAAAATTTTCGCGCGGGAATTTGAACATCAACTTCGAACGTCTGAAATTTTGTTTTCACTCGTCTCCAATTATATAAAACAGTCCAGTGATAACAAGTTTATTGCTTCAGAGAAGAAATTAGAGAAATCTTACGAACAACTTATCATCGCTCGAAGAAATCTAGGTCTGTTTCAACATCACGATGCTATAACGGGAACCTCTAAAGCTAATGTTATGTACGATTACGGAACTAAATTGTTTGCCAGCATAAATCATTGTCTTCGGTTGCAAGAGGCAGCCCTCACGGCCATAATGATTCCCGAAGAATCCCTACATTCCCAGAGTATCATTCAGAGTGAAATCGAGTGGGAAACTTATGGAAAACCCGTGAAGAAGTTACAGGTGTCCTTTGTCGATAAAAAGAAAATTGTTTTATTCAATCCCCTAGCAGAATCACGTACTGAAGTTATTACTGTCAGGTCTAATACTACAAATGTGAGAGTGTATGATACTCACAAGAAAGTATACGTGCAATATCAAATCACTCCTAATATAGATATTCGAGAAGACGGTAAACGAGCAATAAGTGATACAAATTTCGACGTGCTTTTTGTTGCCACATTGCCACCATTAAGTTCTGTCACATTCAATCTTGAAGAGCATACCAACACGTCACACCGTTGTGATGTATTTTGCAATAGTTGTAACGAGGGGCAGAAGTCTGATTCCGAAAAACCTTTATTCGTTACCAAGAAAATGATGCCTGGTGATATACAGTTAGAAAATTCGGTACTTTCCTTGTTGATTAATCGAAACACTGGTTTCTTGAGGCAGATATACAGAAAAGATATTAGAAAGAAGAACGTAGTGGAAATGCAGTTTGGTGCATATCAAAGCGCTCAAAGGCACTCTGGAGCCTATTTGTTTATGCCTGATTATGATGCGCCAGAGAAAAATGTGTTGCATCCATATTCCAACTGGAATAGTTTGCAAGATGACAACATAATAATAGTGTCAGGTCCAGTATCAACTGAAATTACAACTATGTATCTACCTTTCTTGGTGCACACTATCCGAATATACAATGTGGACGATCCAGCGCTTTCACATGGTGTTTTCATAGAAAATATAGTAGATTTTGAAAATCCTCCTAAAAATAGAGAAACGGAATTGTTTATGAGAATACAGACGGACATCCAAAATGGTGATATACCAGAATTCTATACTGATCAGAACGGGTTTCAGTATCAGAAGAGAGTAAAAGTAGAAAAATTAGGTATAGAGGCTAATTACTACCCCATAACTACAATGGCATGGTTGCAAGATGAAGAGACGCGACTGACGTTACTGACTAACCATGCGCAAGGGGCAGCAGCTTTTGAACCTGGACGGTTGGAGGTAATGTTAGATCGGAGAACCCTGTACGATGACTTCAGAGGCATCGGCGAAGGAGTGGTCGATAACAAACCCACGGTGTTCCACAACTGGCTCTTACTGGAGCCTATAGTGAGCCCGAGAACTAAGAGAGATACGAGTGAAAAGAGCATCCGTCACGTTAGCGAGAGGCACTTCAGTCCTAATGAAAAGGATACAGCGTACCAATTGCCATCACAAATGGCCAGCTATTTAAGCAAAACGCTGAACTATCCAGTGAACATTTATCTCGTTGATACCAGCGAGGTAGGGGAAATAGAGGTGAAGACACATCAAATTTTCTTGCAAAATTTCCCGTCCGGTATTCACTTGATGACCTTACGTACAATAACTGATGATATTCTCGAGCAATTCCCAAGTTCCGCGTGCTACATGGTGCTTCAGAGACCTGGAGTTAGTTGTTCCGTAGGAGACACGACCCAGAAGAGGTCTACTGTGTTCACATCTAAAACTAAATTCAGTGGTCTAAATATTTATAACTTAACATCTGTAAGTTTAACTGGCCTAAAGACACACAAATCTTTAGCTGGATTACATGATATTGAAATACATCCCATGGAGGTGAAAACATTTAAAATTCGATTCTGAAGACTGTTAGTATTAGGTTTAAATGTTTGTAATTTTATATAATGATTGATACTCGCCTAATTCTGCTCTGGCGAGACTTATGATGTGGATGTGTATAAATTTTAATGAAAAACGGTGCAACATAAAAATTTTCTGTTGCGTATCGCAACAACCTATTGGTGCACGTTAACGTCATGCACTTTAATCGAATGTTATTTATAAAAATAGTAATTTTAGTAATTTAATGATGAACTAAATGAATAATTTATTTATGAACACCGATTTCGTGAGTACATCGTCTGAAATCTAGTATAACCTAGATGAATCTACCTCAGGACCAAATGATATACCTATTTGAATCAAACGATTCCTTATATATGTTAATATTAGTTCAATATAATATTTATAGACAGATTTGAATAATTAAATACGAGGAAATTATATCGGACGCTGCATAAAACATTATTATGGCGAAGTGAATTCATAGCATTGTGGCTAAGTCTTCGTTTGTGCAAAACTACCGTGACCATAGTTTCCTACGAAATGAATATTGCTTTGTATGCTTATAGATAGTAATATTTTATACACATAAATAATATACCCCTTTAGTTGCTTACAAAAATGATATAATAATATCAAAATCTCACTAATCTCTTGTCTTTCTCTACTAAATTATGAAATTAAATATGCTTTAATTTCAAAATAAACATTATGTAAAATAATGATAACGCCAAACAAGATAATAATTGCTGACATATTTCATTGCAGGTTATTTTCTTGAAATTATATTTTGCTTTATAAAATTCGTTATTAAATTTTGCTATAAACAAATATATTGTATGAAATTATAGTCCTGTCACACATATTTTAAATTTTCATTATTTATACCTACAAATTGTGATTTTTATTATGTTATTTTATATTTAGTCTACTGTGATAATATCCCCATGACACATTACATGAAATTTAGTATTGCTGCATTTTAATGTATAATAAAAATATTAAACTAAGTATTAAACTATCTCTAAAATTTATTGATTTTAGAGTTCGTTTCGGGGTATGATGGGACTAATACTAAAATGATATCTCTAAAATTATTACATAATGAAATTTTACGATCAACCCCATTACGACGCATTTATTTTTTTGGAGATTATTAAAAATTTTGTTCAACCTAGATTTGTGATCTTTAAAATTGACTTTTTCTTATGAAATTATCTTATTTACCTTTGGTTATATAAATGTGTGTCTATGTAAAATCAGCAGTAAGTGTTATGAACGTAATTTTATTCATAGTCATTAGAATTTAATACAAGATAATATATGTAGTTGTTAGTGTGCCAATGGGCCGGCCACACGGAAGAACTGATAGAAAAGGTTCTCCAGTGGTCACCCCGTATAAGCAAACGTGTATAAGGCGACCCTTCACAAGGTGGATCGATGATCTCAAATATATATGGGGGAAACCTATATTCAGTCAGTAGCCGACAATGAATGGCTGAAATTATGATGATTATAATAACATAGTTATACCCTTTTTTTTTATCAACCAATCAATGTAATTCACTAACACAGTTCCATTACCTTATTTGTGTGTAATGTTAACATTTTTTATTTATACTCGTAATTAAAAACACCATTTATAAATGATGAAATAATTATTAATTTTCTTTTTTAAATATGCTTTTTGTTAAAATTGAAACATTGTTATTCAGTCCACTTATAAAATCAAAAGATTAATTTTTTTTAAATCTTTTTTTAAAGGTTTTTAAAAATATTTATTTTTTTTTGTACAGACACGCACTAGTATGAATTTGTTTAAAAAAATCTCTAATATTTTAAACGTGACGCTGTTTTGGTTGTGTCTATTATGGTACATGTTTGTTATTATTATTTTTTAATTTATTTTCAATTGATATATTTAAGTTACTTTTATTTAACATAAAAAGGTGAAATGTTCTAAATTGAGATTATATCTATATAAGACAATTAAAGACACGAATAAGTGAATGTAAGATGTCATATTTTTGGACTTTCACTATTCTACGAATAGATTGAATTGTTAGGAGGTGCTATGTGCATACATAATATATAACTTATACGTACACTCTATATCAAGTTTTAGTGATGTAAAATGCACATAATACGTACATCTGAAAATCCGAAATTGCGACATATCGCCTTCACCTATTCATGTATTCAATTATTAGTGTGTACACATTTTTCTAGTTACCTGATAAATCTTATATATCCTCCGCCCGTACTTTACTTTTTAAAGCTATGCTAATAATTTTAAAAATCCTTTATTTGTATATTTTTTACAATGTAATAGGAAGGCTTTTGAATATTTCTATTTGTTGTTAGTATAAGAGTAATGTATTCCAGTTTTGTATTAATACCATACAATTATATTTATTGCACTACTTATGATGTGATTTGGACTACTCTCGTTAGAGAAAAAAATAATTATTATAGGACTGTTTTTTTTTAAACCACATTCTTTTTTTTAAATAACATTCTAAATGTAAATAATAATGACTTTTAAAATTGGAAATACGGTTTCTGTTCACGATTAAAATCTAACCAACATAAAAATGTATAGATAATTATTTAAAACTACTGATATATATGTATAGATATATAGCTATGGACAATTATTAGCTTTCTTAAATATTGTTTTTACATTCGTTACAAATATGTCCATATTTCACCTTACTGACGGATGTACTGTTAGAGACATGTTATTTCTTTAGAGTTCATTTTATACTGTAAGATTAATGAGAAAAGTGTCAAATAGCAAAAATCTAAGTAATTTAACAGTTTCAAATTTTTCTCACTGACGGTTGAAAATGTTCCCTTATAATGGAACTAAAACGTTCCTTGTACAATAAGATTTATATTGTATTTGGTAACTTCAAATCAGTATATGAAATTACAGTTGATTATGTACAATTGATTCTATAATATTTTGGGATAATAGGTTTATAGATTAAGGAGAGTACACGCGGGAAAGAATCTACTTATAATTTAAATTAGAACAATTGACAGATAATACAAACGCTGTCACATTTTTATGTATAAATGCTTTTAAATTAACGACTAGACAATATTCTGTTTATTCGCTATTTGAACCCAACTGAACTAAATCTATCATATGACGACGTTACTAAATATACAAGTTACAGGCCTAACTATTAATAAAATACATTATCGGACAAATAGTGTCCCGAGGGTTGCAGCAAGGATAGGATAATATTTGTAATATTTACGGAATTGAACAACTTTCTCAAAGAATGTTAGAACACAAAATAAGAATTTTTTGTTTTTTTAAATAGAAACAGCGTTTTAAAATATTTTCATATTTCATTTAATGGTTAAATTTTAATCTGTTATTTAATTTTCCTTTAATGTATTAGAGTCTAACATACAAAATATATCATCAAAGTTTTTAATAACAGCACTGCAAGCGGTACTATGGCTGATAATAGAGTCGATTCTGAGGTGTCATTTTTCTAAGCCTATCTCTCATAACCTGTTAAATTGATAATGTCGAATTTATTATTTTATGGACGATCGTTAACTTAATTTATAATAATCTTGACTTAAACTTAGTTCATATTGGTCTTAAGATAAAGGTTTCAATGTAATATCGAAATTAAATTTTAATTTTAGTGATAGGTTAGAGAATTTGAATTTAGAATCAACTCCTGTCGCGTTCTTGATTGAATAAAGAGGTTACAACGTTTGTTCAATTCTTTTTTTTTATATATATTTTTTAACAAACATTGACACACTTGTTTTTAAGAACACTCGCTATATATAAGTACAATAAATAATAATAATTTATCTCAATTTTTGTTTTTAGAAATTAAACATTTTATAATAACCACAGTATTTATTTACGATTTTTCTCAAATGTGATGTTGTAAAACGGCTCACTACCATTTCATTATAAGTATACCAGTGTGATTTTAAAATGATGTTTTGTATGTGTACCAAATGATTATTCCATTTATTGCAATGTATTAAAATTTTTTTTTTTATAATTATTATTGTGATATATTTTGAGAGTTAAGATGTGGTGTCGCCTAATGAAAAAATCAATAACCGATATTAATTAATTGGACCGTAGTCTGAGTTCGCTCAACATGCATTGTAACTACGTCTTTTATATGTTTTTTGTACGGATGTAGGTTGTACTTGTCATAATAAAGTATATTAGTCAACAATAGATATTAATTTTTTGTTCAAAAAATTAAGTAGTTGAAATAAACAAACAAAAATTGTAAGAACATGTTTTATTAAATCCCATCCATCTAAAAACATCGTAAACTCTTATATTTTTCACATCTTATTATAAATTTATTAGTTAGAATTTAAAATACATTTACACTTTATATTTATTAATTATTAAAAATATACTTCGTCGTCGAAAGAAAGTAACGTTAACAATGTCCTCTAATTGTACTCTTAGCAATCGGCGTCATGTCATTTCTTCTTTATTCTGCTAGCTATCCACTCCAAGCCCAAGTGTAAACTAAAAAAAAAAATTGTAAATTATAAAAGATGAAATAAAAATAATTTAAAGAAGTAATAGTAATCTATCTTCCTATAATGAAGTCTCGTAAAGGTAGTACATTAGTTTTAATATTTTTATAGAGCACAGTTTAAATACTCTGTCTCTACCAACACAGCAGCTGTGCTTAAGAGGATGGGACTGGCAGTACCATACAGGGTAGGAACGCATGACCCCTCAATCTTCATACATTATAAATAGCAGTGAATTAGAGATAAAGCAGTCAACTTATTTGCATTCCAAATGGGATGAAGAAAACGTTTGAGTTTATTTGATGTAAAATAAAAATGAAATCACCTACCCTTCTCCAGTTAGGGCGCAGCAAGCCTGTATGTGCCACGGGTGTTGTTTTATAGAAGTAAGATCCAACTGTTCTGATATTTCAGCGGCGGTCATTGAACCTTTTACATCCTGAAATCAATTTATGTTTTTTATTAATAGAATAGTAAATAGTAACGGAGACGGAGTAAGAACTTTAAGTAACTTTAAGTAATAGATTAATAAACTATGGGATGATTTAGAGAAATTATCATTGTTCGTAAATTGTTAGTCGTTTCAGTTAAATTTATGATATACAAATACAATAAGGCTCATATATAATGTATTTATCAACATTACAGTAATTTTCTCTTTGCGGAATGGCAACTACTGGATGGAATGCGTAAATAGCTACACACAAGGACAGCACTTTCACTTGTATAAAATCAATTAATAGTTTACGTGCATACGCTCAGTCGAATATTACATATATTCTAAAATGTGAAAATAAGAACTCGAATAAGAAACTACACAAATTCTTAATTTTATAACAGAATAAAAAAAAATAAGGAAATAATATAAAATATTATAATAAATACTGTGTGATTGAAAACCGTTTCCGAAGCGAGCAAAATTCGAAACTACAACTACGCCAGTGGAATAGTTGCAGTTTCGAAGTTTGCTTTTCAAGCTATAACATTATTAGACTTCCGTCTCGGAATATCCAAGTTATAGGAATGCGTCTCTGTTACAGAATCCAAGTACAGTGTAGCTCGCTCACTTAAGCAAAATTCAATCATACTGTAGTAACTAAAATTATTTATGTATATTGCCGCTTTCTTTGAGTCAAAACGCCAAGAAGCTTGAGAGAAAACAAAGAGAACAGAGGTCTCCTTGATGTTTGATGATTTGTAGACATAAGAAAAATCTCGCAGTACCTAACTCTATATATGGCGCGTGTCACGGCCGCACTAATGACGTCATTGCAATCATCTATTATTCGCAGTGGCAGGTACAAACCGCTGCATTACACTTGTTCACACAATGTGGCTACCAAGTACGAGCATAATACGTTATGAGCGAAGTCCGCAGCTGTTGAGTTAGAACTCTACAGCTGCGCTACAGGTGGTTTTTATATCTTTTAGTCTCAGAAGATATAAGTCTTAAAACATGAGGCTCAAAACCTTTATTTTAGAATACTTATATCGATAAGATCGTAAGTCCCAAAGGGCGAATCTTAAAATATTCTAATACTGAAAACTTTCATGTCCCATACAAGAAATATAAAACGTTTGAATGGTAGTTTTTTTACAGTTATGTTGAGACTAAAACGTTCTAAGACTAAATCATTTATTTTATACTGAACCTCACAGTCAATATTATCTAATATCAAAATTTTAAAAAGTGTATTTTTTAATGGGGAAAAATAGAAAGCCCCGCTTGCGCTATCGATATACACAGGCGTGGCACCAATGAGGAGTAATAGGTGAGAATGAAAGCAAGTCAGTTAGTTCTTCGTGACGGATTTCACAAGGACGGTTTTTTCCAGACAATCACGTGGAGGTCGACCTGATAGGTTATATTGCTGGCAATGGAACTGTTAGACCCAATTACTAAAAATCCCTTTTCCCCCCTTGGAAGGAAGAAAGTTGGCCCATCAATTTCGACATTTAAAGATGAAAATGGAATAATAATCCCGTCTGCTCTATTGGGACAACAGTGAAGAACAATAACATGATGAAATTAAGTTAGTTGGCTCATCCTGACTAATTTACTAGAAACTAAATATAGTAGTTTCCAAGAGGAAGTACCTGGAGCCAAGAAGGGTAAGCTGCAAATAAAACTTAAAACCCTGATATTAACAAACCTCTTCGACCCTTCTCTTAAATAATTAACCATTGTTGGCAACATAGTAAGTCAATGATGAATGAAAATATATTCTATAACATATATTTACAATATTTATATTACCTGTTTGTTAGCAAAAACTAGAAGGCAGGCTTTGCTGAGTTCTTCGTGTGTTAACATCCGATGAAGTTCCTCTCTACTTATGGTTAACCTTTGACGGTCGGTTGAGTCGATCACCATTATCACGAACTAAATAAACAGAAATTGTTGGTGAATAACTTTACACCGACACAACATACAAATTCACAATTTAAACACAAGAGTAAATATGCTTTCGTGAAAAATATTAAAATAAATATGCGCTCACGACTATCATTATATTATTGAATAGTTTTTCATAAAATTCGATTTGATAAAATCCTTTGATTTGCTAAATTTACATAGAAAAATACAAAAATGCGCTACGCGGAAGCAAACGCAAGCACAACTAGTAAAATATAGAATACTAGCGAAACGCTTCAGCTTAGCAAGGTTTGCTTTTTGATAAGCAAATTTTTGACACTTTGTATGTAATAACATTATTGTAATTTTCGTAAGGATCTCTTAATAATATATAGCCCATGTTACTCGCTGATATTGTAGCTTCGTGTAAGAATTTTTAAAACCAATTGAGTAGTTTTGAGTTTACCCATTAGAAAAAGATAATAAAATATGTATAATATTACTATAGATATGGACATATTCGTTATATCATCATATCAGCTATTAACTGTCTACATGCTGCACATAAGCTTCTCCCATAAGGGGAGTTCTGCCAGTAGTTGCCACGCTTGGCGTTGGGTTGAACGCTGCTGCCCATCCCTCTACCAGCAAATTCCCTTAGTCGCTTCTTATGACATCTACAGGAAAGGGGTGGTCTATTCTATGCTAGGATCACATGGCATTAAATACATTCGCTTAGCTATAATACCGTCTAGTTCGACCTTTGCATATCCTAAAAAACTGTCAGCATAACATTAATAATAACAATAATATTAAATAAATATAAAACTGGCTTTAAAAATATAAAAAATATTTCGCTTAAGCAAGATAACACAAAAGTCGGCTTCAGCCCAAATTAGGTAAGATGATGAGTCATTTAATATCAAATATTTTTGTCCATATAATACTCGAATAATTACCTCACTATTGGTGTAGTAGGTGTTCCACGCTGATCGCAAACTCTGTTGCCCGCCAAGGTCCCACATCACAAAGCGAAGGTTCCTCCAAACGACTTCCTCGACGTTGGATCCGATTGTAGGTCTCGTATGTACTGCTTCACCAAGTAAGAGCTGATACAATATCGTTGTTTTGCCAGCATTGTCTAGGCCAACGAGGACAAGCTTATGTTCTGAAAAAAACAGATAAGTACTTAGAAAATGTTATAGCTATAAGTAGTACAAGTGTTGTCGTTTATAAAGGTACTAGCTTTTACCCGCGGCTTCGTTCGCATAACCAGCAGTTTACATATATGTTAACTAATTGAGATAAAAAATTAGCCTACATCCTTCCATTTAGTATGTGTATACCAAATTTTATAATAATTGGTTAAGTTACTAAAATGTAAACAAACTCACTTTCACATCTATAAGTGCCATTCCATCACACTAATCTCTAGCTTGTATACACCATATTATGAGGACCCATACACCGAAAATTTGGGACATAAACTAGTATATTCAAACCTGATCCAATTAAAAAAAAATTAATTGTCCAAACTGGGAATCGAAACTAGGGCCTCATTTACCCAAAGCATCATGACCAATGCTGTACCACAGAGATAGACATATACAAAAAAATAAATAAAGAAATAAAAAAATGTATTAAAAAAGATGTAGAAATTATACTGCATTCAATTTCCATCTCCTTGTAATTTTTTTACACGTCATAAAAAAAATTATTTCAAATTATAAGAGGTTTTTACTGATGTAGGCAACATGTATGTATTAATATACAAGTATGTATTTTCTTTAAAAAGATTTAAATATAATATACAACTTTAAGATATACAAGTAACATATTTATAAGGATGCTGACCCTATGGAGCAACATCTAATTATTGTTAGATAACATAATTGTTATTGATATTATTTATTTGAACTACATAGTGTTGGCTTGATAATTAGAAACTCATGGCCTATGCCCTTAACTGTATCTTTATTGTATAGTTAATATTATATTTTATGCAACTACCCAAAGAAGTACTAAAGCTATCTGTATTTTTTTGTGTATGTAGATTATGTTATAGCTTCACTAGATTTACTTTTTAGTTGGTTTCGTATTAATTGCCTTGATTCAAGTCAGTTTTGTTAAGCGACATCTACTTGATATGATATGATAATTTTGATTGACAGCTGATAGCATGCCTATGATAAAAGATTAGGGGATAAATTAAACATTTAACAAAGTAAAAAGAAATGTATGATTATGATTCATTTATTCACAAGAAAAAGTTAAACACTTGTCCATTAAATCAGGTAATATTTTATTACAAACAATGTAATGTAACATGTCATTGATGTTTATAAAAATTAAATAAAATGACAGATTATTTCGTAAAAAAAAATATAAAGTTATTTGTAAACATGTGAAATTAATTTTATAATTAGTAATTGGATATACTGTTTTTAATCATTTCATATTTATTTACAGTTTAAACAAAGAACATGTTTGCTCTCTGAGGTAAATGTAAAATCTTCAGAACACAAAAAAAGTAGTCCATAGTTGTGAAATAGTTTGAAAGTAGGGTCATTTTAAAATATGATTTCGATGATATAGCTGGAAATAGTGACCAAGTTGATAGTCCACCTGAGGTAGAATATCACTGACAATAAACGTAAATAGAATGCACTATAACACTCATACCACATCATTTCTGAAAATTAAGATACTCTTTTACGTTCGGGAAAAGGGAATGGTAAGTCTGCCTGTGCTATTGACGTATCCTGGATTTATATTAAATGGATGATAATGGAATGGAACCCCCGCTATGCTAATGGTATACGCTGGTGGAGCATTAGTTAGAGATGATATGTGAGGATGAAAAGGAAGTTCAGTTTGCCTATCATGAAGAATAGACCTGAAATCTAGCATGATGGTTCCCAAGAGTAACCACATGGAGTTTGACTTGACAGAGTATATTGCTAACAATGGGACTGGCAGTTCACATCACTAATAATTCATCTCTCCCCCGTATATGCTAGTGAGGCACAAGTGAGAGATGTTGGGTAAGAATAAAAGTAGATCTGTTCATCATGACAAATTCCACAACAATTAATAATGATGGCTTTCAGGGGAAACCATATAGAGGTTTTTTTTTTGATGGGTGAAAATGGAGTGGTAACCTCGCCTGCGCTAACGGGATACGCTGGCGGAGCACCAGTGAAGGGTGATAGATGAGAATGAAAACAGGCCAGTTAGCCCATCATGATGAATTCATCAGGTATTAACCATGATAGTTTCCAGGGAAAACCGCGAGGAGGTCGACCTGGTTGGGTATATTGCTAGCAATAGGATTCTCAGTCTCCATTACTAACAATCCCTTTTCCCCCACCATATAGAGGTTGACCTGATAGGGTATATTACCGGAGTTTTTTTATAGATGACAATATAACAGTAACTCCGCCTACACTATCAATACACACTGGTGGGACATCAGTAAAGGGTGAAAAGTGAGGATGAAAACAGGTCTAAGATATTATGCCTTTAATCCCAGTGATCTGTCATCATCATTCAAACAGAAACAGCTATATAAAGGAAGATTGTCACGAAGACTTTTACAAAAGGTTATCTTATCACTATAAGCAATCTCTTATTATCAAAAAGACAACCTGGAGATATAATAAACAGAATAAAAAAAAAAACATTTTTATTTATATTGTCTTATTAATATATGTTATTTGATTATAGATACTTTCAAATATAATGTCATATCATATAGTAGGTATCTTATTTGCAGATCATAATATAAACAGGAGTTGGTACATTGAAAAATTAAAGAAATGTACCTGTAATAGCAACTTTTGTCTGTTTTCATTGGCTTCAATATGCTTTGCATATAAAGATTGTCCCCTGCTGTTTAAGTTATGTATTAAACCACTAATATATAGTTATACAAAAGATTAACTGACAAGATGTGTACATAAAAAACAAAGAGAGACCTTTTTAAGATAACATTTTAAAGCAAACAAGGTCACATTCGAATAGGATCGTGAAAAAATTCCCAAATGAATTTTGATTATGATAGATATCCATGCCATGAACAGAACATATGTTTTAATTGATTAATATCAAAAGTAGATTTAAAAATAAGTTTCACTATTTCTAGTTATATCCATATAAGCATAACAAAAAAATGTCTAAATCGTAAAAAAATACATACCTTCATTTCCGAACAAGCTCCAAATCTTCGAAATGAGCAAGCCCATTGTTAAGAATGTTTGCAATCAAGAAAAAAAGGGGACAAAGGCTCGAAGGTGAAGAGCTTGTTTTACTTGTGTCCCATTTTATGAAGTAATATTGCACACGTATTATATATTTTACGTCATGTTATTACCTCGCAGACACGCACAAGAGGGAACAAGTATTTTTACACGTTTATTTAAATGAGACAATAATTAAATTTATTTCATTAGGAAAATGTACGTAAAATGCGTTACGCGTCAATCACCTCTTCATTTCGTAAACTAGTTAAGGTAGGTACGTACTACTTATCTAGGTAAAATAGTAAAACTTAAAATGTCAGTTTAGTGATTAATATTCACTACACCTTCAGAATCGTTCAATTCATTCAATTGTATCTTTCTCAGCAAACAGCAAAGCGTAGAAAGAGATAGCAAGTACTATTCTTAATCTAAGAAAAAGGAATTGTGTACTCTCTAAAACACGGATTATAAAATATATCATGAAAATCTCTTCCGAATGTGCTTTTGTAAACCATTTTTAATATTTAACATATATATGAGTTAATTGATAATATATTCAGATACCTATTCTCTGTCTATGTATTTTATTTCTCATTAAGCGTAAACTCAAGTTCAGAATATATATGTATATGAATTTTTTTAATGAATTTAATATTTAAATCTACGTTTTATCCTTATTAATATTATAAATTTGAAAATGAATTTATTTATTTGTTTGTCTCTTAACGGCTGATCCAATCACTACGAAATTTAGTATTCAGTTACTATATGGGATAGAGAAGCATACAAACTACTTTTAATCCCGGCCAATCGAGTCAAGTCGCGGGTAAAAGCTAATAACTTAATAAAATAGTCATAGGAACTTTTAAAACGTACAAATTTTATTTTTGTATGAAAAAGGTTTGTGTGTTTTATAGGTTTTTATAGATTAGTAGATAAGTCCGTATTAAAGATACCTGCGGAACATAGGTATTTTTGTTTTAATGGATGATACTTTTTTTTATGTGTGAACATATATGTGTGGTAACCCTACCTGCGCTAACGGGATACGCTGGCAGAGCACCAGTGAAGAGTGATAGATGAGAATGAAAACAGGCCAGTTAGCCCATCATGATGAATTCATCAGGAATTAACCATGATAAATTCCAGGGGGAACCGCGAACAGATTAACCTGATTGGGTATATTGCTAGCAATGGGATTCTCAGTCTCCATTACTAACAATTCCTTTCCCCCAATGGATGATATTGGAGTGGTTACCCCGCCTGCGCTAACGGTATATACACTGGCGAGACATCAGTGAGGAGTGATAGGTGAAAATAAAAAGGCAGGTCAGTTAACCCATCTTGATGAACACACTAAGAATCAGCATGATGATTTCCAGGGGGGCACCACACGGAGGCCGACCTTATGAGGCATATTGCTAGCAATGGGAATGATTATCAATCACATTGTTTGCATTGAATTTAGCAGGCGGGATTACGATTACATTGTGCCCCATTAAAAAAAAAATTACCACAAACATGAATACAAAGATTAGTGCGTATTCTACATTAGTTTTTTCTTAATTTAGTGTAGATATATTAATTCTAATTAGTGAGGGGATAAAAGGGGATAGTAATTTATATTAGTTATACTAACCATAGAGTTAGTATAACGTAATTATATACTTCATAATCTACGGGTCTGACAGCCCCATTGCTAATAATATACCCTAACAGGTCTACTTCTACATCCCCCCCCCCCCCCTGGAAACCATCGCAGTTAATTCCTGATGAATTTTTCGCGAAGTGCTGAGCTGATTTCGTTATCGTCTATCATCTTTTATTGGTAACTCCTTCAATAGCGCAAACAAGATAACCATACCATTCCCATCCCATTAAAAAAATACAAGTAGTTGCCATTGTAAGTTGCACAAAAACACTTAGTCCGCTGCTCTAAGGTTGTCTTGGAACGGTTGCTTTCAGAAATAAGACCACTTTACTGTACTTATACATTTGTATCGTTACATTTATTATTGTTATGCTTATTTCCTATATCGTATAATGCAAATAAAGTATATTTTTGATTCTGAGAATATGGTACCAGGTATCAAGTAGGTACTAGATAAATACGCATAATAAACTAAATGTTAAATTATATATTTTTTATTTTATGTACTTACTTAAAATAATTGATTTAGATTAAGGTATATACACATTATTTTTAAAAATAACTATGTAATAAAATAAACTTAAATAAAATTTTAAAAGAACACTCGCAATGTAATCAGTTCCATCGGAGGAAAGTTTCCTAGACTACACGTATTTTGAGGCACACCTTCGTCGGTTCCAACCAAATTTGTCCTGTACACTGATTTTATACTTCGAAGGATTTTTTCTACAGAGAAACTACTATCTCCATTGCATTGTAGATCAGCGTTTTCTATTCGGCATGAAGCCATCTGTCTATACAAAATTAACAGAGCAGAATTAGGAGCGTCATTATGTATGCCTCTATTTAATATTGTCCTGTAATTAATCACTGAAACGTCACAAGGAAATGACATTTTTATCATTGGCAAAAAAGCATAATAGGAAAAGTCGCTATTTTTCCTACTATTCATAAATATCTCAAGAAGATAATTCATGCAGTTCGCCAAATACACGGCCGGCCGACTAGGCAATTTGAGATTGTTATCAAACGAGTAGTATCCAAAGTAGTTGGTAGATTCTACGAATCCCTCCATCAATATTATGTGACGGTGAGATGTCACAATACTATCTGCTAATCCCTCGTGTGTGCCCCTACCGTCGTTAAACAGGATCCTCCTATCTAATACTACAACTAATTGACCCTCTTGTAATGCAGTCACTCCCTGCGTGTGATCAGTTATAAGCGTTAACCTATTCTTACTGTCTTGTATGTATACCATGTTTGTTATAGGATACATATTTGACTCTATGCGTCTGCTTATGTTCAGTACTCGTCTAGTATATTGAAATCCGTTATTATCAGTGTATAATTCTGGATTATTACCATTGCTTATATCAGTTTGAATGGACAGAAACAATTCTAGTTCTCTATTTTTCGGCGATATTTCGTAATCTACTTTAGTGTCAACGTAAATAGCGTTAGACAAGGGTGTATTGAGAAGATTGAATATTTTTACGGTATGTTGAAGAAAAAGACCGTAAATTGAAATAAGTTCCGTAGTAACTTGTCCAGCTATAATTATTATAAGTTTCTTGTTTTCCTCAGTTCTATACAGTGCTAATATATCTTGAAGAGGTCTTTTTACATCAGTATTGAATAAAAACATCCCAGCATTCTCATCAGAACTCTTAAATGCTCCATAGTCTAACACAAGCATTTTTTCCATGTTGCTACTTTTTTTAATTACTGTCTTCAAAAATCCTGACACCTCATCAAAAATAAGTCTATGCTTGTAATTTTCTAGTTGTATATCCCCTGGTTGTATTTGTTGAATATTGAAACTAAAGTAAGGATAATGACCATAATCGTTGTCAAATTCACATTTTTGACAATAAATTGTTGCGGTATTTTGTGTTGTATCATATGTGTCTTTAATTTTAAATAGTTCTAAAGTCATCGGTGGTATATGAATAACAAAAACAATTTTAAAAAGCTTTCTTGAGATCTTTATTACATTGTTCGAGTTATACTTCCAAACAGGATTTACTTGTATAGTAACATCTTTCTTATTATGATCTACAATTCTAATGTTAGGCTTTTTTGTTATAAGCTCCACTATTTCTGTTCTCTCGTGGCTAAGTGAATTAAATATGTATATTTGATCGCCTGCGGCAACAGTTTTGAACATAGAAACAAATTCCCCATCCCTATAAATATATTTCTGAAGATAAGGTGTGATTTGATCTGGCTTAATGCTTAGTAAACTTGCACAAACCTCCTGTATATACCAGCAGTCTTTAGCAGTCGATACAATCTGATTATGGATATAACTCAAAGTATTTGCATTGACTGTACCACTCACAACATTTTTGTCGAGAAGACGAGCAACTCTTTCTCTCGATTTTATAAGAAGTCCAAAAATTTCAGATGTATTAAATCCATGAAAGGCATTCATACTGACAGCGAAAGTAAACATGATCTCAGTAGTGCGTAAAGTAGACTGGAGACGCCTTAGTAGCACTTTAAGTAAAGGTCGAGATGTGAAAAATCCAACCCAGTACGCGGACCTTCCTGAGGTTAAATCAGCGAAATTAAGAAAGTCTCCTTTCAATGTTGGATAGTTTTTATGTTTCTCAATAATGCTATTGAAGTAATCCTTGGGTGTTCCAAACTGAATTGTAGCTTTGTAGATATTACTGTTTACATTTATAAAATCCGCTAGTTTTTGGTAATTCATATATTGGTAATCAAATTCAGATTGAGATTCGTAGCAATATGGATCTCCAATAGGAGCGATGATAACGTTATGTGGAGTAATTGTTCCAGTTTTTGAATATTGTTCTAGTAATAATTCTGCTTTTTCTTTAAGATTATATAGGTTTATATCGAAATTTTTGTTGAGTATACCAAAATTAAAATCATTAGTACAGACTGCGTTGTTTGGACCACAAGCTCTAAACCCAGCTGAATTAAATTGTAAATAATGAGTCAAAACGGATTGTTTTGGAAAACGCTCATGTCCGATCTTATTCAGTGCATCGTTAATGATCGTTGCAGAAGTTTTATCACTGTCCCAGTTTTGGATCCACACAAAATCGCTATGTTGATATTCCGCTAAATATTGTTCCCAGGAAAAGTGAAGATTTGTTATTATTAATTTGAATATTCCAGAAGCCGATAGTAGGTAAGCCATTGTAGGACTGTGAGTCACGCTGTTTGTAAGCCAACCGACCTTCGGAGAATAATTCAAATAATATTTTAACCATTGATGTCCTGAAATACGATATAACAATTTAATTATATACTTATTGAAGTATGTATTAAATTGATTTGCATATTATACTTTCTGGGTTATTTTATATTGATGTATCCAATATGTATCCAAGTTTTTTCATTTAAATTAGTTGCTTGGTCCTTAAGCTTATCTATTATCTGATATATGAAAAGGCCAAAAATATACCACCCGCAATTTAAAAAAGTTTATTTTCTAAATTGCTCAAACCTGGCATTAATTCCGCTATTATACGCAAAGCAACATATGAACCACTATGTCATGGAAGTTATAAGGATAACAAAATTATTATAACATGTACAGAATTGGAGAAAATAAAATATATCAAAAACATAAAATATTGCATTAAGAACTTATTCTATTTAAAGTCACTTAAAAAATTACCTTTTATTATTGGGAACAATTATAATATAGTATATTTTTTTGCAATTTTACCCACATGATTTATATGTTTATGTCTATGTAAGGTCCTTAATATGAAGTAGCTAGGGAGGAATAAGTATCATAAAGTCATATAAATTATTCTCGTAAAAATCACGAAACATTAGTATCTCTTGTTACCTTCGACTAGTTGATGTATCAGCCCAAAGATATGAGTGGTCGCTTCATCGGGTTCTATCCATCCTCCTGTAGTAATTTCTAAACGGCCTCCTTTTACCAGTCGTCGAAACGCCTGCTCAACGTACCAAATTATCATACTTCATTCAAATATAACGTTGTAGTTTACGATTCTGACCTGACTGACATGGTTCAAATGTTACTGTGATGGCACAATACATTGTATGGAATTTGACCAGAAAGTTAAACTTATCTATGTTGAAGCACTGCTAGTAACGTTAAGACCTTTTTAATCTTATTAGAATTAAAATTTATTTCTCGGGATATTATGATTACTCAAGGGTATAATGCATTATTATAACTTTAAATATGGCCAAAAACCACTAGCGGTTTAGTATTTTTGTGAACTGTTGCTGTTGTAGTTAATATAACAGGATAGACTATTGTACATGCTATTATATTATTGGCTAACAGTGGGCAAATCTAGTTAATAGACTAGATGTGCCTACTCTTCGTCAAGCATATTTAAACTAAACTCTGTGGAGATGGATTCACCCTTCTCTCGGATTAATTTACTTTATTAACGAAATTCACACGTATAAATTACAAAAATGAATTAGGTGATTTTTTTTTTTATTATTTAATTAATTTAATTGAATGAACTTCAGCATTATTCTCTTACCGAACGACTCTTTTTCGAAGTGGTTTTCCACCACTGACTCAAATGAGACACTTCGTGCCATGTGAATGTTAAATTACTATAAAACTGGAGTTTCTTAACAATATTTGATAAAATCTTGTTGACGCTGTTATTATGATAATATTCGAAAGATTGTTTCCAGATGGAGTCCACGTGGGTGCGAGGAATTAATATAACCTGTAAAATGAATAAAATGAAAATAACCCTATTGTATTGTACAATTAAGTAACAATCAAATCAAAGTAGTATAGATACTATGTGTTATGAGAGCTTCCTATAACTACTACTAGCTGGAGACCACAACCCAGAATACTAAATTTAGAAAGATGCGTTTCTCATAATGATAAAATCGAGAACCATATTTGGATTGTCTTTTAGGAAAAGGAACATTTCCGCCATTGCTGCACGGAGATCGCTACAAGAAACCAAACACGCCGCTTCCTCCCTTCTGCGTCCATTATATGATATAGCATGCTTCTATTTCGAAGGGAACTGAACATATATTATATTGGCCTAATCGAGGTTCTAATTTTAATTTTCGAAGTAATGGGAAAATGTACGGAGTGATAAAAAAATGAGTAACCGTAATATTGAAGGTGGTTCGTACAAATTATAAATTAAAAGGATTCAAAATTATATATATATATATATATACATAATAATAGGTTACCTTTAAAGCTGGCCATTTTTGACTTCTCATTAAAGATTCATAGCGACTATCAAATATAATGTTCCAAAAATGTTTTTTCTTCATCCAAACTGGCTGTAAGACACACATATTAATAATAATATAATAATTCAATAGTTACGTTGTATATGTGAATTGTGTACTCTTATAGTGGAATAATTGTATAAATGTTTAAACACACTCTATACTTACTTCTATGTCAAAGTTTAAAAATTTATCCTGTGCATCAATATTTGCTTTTGTTTCCTGTAAAATTGTACAAGTATGCGCATTCTCAGATATATTATAGCTGTACTTGGATTTGGTATCTAAGATCAATTCCTCTATTAGGAAATCAGTTTTATCAATGTCTTGTTGATTTGAGTTTTCATAGTGTTCAGTATTGACTTCATCATCGGTTGGGGTCTTAAAAATTCTTTTTATTATAACACTCTCATTTTCTTTACGTGTCTGTGGAAGTTCAGGTATGACAATAGTGTTTTCTTTACTGTTGCCTTTATGTTCAGTGTTTTGTAAATGGTGATCTCCAGACGTTAGAAAATATTGAGACTGTGTAGGTATCTGGTAATATATAGCTATATCTTCAGGAAGTGCATTATTATTACTTTTATTACTATTCAGAGCCGAAAGAAAGGCATTGCTTGAATAAAATGTTGATATATTCTTATTTGATGTATTCCTCGCCATTCTAAGTTCGCTGGGCAATAGATTTTCCTTCCGTCCTACTTTTATTCTGGAATAAGACGATTTGCCTCGGTTTGTTTCCACAGATGATAATATAGTGGATACCTTGGGCCGTTGCATCTTGTGTATCACAGTTTTTTCTGCGTATCCAGGGTACAATAGATCTCTGCTGAATTGCAACGATCTAGGAAACATTGAAGCATTTCTCCAAACCCTATGCTCGCTTTCTGCTTCACTAAAAGATTTTTGTACCATTTTAGATTGATTTCGAACAATTTTCCGTAACGCTGTAATAACAAAACAGATCACAACATTGGCTAATTAAAGTGGTAATGAATTTTAATGTAATCTATAAATAAAAAAATATATATAGAGAGAAAAATAAGTAATAACAGCATAATCCAAATATTTATCCAGTGGAAGCTCTGTTCATTAAACGATGGACAGAAAAAATTATAAAACAACATCAATTACTTACTTTTTTCATAACTATCGACTTTTGAGTTCAATATAAGGTTCAGTATGAAACAGATCCGGAAAATTTGGTTTTGGCTCATCATAGTTTAGACACTAACTGCTTCGGTTACCTGAAGACTGTCACTAAGTGTTTAAAAAGTGAAATGTTCAACAATTATTGTTTCTTTAGACACCGTCATGCTTTAGGTTGAAATGTACATTGTTGACTTTGAATACGAGGAACTGTTTATACTCATGAGGATGACTCTAATATAATATATACGCTAGCCATTGAATGACAAATCATTTGGAATAGTGGCTAGTTTTTGTTCTATTTTGCATCTTTGAATGTTTACTCCAGCTACGTTACTTTGTAACCGTGACATAGACAATGTCTTATATTATTATAGTGACGGAAACAAATCCGTTTTGCTAAACTAAATTTGTAAGATTTAGATCATATAAGATCTATAACATAGTTTAAATATTTAAGTAAGTAAATATTTGCTTCCGTTAGGTCAATTAATTAAAATGATATCATAAAATTTAGATATTTAAAATTAATTATGAACTATATATATTCGAAAATTAGGTACATATATATATATATATATATATATATATATATATATATATATATATATATATATATATATATATATATATATATATATATATATATATATATATATATATATATATATATATATATATGTACCTAATTTTCGAAATAAAGAAGCCCTTTAATTTATGTTTGAAATATAAATTGAAAATATACTAAGAAGCGGAAAAAATGGCTGAAAAATTTAATTTATAAATTAACTGTTCTGCAAATCGCATGCGCGAATATCCAGCGTGAAGTTCGCGGCAAACTTCGCTGCCAACATGCCGCGAGAAACGGGGCGGTATTATTTTATTGATTCCTCTCACCCCAAACTCACCCTCGATGTCCGCGACGATCCCAACATAACTATTATAACTTGTAAGCAAAAACATAGATGTGAAACAATAAGTAAATACAGAAATGGTAAGCATTTTTTTTTATAATTTTAATTAATTACAAACATTAAAAAGAGATAGAGATGTATGGTTATTAAATTAATGTTAATATATAAATTGTAAATATAATTTTAGGATACAAATGCTATGACTACGTCAGGTTTGCTCGAATGGGAGTTTTCGCTGCCATCCGATCAGATTATATCGCATGGCTGGTATCATGGAGCGCTGAGTCGTACAGCAGCGGAGAATCTACTACAACAGGACCGAGAGTTCTTAGTAAGGGACTCCTCCTCGCAACCAGATAACTATGTGCTGAGCTGCCGTTCCAATGGACAACATCTTCATTTTGTTATACAACGGGTAAGGAATCAAATATTTTTATTCTATAAACTTTTATTATCATATTACTTATTTCGAGAGTGAAATACCTACTGACCATTACTTTTTTATTTAATAAAATACAGGTTGTTTCATGTATCTATGTATATATTTATAATATTTTGTCACAGGAATGATCAATAATTTTAACACAAATTTATCATTTGATTTAGATTGTCGTGCATCCAGAGACGGTTTATGAGAGATATCAGTATCAGTTTGAGGATGAAGCATATGATACCGTTGCGGACCTTATAACTTCCTATGTAGGTTCGGGAAAACCGATATCAGCTGCTTCAGGCGCCAGAATTCAATACCCCGCCAATCGAATCGTGCCTCTTACTAATTATATCCCAAATGACGACATTAATTCTGTTATCTCACCAATCGGCGATGGTTCCGGTTCTTATAGTTTGTATAGCCATTTTGCAGCCAAACCGGGAATACAACTACGAGTACCCTTTAAAAAGCAAAGATCGCATTCCCTAACACCCATTGACATTGGTCAACATAACAATCATGGGAAAAGCGCGAGTGCTGATGGCGTAATTCAAAGTCAAGGTAACAAACACATGAAAAACTTTTCTGGCGATTCCAATTCCGGTTCTAACACATGGGATGCAAATTTACCGACAAGCCCGCCTGCAAAGCCTGCGCGCTACGAAGGTCCAAAAGCAGATGATCGACGCTTAGAATTGCAGAGACTTTACCACGTTTCGGGATCAGACTCTGGCAACGGCTCTGGTGACTCTACACAGAGTTCAGCTCACAGTGATCCTAATAAGTCAAGGATAGATTCCGATTATAATTTGGTGACTCCTACTATCAAACAACAGTTCGATTATGATTTGACAGAGGCCAGATTATTACAATCAGAAAATTTGGATTATGTTGTAGATTCACGTATAAATTTAGAAAATTTTCAGTCACAAATTATACAAATGGGTTTAACAAAGCCTTTAGAATCGGAAACCTTGCATACAATTAAACTTCTACTTCGCACTTCGGGCCCACGTATTTTGGCGAATCACATGACAAAAGTAGATTTGCATTTTTTATTAGACGATGCCATACAATTAGAAGGTATCGACAGAACAGCTTCGGGTTTGGAACTGTGTTTCCTTCCTCAAGGAAGACCGTTACGATTAGATGTTATTGAAAGGTAAATTACCACACATTTAGTAGCGTATTAACATCATAGGCGCCTTCCTCAGCCCGTCTCAAAAAATAATCTTCAAATACGCAAATATTTAATATTTAAACACAAATAATGGCTACAAATTGCGATATTTGCAGGATTGAAACCTACAGACTTCTTATAGCAGTGACTATTCTAACATGTCAAACCGATCGACAACGAGCTGATACTATCAATGATTGGATTCTCCTGGCTGTGGAAACGAAGACAGCTCTTGGAAACCTTTACGGTTTCTCTGCGATCATGTTTGGATTATGCATGCCACAGGTATAGATTTTTTTTAGTCATTTTACATCAGAACCAGTGATGTACTTAAATATTTGTTTGTCTACCAACTGATAGACGCTATTGCGAAAGTAAAAATTAACAGTTTAAAAATTAGAAGAGACATATAGCGAATTATTTCCAGTAAGGTGGATAGGGCAACACACCAGTATGTTATAACTATGCAACATACATTAGTGAAAAAATCTGAAATTCATTTTCCTTTTTACGTCTAATGGCATTTTGTGAAACTTTTTAGCATCTATACTTTTTAAGGTGAGTAGACCCCCCTTTTTCCCTCCTTTTGCCCCTAAACGTGTTCCTGTGTGTTTTTATTTTTTAATTTTCTACAAAAAAGTATTGGAGGTAGTCGAAAACTGTCAAGGAGAAAAAAAAATCTTCATTACATTCTCTATAACATTTACATAAAGATTATTTTAATAGGACTAATAAGGAATACGAATTAATCTAAATGCATTTACCTAAAAAAATAAGATTATGTATTAGCGTATAATAATTAGTTCACAAAATACAAATTTGCAGTGCAAACGCCGTCACGATCTTCGTACGCTTGTGCCCAATACATAATTTATTTTATATGTAATAACTGTTGTAAAAAATATTATGTATGTAATTATTTACTTTATTTATTACATATAAATATAGTACAATTTCATTTAGAGAAATATGCACATTGGAAAACCGATGTATATGAGTTTCGACAATATAGTAATGGCCTCTGAATTAAAATTTAAAATATAAAAATTAAGTCAGGCCAGTACTTGTTACTTGAGAAGCTGTTCCTAAAACTTTAAAAAGCAAAAGAATGACTTATGTTTACCCTAAAAACACTAGTAGTCTTATGGAAATTGTTACAAAATACTGTTGTTACTGATATCTGCGTATATTTATTAATTTGCTTCTTATATTTATGAGCTGCTATTTTATTTATTTTAATTACGTTAATTAAATATACTTTTTTACGATTCAGTTTAAGGCCTGGAACATTTTTGCCGTCACCCTCCTAGTGGTAGGGGTATATTGCCCCGTCATATGACCATTCGGCCCATGGTGGTATCGGGTTTATCGACCACAAGTCATAATGTTACTAATGTTTTAAAGATCGAGAGTGTGTCAGCTAGGGTGGTATACCTGGTACTCGGAATCACCAATAGGTATTAGCTGAACCCACATAGGTTACACAGGTACATGTATGTGCCGATCGTGACACACTTCGATGTAGAGGTGGAAGCAATGTATGCGGACATTTTAAGAGCCATACATTCCTTTAATACTTAATACACAGTATTGATCGGGGACTTCAATTTTAAACTGTGCAAGAGAAAGATAATGAGACGAGCAAAGGGAACTTTGATATCGGGCATCGAAATCTTAGGAGACAGCAATTAGCTGACTTCATAAAGGAGGTAGGACTTTTTATATTGGGGAGGAAAGGGATTGTTAGCAATGGAGTTTGACAGACCCACTGCATGCCTTATTAGGTCGACCTCCACGTGGTCCCCCCTGGAAATCATCGTGAACAATTCTTATTGAATTCGTCACGATGGGCTAATTGACCTGCTTCATCCTCACCTATCATCCTTCACTGGTGCCCCGCCAGTGTATACCGATAGCGCGGGTGGGGTTACCATTCCATTATTATCCATTAAAAAAAAAAGACTGATGAACTCGTTCCAAAAGTAGCCATACATAAAATGTATCTGGACAAGCCGTCATGATTCTATATCCATCGGCAAACTGTTAATAATTGTTTTATTGAGTTGTTTATAATTGTTGCATATATTTTATTTTACTAAAGTATAAATCTTTCTTATTACTTACATACGTCACGTTTCATAACGTTTTACCATATGTCGAGTGTTAGTGCTGGAGCTTTCAACGGCGTCCGCACTGTGAGTTTGTATATCGTGAACTAATTATTTTACGGTAATAAATATGTTCTTATTGTACAGGTAAATGCATCTACATAGATTAATTTCTCACTTGGATAATTTATCATAGCAACGACCGTTCTTAAGAAAATTAAGAACAAATACAAATTTATAAATTAAAAAAAAAAGGAATTTTCATGCATTTCGGGCAGGCACATCTCGTAACTTATTAGCCCTATTAAAATAATGTATTTTTTATTCTTTATTGTACACAACATATAAAGTTAAGCACAATTCATTTTAAACATAAATGTACAAAGGCAAGGCTCGCCTATAATCTCTAATAAGAGATTTCTTCTAGCAAACATTTATAATCTATGTGTAAATGTAGTAAAGATAGTAATGAAGATTCTATGTCTTTTATAATTTTCTGTTTTTAATGGGTGATAATGGAATAGTATCCATTGCCAGCGGGGCACCAGTGATGGATGATGATAGGTGACGATGATAGCAGATCAGTTAGTCTATCATAACGAATTCCATTACAATTAACCACGATGGTTTCCAGGGGGAACTGCGTGAGATCAACCTGATAGGGTGTATTTCTAGCAATGTCTAACTCATTGCTAGAATTATTAATACATACATACATATCTGTCACGCCTGTCTCCCATTAGGGTAGGCAGAAACAATGGAACGCCAAATGCTTCGATTCAAACAAACCTCTTTCGCTTCTTCCACATTCATCAATCGTGTCATACACGCTCGCCGGTTACGGGTACTTTTAATTTGGCCCTTCTTCAGCACGTCGCCTATTTGGTCGACATACGTCCGTCTAGGGCGGCCCCTACCGACATCTCCATTCATTCTTGCTCGATAAATTTCTTTCGTAATTCTTCTTTCATCCATCCTCTCCAAATGACCAAACCAACGCAATATTCCTTTTTCGATTAAATTATTAATACATTACTAATAATCCCTTTCTCCCCTACAATTTTCTATTATCTCAAATAGTTTTTATTGAAAATTAACAAAAAAAAAAAACTGTAGTAAAAGGAGATAGGAGGGACGGAAAGGATGGCGCCGAGCAGAATCGTAATTAGCAGGGTCTAATTACCTAATTTTAAAAAGTACGGGTGCCAAAATTTACAAAAATGCTAATTGAACCCTATTTTTCCGATTTTTCCCACTTATCTAACCCATCAACAGTTAATTCTTTCAATTTTTATTAAAGTTATATTTCAGTATATATACATTAAAAGTCTATCTTTCAGGTAGAGTGCTTAGAAAACGCATGGAACATTCTAAGACGTGTATACACCGACAACGCGTTTATGTTTGAAGCAAAACTTCGTCCATGCTTTAAAAGCATGAATGAGGGAACAAATCCTTTACCTCCTAACACAACGACCCCTTATGTCCTGCCACCGGTACTGTGCTTCCATTTATTTGGTGAGTATCATATATATATATTTGGCGAGTTCTTTAAACAAGAATCTGACAAACATTCTTTCATTGAAATATTTCCTTGTTAAAGATGGTGAAAGCGGAGGTCTTATGCCGCCAGACGATTCATTTCCCACCAGTCTTATGAACACACTCGAATTTGATTTCAACGCTACAGCGGCGCATTTAGAAGCTGCACGCCATTTTCCTGACCAGGTTGACATGTTCAAACGTAATGCTCGAACTGTGGTTCAAGAGATGTCCTCTTTAGGATCCACACTCGATCCCACATTGCTAGAATTATTCAGGACCGAATTCCATATAAATTTCCTATGGGGTGAGCGCGGGGCTTTGACGACACCGAATCAGCGATTCGCGCGACTCACAGATATTTTGACGGCTATGGCAAATAAGTTAGCCAACCAACCTCCAGATTCCGAGGAAACAGTATAAATTAGAAGGTGTATAAATTAACACTCGTGATCTTTAATCATATCATAGAAATTTGGATATTTTTTTTGCTCTGATGGAAAAACAAAAATTTATTGTGTTGAAAGCGAAAGACTGGATTATTTACTTATATAATGACGTGGTATACGTACTGTTCTTTTATGTTATTGTATTCATGTGTGTTTATATGTTATGCTTGGTTTCAATGAGAGGCTCAAATCAAAATAAAAAATTTATAAGCGAGTGCAATTGTAGTATCATCGATACTGATGATTGTGTATACTTTATGAAAAAATTATACCATTTTGTAATTGTATTAAAAGAAATAGGTACGCAAACATTCTTATTGAAGTACCTAAATGCTTATATAGGCTTTGTTAATAAATAAAAACGCGCACCGTTACAATTGTAGAAGGGATAGTCAGACATTTATCAGCTTGAGATAATTTTTTTAAAGGATATTATATTAATAGAAAAGACACAAGTACAATAGATATAGAAGATATATAATAGGTAACTCTGTAAGATAATAAAATGTAACGTACACTTGTAATGTCTATTAACATGTAATAACATGTAAAAATGTTATTAATAATGTTAATATAATAAATGCGAAGTTTATAATAATAGAAGAATAGGTCGAAGGATGAAAGGTTGGATGGATGTTTGACAATCTTTCATGCATAAACTACGGAACTGAATTGAATTGAAATTTGGTACACGGATAGGATAACTTAGCACATAGGATACTTTATGTACTGATTCAAACGAAGCTGCTGGATAAAGCTAGTATAGTTATACTTTAAATATAATTATGTAAGTAGTGAGTAAACTTTAATATTTATTTATACATTTATAAAATATATAAATAAAACAAAATGATCCCTACTGAAACAATGTCTTTTATTTATTTCTAAATTCCAAAAAATGAAACCAATCACTTTTCATTTTGAATCATTTAATGATTTAGAATGTAAACAAAAAATAATTACAATTTTAATGTATCTAAGTTTTATATTAATATATACATACATATATAAACAAAATCATAACTTGCTCTAATAAACCCAGTAATACTGCCCAATTTCATATAATCGGATAAAAAAGTAAAGATTCAATATTTCCTAGTAGCAACGTCAAAAATCAGCAAAGGCGCCCATAAATATCACTACCAACAAGGGACGCAGCTTAGTATACCTACTTACTAGTATCGTAAATATTACTTTTTGTTACTTTTTAACGCCATTACGGCTTAATCCAATTTGGTAAACATTCTTTTTACCTTGATCAATTCCAAAAAGTTGTAGGTAAATATTTTTTAAACGAACAATCACATTGCACCTTCTTTCTGCGTATTCCATAAATGTAACATATTTTAAAATCACATCAAATTATTGCTTTTCCTCTTATTTGCATAGTTGTAGTACTTGAAGTGTCAACTACAAATATGTTTTAAGCAGTTAATGGCCGCAGAAATTCGCTAGTCAATTTCAAGTCACATTACGCAACGAACATTGACTAGCTGATATTATGATGACAAGGCATTAGCATTTATTTAGCATAAACCATTACATTTTATTAAAATGAATAAAATCTATGGAACACTATTCCTGAATATTTTCTGTAAACAGATTATTTTACGATGAAATATTTTTATTACACAAAACCGATTAAAATTCTTTCTACCACGTCGCTCTCCTATATGTTCATATGGGACATATTCACAGGTTCTATACTAAACTTACCTTTTAAGAGATTTTTCAGCTAATCAAATCAAAACAATTAGTGAAATGGGATTTTTGTCCCATTTTCATTAAAGTCACTATAAGGAAATAATTTTTCTCATTCATTCCACTATGTAAACTTTTCCATTAATATGTGTTATTCTAACTATTTTATTGTCATTATGAAACTACGAGTCAATAAATGATATTATTATATGAAAATGTCAGAAAACTAAAGTTGACAACAAACTAATACCTCTATAAGATCTGCAGTACACTTCTGCTCAAATGGCAAATAAGGTTTTCCATCTCTTTTATTTGACAATAAGGTCGATTCTGAAACACTATTTCTCTAAATCAATCTCTGAAATTAAAATTTCAATTTCATCAGTCGATGTCACAGCGAGATATTTATATAAGACTATGAACACACATGAACTAAATTTCTAATAAATAATAAGTCGAAAGTATTAAAAATTTAGTTTATGATACATCATTAAACAGTAATTTATTGAAATTATCAAATTAAAATATTAGGTTCAGAGATAGGGTTGAAGAAATGCTGAATCGGAACGATATTTTCAATCATGTTCTATGTATAATCTTCAACAAAAAAAAAACTTTGCATTTGTTGGGCATGTGATAAATAGAAATGTAGATCGGTTGAATGAGAAAACTGAATTTAGTTTCAAAAATATATAGGGCAGATATAAGATTGATAAGCTGCCAAAGCAGACATAGCAATAGATATATAGAATTTTACTAATAATACAAAATGTCTAAATACGCATTAATTATAATATCAAAATGTCCTGTAATTATTAATCAACACCAATTACATAATAAAGCAGTAGTACACTTATAATCTACTATATATGAATTCACCCACATTTATATATACTTATTTATACAGTTTACAATAATACACCACAGAAAATCGGGCTTGACAATGAAACCTATATTAATCGAACTATTTGATCAAAATATGCCTATATAACGGCAATACGTGGTTAACAAAACAGTCTTCCCTTCCCATTTGGTAATCTATAAGATGTGAATTACAATACACACCGAAAAACACGTATTCGAAAACGTCAGTAATTTAACACTATCGAATTATTATTATGCATTATACTTCAATCAGTAATATAGATATTACTAACGGCAATACGTAATTAATAAAACAGTCTTCCCTTCCCATTTGGTAGTTTACAAGAAGAGAATTACAGTATACACGACATTAAAAAAGTCAGCAATTTAATACTATGAATTTAATATTATGTATTATAATTTAATCAGTAATGTCAAAATTGATAACGGCAATACATGGTAAATCAAACAGTCTTCCCTTCCTTTTTAATGTCTACAAGAAGTGAATTACAATTATACATCAGCAAAACACGACATTTAACCTATTAATCTAATTTTATGCTTCAATCAATCAGTAATGTCAAAAATGATAATGGCAATACATGGTAAATAAAAGTCTTCTCTTCCATTTTGGTTATGTCTATAAGAAGTGAATTAAAATATACATTAAAAAAAACACATTGAAACAGATAGTACTTAATCTAATATTATGCTTCAATCAGTAATGTCAAAATTGATAACGGCAATACATGGTAAATAAAAGTCTTCCCTTCCTTTTTGGTGATGTCTACAAGAAGTGAATTACAATATACACCGACAAAACACGACATTTAAGAAGAATAGTAATTTAAGACTATTATTCTAATATTATGCTTCAATCAGTAATGTCAAAATTGATAACGGCAATACATATACAATAAAACAGTCTTCCCTTCGCATTTGGTAAAGTCTACAAGAAGTGAATTATAATAAACACAGTAAAATACGACATTAAAAAACGAATGAAAGCATTTTTACACTATTAATATTAAGCACTACACTTTAATCAGTAATGTCAAAATTGACATGTCTATATAAAAAGCAATATATATAATAGCAAATAATAAATACGGTGGTCGATAAGATTTCATTTCGATAGCAGTGCAGTGCTTCTGCAAAGCAGTGCATCAAATATCTACATTATAGTAGGTACATCGAGTGTGCTTAAAAGACTTAGATCAAATAGTTCAGCAATGCGCTCACGCAGAGCTTTCAGTAAACATCAGAATTTGAGTGATTTAGCAACTAACGCGACCATTGCTTGCGCTTTGTCGCCGTTGAACCGTCGCAACTCGACGATCGCCTGTAATAAGTAAAGGGAAATTAGTTGTTATTTACTTTTGTTTCTTTTTTTGTGGTACACAATTTAATAATATTCGTTAAAATGGTAAAAAATAAAATGGTGTTCTTTATTAACTTTCATAACAATCAATTAACATTCCATTATTGAGCACAAGTCTGTCTACCTACATAAAAGGAGAATATTATCCTACTATGATCGTGCTAGCCTTGGTGCAGTGATTTACTTTGGTGTATCATGGATTAGTCACCTCTCACAACATGCTGAGGGTGGAAGAGCAGTGACATGCTGCTTTGTTATTTCACAAAAATGCAGATGAACGAAGGTTTAAATGAAAATGCAGATAGGGTATTAAATAGTGACAAAATTGATATGTGGTAGCTATACCAAGCATAGCCCTCTCCATGCCTCGCTAAGCATTAAATCTCAGCGAGCTATGGAGAGAGCTATGCTCTGAGTATCTTTGCGTGATAGAATCCGAAACGGACTATCCGCAAAAGAACTAAAGTCACCAACAAAGCCTGAAGGATAAGCAAGCTGAAGTGGCAATGGGTTGATCACCTCGAAGAACCGACAACCGATGGAGATAGTTTTTTGAGTAGCGACTACCTACGAGCATACGCAGAGTAGGATGACACCCCTCCCTCCCACCCTCCACTACACACAGACACACACTGAAGTGACGACCTCAAACGCATTGCAGGAAGTCAGTAGATGCAGGTGACTTAGGACCGTCCCTTATGCTAGATTATGGGGGAGGCCTATTTCAGTATTCAGTAGTGGACAGATAATAGCCGAGATGATGATGATAACTTCAATTACTGTAGCAAATTTTATTTCTATAAATGGACTCACCTGCTCTCGGGTGAAGCCGAAGCCAACTATTTCTTCCACTTCAGATTCTCCAAATTTATCAGTTGGCAAGATGGTCTGACCAGGATCGACAAGACCTGTTTAAAAATGTAAAGTTAGTTTTATAAAACCACTGCAGGATTTGTACAAGTTGGACTATTTACGAGTATATTACAATATTGTTATATAGGCTGTTAAACTATACCTAATAATAATTTATATAGATGTGACTTGGACTCTGTCTGACATAATAAATTTGTGTGTCAATATAAATTGCCCACATTGATAACATTAAAAGCAAATTAATGTACGTGCCAGTGGTAGGCTCTACTAATGCTACATAGATTTCTAATGGTTCTAATGGTTCTGATGGTTGGCGAATTTTTAATGAATTCATGATGGGCCAACTAATCTACTTTAATTTTCACCTATCATCACTCATTAATGCACCACCAGAGAACTTAGATAGTGCATCGCCCATTAAAAAACAAATGCTCGACAAATGGTACGTCAAGTATTACTTTCACCATAACCAGGATCATAGTGACGAGCGTATTTATTTTTATTTATTTTAAGTAATTTTAAAATTTCTTTGTTTGTAATGGATAAAGTCAAAATAGTTAACGGATTTTAAAAATTCTTTCACCTATATAAAGCTATATTGTCAGCAGGTAAGGTGGGCAGTCTTTTGTTAAAAAATAAATTAAATCTACTTATCTAGTAATAAGGCAGTATTCATACAAAATCTACAAACCTATTTTAACTATTATATAGCTTATCACTTTCTTTCAAATTGCAAATAAAAAGTGTTAAAAAAAGAGACAAAACAATTCACATGAGGTATAAGAGGTTTTACGTTTTTAGTAAGAGTGTAATACAAAGTTGTCATTGTTTTTTTGAGAATGCTAAAAAGACTAAATCTGCCTTATGTACCACACTCGGTCCAAAAACTTCAAATAAATATAGACAAGGATTTTACCAATTCTCTGCCCAGTTTGCGTTCCATTGGATGATGCTTGAGGACCAGAACTAGATTTAGGCATCTGCTTTTCTGCAATATCTGTAAAACAGATATAATATATAATAGTAACAATCATTTTAACATAGCTAGATTCAGAGCCTGCTCAGACAGACATGAAAAAGTGTACAGCAAAAAGTGTCTGCAGTGTGTATAGGTCCTAATAAACTATTGTATAATGATTAGGTACAATCTACAATAACAGCAACGTTCTATATTTTAAGCAGTACATTATATTAATTCTAGTGAGGTTATCGTGAATGTAAATTTATTATCTGTAATTTATGTTACGTGATAAGTGCACATACTATTACATACATTGATTTATTTATTGATCGATAATTACTTATCTTTAAAGTATGTTTATTCAAATTAGGACAAATATTTGACATTCGTCACCAAAATAATAAGTAAAGTGAAATTACATAAGTCAAAAACTTATGCAGTGTTAAAACTTAACAGTATTATTAGCAAAACATATTTTATAGCCTTCCTCACTGAATGATTGATATAAATAAAGAGATTTAGTTCGATTTTGAATTATACTATTTATATATTATTATAAAAATTAATTATTAAAATTTTTGTGCTTCCAAATTATAACTAATATAATAATAAAAATATTACTAATTTTCACTATTTATGATAGGAAAAATCTTGAAAAATAACGCAAAATGATGCAGTTTGGACAGATTTTTCATTAAATATGCTTAAAATGTAATAAAAAAAAAAATTCTATGATATATGATAAATGTGATGAAAGGAATATTACGTTTGTACATACATCTGGAAATTGAGAGAGAGTCGTGAGCGTAAAACTAATACGTAACACCATCTATACAAAAACAAATGTTAGTTTTACTATCTTTATTGTATTAAAATATACGTTACTATTTTTATTGTCTTATAAACGTCAACAGAACATTTTAAATTTAACATGCATATTTTAGATTTAACAAATTACTTCTTTTTGCCACGCCCACCTTGCTTTGATTTTTCCAATGCTTCTTTCACTTGGCGCTCCTCGTGATCTCTCACGGACTGGCTCACGATCTCGTCTTCTGATAAGCCGGAGAGCCTAGCACAGTCCGGCAGTTCCGATTCTGGCAAGAACGGCGTCTCGGTTCCTGTGGTGCCGATGCGCAGAACGTTCCGTTTCAAGTCTATATTGCACTGGTAATAAAAATGTTAATGTCAAGAGATATACATGAAAAATAAATGTTACACAAAGTTGTTTTAAATAATATTTCATCATTATAATCCTACCAGCCATTAATTGTCTACTATTTAACCTATGTTCATATATATATGTATGTCCACTTTGAGGGGTTTGCTAATAGTTGATATGATTGCCAGGTAGACTGGCAATTGAAGGTAGGCTTTAGTAAAAAAAAAAATTATTCACATCGAATTATCAAAAGAAAATAAAAACTGTTTTTATACTAATGCTTTGCGTTCTTATTATATCTTATAATAAAATTTCAACTCGCAACAAGCAATTTTCGCTTCATAATAATAAATAGAATATATCATCATAAAATTAAAATAGAATCAAAAGGGAGTAAATCCAATTGATTGCAAGAGAATTAGGAAGTAGAGTTCACTACTTAATCGCACATAAATTTTTAATACGCCTGTAGTCAAAATTTGAGTTTAGGGGCAAAGTCGTGTTATGTGTTGACATACCTGGTGTCTTTTGAGCATATCCAGTCCAAGCAGCATATCCATAGGCTGTTCCTCCAGCACTGAGAAAGATGTGGTAAGGAAGTCCTTTTCAATTCTCATCTGCACCATGTGGATGCGACCAATGATGCGTTGTACACCCACACCTTTTGCTATGCCAGCCCATCTATGCAAAAAAATATTTCTATAGCTACCTTAATATATAAAAATCACATGTGAATCCAGATGGTTTTTATCCTGGTAAATAGTCTTATAAGTCAGCTAGTCATTATACAAAAATATAAAATATCTAAATAATAAGTAAATTTCATGTTTTATTATTATACCTGGTATCTACAAGTCGCATGATGTTGCATCGTTCAGCGCAAGCTGCAGACATTATTGTTGTTTGCGCACCTGAATCTATGAAAGCCTTTACTGGAAAGCTGAAACACGCCAAAAGATTATAATATTACTTATATATGCCACTAGCAGATCATCGAGGTCTTTGCCTTTGTAATATATGTAAAAAAAGATGTTAAAACAATAGTCACTATCTCCAATAGAGCAGAATACCACACAGTAAGGTAAGGTATCTGATGATCAATTTGGAAATCATGCCTACCCATTAACATGACAGTTGATGTATAACATGACCACAGTTCCAAAAGTTTCAGGATTATACTCCATGGCAGCTTCCATATTTGCTTCAATATTCTTCTGGCGGATTTCCTCAGCAATCATTCTTTGTGCCTCAGTGTCAAATGGGTCAGAATTCATCATTCTAAAAAGGAATAGATAAATACATAGAAACAATAACAATAAAGATGTCAACATATGGAATAATTTAAATAACTGAAAAACAACATACCGAATATATCTGAATGTGAATGCATAATATACTAACAATACATTAATCATACAATAATGTAAGGATGTTAGTGTACAATTTATGTGGTAGAACTTTAAAAATCCAGAGATTGTGATGTATGTATATGTTTATATGTAAACTTTAAAAGCAAAATATGATGTCAAGTTTTAGATTTAAATTATTGATTATTATGTCAACTTAAATTAATATTTAAACAATCCTGTAGAATTTGTTAGTGTTTTTTAATACATACATATTATATAAAAAGTATTTACATTAATACAAACAAACACTCATGTATAGGAATGTCTGTATTATGCAAGTTTTGAACTTAAATAAAATGTGAAACAGTGTAGGCCAGTTCACAAATATAGTTGACAACATTTGAACTAAATATCATTAAATATATAAATAAATAATGATATGACCACAAACTCACCTTATTCTTTGTTGTTGACGTTCGCTTCTAGCAGATATTTGTTCACGAAGTACTGATGCAAATGTATCTATGAAAAACAGTATATTGATATTTATATTTACTTAATATGTATACCTACTTTAGATTCCATTACATAATGCATAATTCATTGTATTAAAAATTTATTATCTGTGTAGTGTTGAAGTAAACTAAGGAGGCAAGATTCACAATTTTTTTTCATTACTAGAATATCATAGAAGAGCAACTACACATTCTGTAATTTAATCGGGAATTTTATGTTTGGACTTTTATTCATCATCATTATATCAGCTGTTAACTAACACCTACAATAGGTCTCCCCCATAATGGGAGTTTTGCCAGTAGTTGCCACTTTGGTAGGCAGATTGGCGACCAGAGTTAGTCTTTTGTGAACTTTCAAAAGGGATGCTGCTGCCCATCACTCAACTGAATTCCCTTAGTTACCTCTTATGATGCCCATGGTAAAGCAAGGGATGGCCTATTCTATATTAGGACCACACAGCGGATTTTTATTGTCTGAACATAATCAATAACATAATTTTAAACAATAATATGTAAAAGAATATGGAAAATAAAATTAATAAAATTGCCCTACCCCAGAGGGAGGACATCATTATTTATATTACCACATTTATTATATTTGTGACAGCTTGTATAAATGCTCAATCATGATTTTTTCAAATTATCCATCTGCAATCAATCTCGTTTTAGCTAAAATCAGATCTGGTATTCAAACATGATGTGGCTTTGATAATTTTTAAACATTTATCAAAAATTGTGACTGTATATTCTAAATGTGACTACTAATACAGTATATTATCTGTGATTGTAAATCGTGTTTGTCTATAGACAAATATTTCAGTCATCCAGGGCATATATTTTAAAACAATAAATGCTATATTGTAAAAGGTTATGAGAATTTAGGTGCCTTTTTAGTGAAGAATTTCTTTGGATGCTGACTACGAATCTTTTAATGGAAAGTGTAAATAACATACCAAGGTTACCACTAAGCAATGCATCAGCTAATCTTGGATTATTTTGTTTGAGTAATGCCAATTGGTCAGGATTGGCAAGGAACATCTCTCTAATTATGCGAGGGTCCTCTTCTACAGGTGGATTTCTTGCAGCCATTGAAGTACTTGCCCCAGGTGGCACTTGAATATTACTGAAGTCTAAATTGGCTAAGCCAGTTGGTAAAGCTGCAAGGGGAACGATTGCTATTGTTTTATAAGAAATGAGGATTAAAAATTATAAAAATAAAATTTTTGAATAAGAACAAATGTCATTTTTTTTTTAAAAAAAAGTCTTTTATTTCATAAAGGAATCCAAATTCATAATTGACAACTTCATAACATGCATTGTCATCAACAATAACAAAACAAGATGACAAAGCATATTGACAGTGAAAGATTAAGAGAACAAAGGTACCTTGGTTTGCATCGTTCAAATTGAGATTCGAAGCGGACTGAACCATATGAAGTAACACGATTACGTCTCCATCGTGCACGCCGTGCTCTTTCAGCGATTTTTTATCGTCCAGAAGAGGTTTGCCGTTGAAATTTAGAGTGATCTCTTTAGCAGGGAAACCAGACTCTATCTCGCAGAACGCTTTGAAATTTTCCAATTCCAGGTCTTCCGAAACGTCCAAGACGAAGATCTCGTCGTTCAGAGTGGTAACAGTCACTTTCATTGTGGAATTTTGATGATTTGCTTACTTAGGATGAAATGTGGACGACAATGCTGATTTGTACAATGCGCCTTATATTCTGGGAATGACTGTCCGATTCATTTTATATACAGTACTCCCCGCTATTGGTATGTAAGTCCTTATAATAATAAAGCACAACTTTTGGAACCGTTCCCTAAAATTTTATTTGTGAAGGTATAAATGGCTAAGTCAGAAACTATTGGGACTTGGTAATACTAGGTATACAGCTAGAGATGCAAGTTCAATGAACATATTCTCTATAGAACCGGTAATTACCGATAATAACCACAGATAAACAAATATTTTAAATATATCGATAGTCGATTCTAAAGCGTCAATTCTATAAACCTATCTTTATAATTAAAATTAAACTTTGATATCACAGTGAAATCTTTATTGTAAGGATCAATTTGAACTAATTTTCTAACAGATTTAAGTCAATATATTATAATTTTTGTTTATAATAATGTATTATAAAACAGTAACCATATAACATAAAACAGTAATTTCGCGAAATTATCAAATAAAAAAATTAATAAATAAAACGATAAATTTAAGGAAATGGCTCTTCAGAATCGACCCGAATAATGGGGTCGATTCTAAAGAGCCATTTTAAGGCGCGGCTTGCGTCTTTTTCAATTATTAAAATTAAATTAACTAAAATTAACATTAGATCTTAGATTAAAATCACGAACCAATATAAACTAAAAGCGTTCATTCTTTAGTTAATAGAAGTGTAGTAATATTTTAGCAAAAGGACTAAAACAGAATAAACGTATAAAAAAATTTAATAATATATTTACTTTTTCTTACGTTAATGTAATAAGCAGAAAAAGGATGAGAAATGTGCTATCAATTACTTTTATCTCAATTCGTAGTAAACTACAGCAAAGATCAAAAAGGTATGGATTGACAATGTTATGAAATGAATATATCGATATAAGCATATCCTTATCATAGGGTAAGAATAAAAATGTTGTGTTTATATTGTTTCAATCGATTCATAAATAAAAACAGCATATCAATTTAAAGAATCACTTATAAAAACTTATAAAATAATCAATCAGTTGAATTCACTAAATTTTTTTTTATTATAATTATTGTTTTTTGAAAATTCTGTCTACTCGTGCAAAGCCGAGTCCGGCTAGTCTAGCACTATATAACATAAATTTCTGGTATGACGTACGTTTAAATTTAAATATTAAGAAAATATCATTTGCGAATAGAACTATATTCGCTATTTTTCTACCATATAAGGGAGGTCATTTATATAAATCTACACTAATATTATAAAGAGGAAAGATTTGTATTTTGGTGTGTATGTTTGTAATGAATAATCTCAAAAACTACTTTGCAGATTTCAAAAATTCATTCACCATTAGAAAGCTGCATTAACCCTGAGTAACGTAGGCTATATTTATAGCTAGAAAAGATTAGGGGTCTTTACTAAAACTTTAGTAACGTAACTCAAGGTGTAAAAAATTCTTTGTTTTTTTTAAACTTTCTGTAAAAAAATTTCTGTTTAAACACTGTTACAATTAAAAAACCTATTTAGTTAACCACTAACTATTGTAACGTCGATGAACTGGACCTTAATAGTTGAAAGATAGAGATGGAGCCGCGCACCTTCTTTGTTTGACAATGGGAATGTCAGCCCAAAAATAATTCTAGGTAATAAAATACTCATTACTTAGAACTAGTTTATGAGCTTGACCTAAGCTGATTGATGGAGTTAAATTAATTTAATAAATAATAATTAATTTAATAATAATTAAGTATCATCGTCTGCATAATTATAATCACCACGAAATGCTTGTTATTAGGATTCTTCATTATATTTTAAAAATCTATACTTCTTTAATAATACTATAAAGTTCAGACATGCTCTGAACTTAAGTTTAAAGTGATTCCAATTTTAATATTAATAAGTGTACCGGTACCGGTGTATTATGTCAATTACTGAACTTGGCACTAGAACAAGTTTGACATTTAAATATGAAATACTGTTAAGATGGATTTAAAAATAGAATTTAGATTATGATTTTAAATTTGGTATGGGATTCTTTTACCTTTATAGGTTTTATATAGAAACACATTAAAGCACACTTTCACAGGAATGACAGGCAATTTGAAAATGTTACATAGCTTCTCTGATAGTGTTTACGAAATGTTGCTGGCATATTTATGCGAAAATTGATCAGTTCGCTTCTATAAAAGCGCCACTAACAATACGTAATTAGCTGTCTATATTCATAATTATATTTAAACTTATATTGGGGTCGATTTTTAAACCGCTATATCTTTAAACCTATATTTAAAATTAAAAACTCAATTTAATTTCGTAGCGAAATCATTATTCTAAGAATCAGTATAAACTAATTTTTTAATAGATTTAAGTAAACAGTCAATATATTATAAAATTACTTTATGATATTCCATAAAATAGTAATTTCATAAAATTATAAAATTAAAAAAATATTAACAAATACGTTTAAAGAAATAGTGCTTCAGAATCGACTCTGTATATATGTATGTATGTATCGTATAATAGACAATTATTTTGGTGTACAGAATAACTAAACCGATAAATGTAAACTATATTTATCGGTTTGTTAATCTGTGTAGTGAAATTACGATTCGCGTAATATACACAGCTCTAGGTAGCTAAAAAAAATTACAGTACTGTAAAAAAAACTGTCTCAGTGAACTTCTTATGTTCATAGCTTTCAGAAAATTAGAAAACTCGAGGAAAATTGTGCTACCTTTGTTATTTTATTTTTTTTCTATAATAATAGCAAACTGTAATGCAAAACCAGTCCATTGTATTAAATGTAAGGTCTTGTAATGTGTTTTTACCGAATTAAATGTGAATTCGCGTTGTTGTCAACTGTTCATTAGACGTTGTTCTTGGTAATATAAATTAACAATGAATTAACAATGTGAAATTGACGTTCTTACGCTGAACGGTAAGTTTCTTCCCTATTTACTTTAATAACATTGCAAGGAATTAGTTGAATTTGAAGGCGATAATATACTCAATCATTTTTTATTTTGTGTTATTGAACCGAATTTTTCATTGACATTTGGTGAAAGTGGATGAACTGGTTACCATGCTGAGTGAGGTCCAAACGTACAGGTAGTTTTTAATCATTTGCATCCTTTTGTTACGCTTTCTTGGATGATTTGGTGGTGAAAAAACGCACGCGAGATGAAGTTTCGCGGACAAATTACGAAATAGGTATTAAATATCAACAAATATTAAAGAATAAATTATAAAGGTAACAAAACATACTATTTTATAATTTTTAAATATAGTAATTAATTTTTTTTTATATATAATTTGTATATTGCTAAATCCATCCAGATAAAATTTCCTTATATAAAATGAATGAGTCAATAATATTTTATGCATTTCTTAGTAATTGACTTATGAATCAATCTTTGTGTAATATCAAATACATACTTTTTCAATATAGGAGCTTTTGGTGGATTCTAAATTATAATATGAAGCAGGTAAATAGATTCCTGAATTACAATAGGACAGTCATTGTCAATAAGTATTCTATGAAATAGTGTATTATGTTTATTTATAGTAAGACAAAAATATTGTTCTTGCCATAAATTAGAATTATTAGAAGGGCTTTTGTCTTGTAATTTATCATATGCATACATAATATGTGTTTAGTTAGTGTAACTACTTGTAAGAAGAGTATCCACTGACAAGAATTTTTGTGATGAAGTCAATATTTTTACAAAGTGACTCAAAAACAATTGTTTCATTGTATTGTATATTACTACGAACATCACATTCAATTTAGTGTAGTAGGTTTTATGTGATGCCAGAACAAACATACAGACAGTCTAAATTTATCAAAATAATTGTAAGTAAGTAAGAGACCAACTCTTATATTTTAATTTTTTTTTAAATACCCCATGTACTGACATTATCCAGTTACAATTTTATTGTTTATATATATTGTTTAATTATAGTAGTACATATTCTTAGTTGATAATTACCTTTAAGGTATAGAAGATGTATAGATTTAATTTATAATTATCAATAAAAATAAATTTTATCTCTATATTAATATCTAAAACTGCTTAATTTATTTCGTGTTTAAAAATGTCCCTAATGATTATATTAAATTAAAAATATTTTTATGAAACAAGGTATGGATTGAAGACATAAGATTACTGAAAAAATGAAACATGGTCATTATCTTTTTATAAAATTTATTACATATTACACAATGTTACTAGCTGGTAAGAAATTCTTCAACTCTTCCAAACCTCCAATGTCTTTTATATATTAAGTATATGAGTTCCCTGTTGATGTTTTTCCAAGAGACTACAGTATGGGGTTCTTCCAAAAAAAAGGGTAAAGAGATTTCTTCAGGGTCAGTAATGTGCGCATACTGCCTCTGGTATTGCAGATGTTCATAGGTTACAGTAACTGTTTACCATCAGGTGGGCCGTTGGTTTGTTTGCCACCTCAGTAGTATAAAAAAATGCCTTAATATAGTAAGACTATTACAAATTAACAGACCTGGTTAGTCTGTGTTATGATGGTCTCACAACCAAATGGATGTGTGTAGTTTTTTTTTTAAACTGTCAGGATGTATTTTACATATGTTCCTTTATAACCACATGTTATTCCAAGATTAATAAAACTTTGCTGTAAAAATAAAAATTTGTAAATTGATTATAATTGCAAAATAATTAAAACTCCTGTGGATACCTGGGGATGTAACAATCATATAATCAAATTAAATAATAAATAATTATAATATTTTTTATTGGAAAATATAATTTTGGCAAGAAAATATGTGATGTGTTTACAAATTCTATTTCGAATTGATTAGAGTTACTCTTGTGTTAATATTTAGCCAAACTAGGTATTATTTTGCTGAAGTACATATCACTGGTTAATTGATTAAAATTATTTTGATTAGTTCCACTATCATTAGTGTGATACTAAGAGTAGCAGAATTAAACAAAGTTGGTAGTGGAATTAAACAAAATAATTCTAATCAACTAACTGGTTACTCTTGTGTTAGCCACATAATAATTTTTCACAAGAGAAATCACTGTTATTGCCTGCATAATGCAGATATTATTATTACTTTGTTAGTATTGGTGATATATCAATGAGCGAGAATTAATTAAGACCAGTGGACTTCTTGGGGTAAATAAATATATTAGGAATTAAACACAGGGGTTACCAGGGAGGGAAGGGGAGGAGACTGTAGAGTTAGACATAACAGGATATATTGCTAATAATGAGGCTACAAAAATTAATTTTACTCACAATCATCTCCCTCTTTATAGAGGGACGTTAGGTAATTATTATACAAGAAAACAAACTCTTTCAGAAATTTCCACAAAACTGGAATCAAACAAGACAATTGATGTGGAATATCTGAAAGGGAAGAAAATGTCGTCAGTTGGACAGCTAGTTCCGCAGGTGACCCGAGGCCCGCCCAATATGACAATCAAATTCAACGGGCCCCACATTGAGGGGTCTTTTTGCACCTCAATTGACTATAATTACGACCCTGTTATAAGTGTCATATGTGCAATGTATATTGCTTTCGGAATTGTTTATACACTGTTTGGTGAGTTTATGAATCACTTCCTATGAAATATTAGTTTAAGCCGATTATTTCATATGTACAGATTTCAGAAGTAGAAAAATAAATGTTCTAGACCATTTCTAGATGGTATATCTAAAGAAAACATACACCAGTCTTTAAGATAGACCTTCAGGAACACAACAATCAAAATCACATTCAATTTGATGTAGTAGTTTTGTGTGATTCCATAACAAACTTACAGAATTTCTAAAAATTGTTTTGACTTCATTCTTCCGACTATAACACTTTACATTAATTTTTTTTTTATATTTTCCATGTATAGATATCATCCAGTTACAATTTTATTATCCATTCTTATAGATTATTCATTAACATTTCATTCACAACACAGTTTCTAAACTTTTTGTTAAGGTTTTTATACACAAATTTACAAGAAATTCTCAAATTATTCTTAGTAATTCTTTGTATAACATCTATAACTATTATTAACAAACTACTTGTTACTAACACTAAAAGTTTATTCTTTTTTATGATAAATATGCTGTTACTGTTATTAAATAATAAGAAGCACGCAGCAGTACCATGTTTAGAGTTGACATTCTCCCGTTGTTTCTGATTTTTTATTTATTCACCTTAGGTCATTGAAAGCTAGAATAATTTTAAATTTTATTTAAATCTGTTATTATTAATCTTATTTAATACTCTTTACAGAATATTTTCTTTATTTATTGTCTTTTACAGGTTACCGATGCTTCAAAGCTAGTATGTTCCTGACTGGTTTTACTTTTGGTTCTGCTATCGTTTATTTAATATGCCTACAGGAGTATCTGATGCCACCCTATGGGAATGTTGGTAAGTAATTAACAACCCATTATCATCTCATTACTTGCCACATGTTTCTTTCCATTAGATAAAGTTTTTAGCCTACTATTATCACATTAATAAGTCAAGTGACTTGTTATTGGGTTTTATTTAGAAATATTTTTTCTTTTGAGTTATTGCATTTTTAGTCACATATTGAATATTTAGTCCAACTCCACACAAATATTTGATGTTGCTGAGAGAAATGAATATCCTGTTCTCCCAATTAAGGATCAGGAAGATAATTGTGTCTAGTGATGGGATTTGAAAGGGTCGTTAGGAGGATGAAATACAGTATAAAAATAATTTTGACTAATGCAGATAATAATGTGTCGATATTAGCCAGTTAAAAATAATCGATTTAGATAGACGCAGCAAGTACAAAATTTATAATGTGCTACTACTAAATTATTTTTTGTGATTTAAAAAAAACCTATCGCATTATACTATTTAAGAATGCCATCAGTGATGGTGTAGTTTAGCAATTGCTTAAACTTTTTACGACATATATTTCATGTTATCATGGCAGTCTATAGATCCCCAACATTTTATAGACCACCGCTCTCTTTTTAAAGTATAAACGTCAACGTTTCGTCATTATCAATTATTAAAATACATAGGTAACGCCTCCATTTAGTTCTGGGTTCACTACGGGACGTCATATGGAACAAAGATATAATTTATCAGAGATATGAAAGGGACCAGTACACGTGGGGGCGGCATCGCCTCGTTTAAACCTATGATGTTGTTAAACAGGTTCGATTTAAAATTTACATGCAAACTACACGCCGTTACGACATCTATTTGAATCTATATCAATATTTGAAATAGTTAATGCACTTTATTGACTGTTATTTGTTTCCGCAGGTGTCGCATTGTGCGCGGGTCTATTATTTGGCCTCATTACAATGTTGATACAGTATGTTGGACTCTTCATGACTGGTTTCCACACTGGTCTCCTCCTGGCTATCGCGGGCTTGGCCATTTACGACCATTTCCTCGAAAACCGACCTACTACCGTAAGTATTAAAGTAACGAATTTATTGCTTTGTTTGTTAGAGAGTTATTGTTTAAGTGCATGTCGAATTTATTGTTCGTCTACAAATTTGCTTATGCTATTTATTATGTTTGAAAACGTGGTTACGTCTCCATCTTTATTTCTTTAGTATTTTTTTGTAAATAAAGATAGAATGAATCTCAAATATTATAATGGACTTTTTCAGTACTGTAGCCGGTAATAATTGTTAGTTCACATAGCTTTCGTGTGAAATTTAATTGTTGCTTACTATATTCTCTGCTTTCTATAATTAACTGCTAGAAAACGTGTTAATTTGACCAAATGTTTTTGTTATATAATTTGAAATGGCAAATAAAGTGACACTTACTTGATGGAAAGTGCTTGTAGATATGAAAAGTACCATGGACATCATGGCATTATACTAATTACACGAGTATCTTACATTGCTTCATTGCCATAGTCGATTACTCTTTTTAATGTTATGGTTCGGTAAGCAGTAATGTAATTACATTGTTCTAGCCTTGAAATTGAAATTTAAAAAATCAGAAAATATAAATAAACAGAAAAATACTTTTTAAATATGTAATGTAAAAGGTATCTTTAAAAGATTTGTACAAATTCTTCCTTGATAATAACATGCCTTTTCTATTTTTGTTATGTTTGTTAAGTCATAACTCCATCAGTTGTAAACTGATTTGGATTTTTTTATCTGATGGGATATATTTACAGATTGGCCCCATGAAAATTTTATCAAAATCAATTTAGTAGTTTTTAAATCAAAATAATTAATTTTTCCTCAATTGGAGTAAGCTTTTTTGTGGAATACGGTCTTAATTATGTGTCGTATACGTTACAATTATATAATTATGTGAATAGTTAAATCATTTCATATTTTATTAGACTTGTGTAGGTATTTGGCCACCACAATGTAACTATTAATTTAAAACAAGAATGTAGGTGATAGTAATTGAACGTGCGTATGGGATGCACTGGAGCAGTGCATTTGGTTTAACAATGTAATGGCGGCCTCGATTGTTCGTATTTATATGCCGTGTGACGTGTACAATGCCGAGAGAACTGTGTATTATGGTTCCGTACAAATATTATATAATATCAGCATACCATGATTTCACACAAAAACATTATTTGTAAACTTTTATTAATTTTACATTCTTGCACACGTACTGACTGTACTTACCTAATTACCTGTAAAACGCGATTTTGCCTACTTTAACAAGATAAAAATATATTTTTTTATAATAAAGGATATGATCTAACCTTTACCTCCCCTCCAAGGTCATGCTGACGATATAATGATGACGATAGTGATCATTAAAATAATTATTTATTAAATTATAAAACAAATATGTAGTTGAAAACAGTTATTATGCATTTCGAGTCGTATATTTTTAAAGTTCTTTGATAAAATTAAAACCACAAAAAATACAATTTAATCGAAGCAAACGCACCGTTTCGAATCTCGATTGGTTTGAACATTATAGGTCATGGCACACATTATTTAACTACTATGTCATGGCCCCAGATGTTCTGTGTCTGTCTGGTAACTCTCTACGGTATATATTTTAGTTTGAAATTCAGGAAATGGGTGTATCAAGTATTACAATAGGTATATATAATACTTTTAATCATATATAGACAACGGTTACTTTTATTTAGCACTAATTGTTTTTCATTACTTTGTCTACTTACTTCAATATATATCTCATGTGTTAGAATATAACTTACCAGTACAACAATTTGATCCATATCCGTTCAGCCATTTATGTGTGATCGAGTAACAAACATCTTCAAACTTTCACATTACTAGGATTTCTGTTAAAGTTGCATGTCGGCATTTAGTGAAGTTTGAATTTCGACTTTATAATTGGGAACACTTGCACTATTATCACACTCTTGACATGGCGTACGTTTCCATAGATTACGTAGTAATTTTTAAACGTTTCATCACCTGTGTTTCTAGCAATACATTAATAGACAAATGGACTTAAAATTATCCGTTGAAATATTCTATTCGAATTTTGTTTATTTTACAAAGTTTATATACAATGAAGTACTCGTTGAAGTGTTCATTTTATACTAGTTTTTATTCGTGTTTTCGTCTGCGTGACCGGGATACGTCTATATGCCGGTACAAAAAGTAGCTTATGTCCTTCTTCATCCTCCTCAAATTCCTCATGGTTGATTAGGGCGTTAAAATGTCAAGAGGTAACAAATAAATACATTTTATTTTCGCATTTATAATATTGTTTCACAGAATAGTAGAGATATCTTGTGCCAAATAGGTAGATAGGTATTCTTAAGTGTCGTATTATTAAATATAATACGATTACTACCCATCACTTGAACATCACTTATCTAATGTTTACGGACACTGTAATAGGTGTATTACATGCTAACAAAGATGTCATATAAGCATAGAAATATATATGATTGGCTGCAACATGCAATTTCACTTGAACAAGGTCCATCTGTCAAAAATATCCATTCAAAAATGTTAAACTTTTTAAACGTGATTGTCTAACAAAGATTATTATAAACTTTCACATTTATAATATTGGTAGGTATTTTTTTTATATTATGTTTATTGTTTTTGTGTTTATCCATTACAAACAAAGAAATAATCAAATCTTTCTTCTTTATAATTTTAGTATATAGATCTCTCCCTATTGTGAATTGATTTTAATTTCTATATTATCCATTAGGGTCACTTTCAAATTAGTTTTATATCAATTTTATTATATTTTTTTTTTTGTTAAAAATAGTTTTTAGAGAAATGACTCTACCTATACTTATAATAAATCTGTATAGAGATCAATTCTGTACATGAAATATATTTCCAAAAAGACTATCAGAGGGTGATTAGTGATCGATACTGATGCCAAAAATGCAATCAGTAAAATTTTTATCTCTCTGTCTGTATGCTCGTTATAGAAACAAAAACTACTCAACAGATTTTAACGAAACTTGATACAATTATTCTTCATATTCCTGGGCAGTATATTTCTCAAATATATTTTTTTATACAATTTTATTCAATGTACTACGTATTAGGGTAAAAATTCCTTTGAAATGTAGAGTAGTGCTAATGTTACAACGATGTTAGTGGACGGTAAACGGTGCATGCATGGTTGATCGCCGATCGACGTGGTAGACTATTTGAGCGTTATGGACACGTCGATTCGATTCCTTGTTACATCGAGTTACCTTCCCGTACTGCCAGTTCGTATCAGGTTTTCACTTTTTGTGTTGTCTGGCACGGCGAAATGAACAGTTTTTTTTAGTGGATGGAATTTTAAGGAGGAAGATGAAGCCAGATCTTGGCTTATTGTGGCTAATTAACTAGGTGTTAAAGTTAACAGCGCGGAGTTTGAACTGACAGGGCACATTTCTAGCAATAAGAGATTAATCTCTGCATTAAATTAGATCCTTACCAAACGTGCAGCTAAGAAATTGTAGTCTATTGTAGGAGACATATACGTGTTTTTTTTAAGGGTGGGTATGGCAGCGAATTTACGTGGTACGTAGACATAACATGTCAGTCCAAGAATAGCAACTATGGGCATCATACTGTATTCTGTGATGGCGATGGTGGTGCTGATATCTATAGGTAACGGTTATCGCTTTCCATCAAGTGGACCGTAAGCTTGTTTGCTGTACCATGTTGCTTAAAATATAGGCTTTCTTTAATATTCTTCTTATAAATGCGAATAATTACAATAATGATTGGATGTCACGCACACACGCTTGAACAATTGAACGGATTCGAATGAAATTTGGTATAGAGATGAGTCTTATACACGATTCTAATTACCTAATTCGAATAAAGCCGCAGGGGGATAGGAAGAGATTGTTAGAAATAGGATCCAACATCCCCATTGCTAGCTATGCACCCTATCAGGTAGACTACCACGTGGTTAACACCGGAAACCATCGTGGTAAATTTTTGTGGAATTCCACACTATCACTTGTCAATTGACCTGCTTTCATCCTATCATCTCTCACTGGTACCCCGCCAGCCCATAGCGCAGACGAGGTAACCATTCCATTTTCCCTATTAAAAAAAGCGGGTGTAACAGCCTTTGTGAAGTGAGTAATCTGTTTACTATTCAGTTAGTGTTTCGTGTGATTTACAAAATCGTAGGTATCAAAATATCCAAAAGACTAAATTTTCAGAACGGACAATTTCCTTGTAAATCGGAACGCTATCTGAGTCATTTGTAAACCCAGACGTAGACCCACTGTAGACGCGGGGGTGCGGCAGTCTAGTCATATAGTAGTTCAATTACTTAAACGTTTCCTTTAATAAAATTTCCAGAGAGCTCATTAGACATATGCATAATTTGTACCTAAGGAATCGGTAGAAGGCGATACATAGGATTTAGTTCATAAGGATTTTAATGGGGTCATTACTTCCTATTATTAATATTTTTATCCTTCCATCCCACTCGTTAACCGCGCATTAGGTGATCCAATTAGGAAAGATAGATGTCGATATACTATCATAACGGTTCCGAATGCTCGGCTCAATATAAACCAAATCTATTTCACTTTCATCAATCTTTAAATATGAGCACATTTATTTTATTTATTGTTACTTAAAAGAGTTCTTAATGAATTCGAATTTCCAAATGTTAAATGTAAGTGAATTCAATATTCGATTTTATGTTATCTATAGACGTGAATATATTTAAAACTACTGTTAAAAACAATATTCAATAATCAATCAACTACGATGCTGGCAGGTATAGACTCGTGTAGATAGCATTTATAAATCATGCACAATGACTAACAACGCACAGCTAAGCCGGTAGATGATTTAGCAGCGTGAAATTGTATTTTATATTTTTTTTTATAAAACTTAGAATGGCAAACAAGCTGACGGCCCACCTGATGGAAAGTGGTAACCGTCGCCTATAGACATGAGCAGTACCATGGACATAACAGAGTATGCTGTTTCGCCCATGATACCCCCATGCGTTGCCATTCCTGAGGACTCAGGTGTTATTCCTCTGTACCCAGTAAATTCACGCCATATCCCACCCTTCAAACCGAAACACAGTTATGCAAACACAACTGCTTCACGGTTGAAACACGAATGGGACAGAGGTACCCAAGCAATCGACTTTTGTACAAAGTCTCCCTCTGGTATATATTGAAATGGATTTTGAAAATTATACAAATACAAATGTCTTTATTGTGGATCATAGGTCAAATTAAGGTATTACATCAGTTAAATAGTATCTCCATGTCCTGCTATATAAGCATACAATATATGGAACAATTATAAATAAAGTACATGCATTATTTAACAGTATATAAAACATATATTGCCTCAATCGGGATATATTTGGAAATATGATTCTGAATAGTTTTTATTCATAGTATACTAATTGTAGGTAACTAAATTTCGCAGTAGCTTCTAGTAGCATAGATAGAATAGATACACATATTATTTTTAAAATTGTATGGCTCTGGCACATAGTGTTGCTTGCTACCTAGTGCTGTAGGTAGTATAAACTGTAATGCTTTAAATTAATTGCCGCAGTGCAGGATGAAAGTTTATATAGAGGTCCCTGAAGAGAATTCTACTATTCATCTAATATCCATTAGTGGTAGTAGGTGAGGATGAAAAGGCAGGTCAGACCATCGTGGTGAATACACCTGGAATTCAGCACGATAGTTTTCAGGGGAGATCAGGTGAAGGTGGACCTGATTGTTAGCAATGAGACTGGTAGTCGAATTACTAACAGCCCCCCCCCCCCCTTCACAGGGTTATCACTATCCATCAGGTTGTTTGTATAAAAAACAATATTAAAACTTCAGGTTATAATTTTGTAGTACAGTTCACGATAAGGGTCATGAATGTCATCCACTTTTGTAACTGTCCGTACTCTGTGAAGGTCGCGGTGAAAGCAATAAGTTATTAGTGAAAGTGCACTCGAGCGTAATTTTTTAATACTATCCATATTTCATTAGCAAAGCGAATAAACATTTGACATTGGCAAGCGAAAGTGACGTTTTTATACCAATTGGAATAATTAATTGAGGTACGATTATATTCGATGTAAGATTTTTATAGCATCGTAGCCTAATGTTACTATCCCGAATTAATGCCAAAGATCGCTAGCTCGAATACGTGAATATAACTCTTGATGTAGTCTTTCCAACTAACTCTCCGTTAGAGGTAGATACCGATAATAATCTGATTTAATCCGAGTGACAGCGGAAGGCAGTCCCCTGCTCGTTGGAGTCTAAAACGCTCAATGTGAGAATATTTAGAATCGCAACTGAAATATAGGCATATCACGCGTTACGTTCACTACAACTGTAAAAGTTAACTCTGACTATCCCTTAAGGGATTATAGTCGTGAGCGACTAGTATTTTTTCTATTTTTAAATTTGTCAATATGTATTATAATATGTGTGGCCCTGATATAGAATGGGCCACCCCTTTCTTTCCCTTGGGTATTGTAATAGGCGACTAAAGGAACTTAATAGTCAAGAATACTCTCATAACCCCCCTTTATAGGGCAGGCCTATTTTCAGCTGTAGATAGTTAACGGCTGATACGATGATGACTCTGATTATGATACTACTTATATGTTATATTAGTCTATACCTTCCTCTTGCACATAATTTTACTACACAACATTACCACTGGTAATTTAATGTGACATTGGTTGGCAACTGACTATTATGAATGTAGGTACTTACACAGAACAAATGACCATTAATAAATGGCGTATTCTGAGTCGGATGTCAGATATATGGTTATGTTTTGTCAATTTTTTAATTGAATTATATATTTAGAGTGAAATTATAGAGTATAGAGATTTAGTCCTCAGGATTGGTAGCACATGTGAAGTATCATAGCCATTAATGTGTATTCTATGAAATTTGTGGTTTTGTTTATGTCTAAAAGCGACGGTTACCAATTTCAATCAAATCAAGGTGAAATGTGGTAGTGATATTTTAGGGTACGGAGGCATTACAGTCCTCAGAAATGGCAACATGTAAGGGGTATAAGGAATAGCCGTTTAAAGCAAATTCTATTTTTGAAATCTTATGGCAGAATAAGAATTCATATGAATAAAAAGTTTTGAATTTCCCCTTTGGTCGCTATAAGTTAGGACATAATAAAAGCACAATACCATGAGATATTTTTTTACAATCTGAGATACAAACCAAAGGTTCTCTATTTAATTCTCATCAGATTCATGAGATTTTTACTTAAACAGTATATAGATATGTGTCATGTACATTTTGCAATGCGAACTTTATTACGTTTTGCATTACGGGTATGAATTAATGGTATGTGGCTTATATTATTGTAGTTGGCAAAGTTATTTAAATTTGGAAGTTATGCTGTCTGCAAATGTACAATAATGTTTGTTGTGCTTTTGTTTTAATAAAACAATTTCCAACTCTTTAATCCACGAAACTATGGAGCTAGCAAAATTGCATAGTTTGATGAATTAAGAACTCATACATAAATCCCAAGTTTTCAATTCCTTCATTGTAAATTCCAAAAGTTGTGGAGGCAGACTTTCGCCTAGAACTGTTCCAACTCTTGCTAATATAAATTGCAGAGATGTATGGAATTGGATTTGTTTGATGATTATTTTTTTGTAATCGTCGTTCTAATATAGAAAGTAATCTAATTGGTTCTATTGCGTTCAAATATATAAAATGTTTGTTGCTCCGTATAACATATCGAAATAGCAGTGTGACATGCGGAAGTATTTAATTACTACTTTAATTAATAATATCAATTTAGAAACTAAAACAACTTGTTTTTGTATCTTTTATCGTTGGAAAGTTGTTTGTCTATTTTTATTAAAACACTGTACTTAATCTGTATTTGTATATTATGAAGTAGAAAAAAAAATTCGTTGGATTTAAAACATAGGTATTTTCTAGAACAGTCGTAGGAATAAATATACAAAGCTTTGAGTTTGTACTATATTATTTAGAAACAGTGGATTCCATGCATTCGGTCTTATATAAAAGTAAGTCGTAGTTATATTTTAAAATGTTTGCTTGCGTGCATTTGCGTGCTAATTACGTAACATGTATACGTACTGGACATAATAGGATTTCATGGATTATGTATTTAAAAATTGTTAATGTTAATTATAAATATATTTGCTACAAGTTCTGCTCTGCAAAATAAATTGATGCTCAGTCCGGCTTAGCGATTTAATAATGGTGTTTTATTCATTTGTGCGACCAATGTATATAGATGACGTTTACCACTATCAATTAGGCAGTGTATTAGCTTGTTTGCTCGGATATTTGTTAGTCTAACATTCTAATATAATTTTAATCAACTAAAATAGACCTGATAGCTTTATCATGAGGAATAGAAATGAAAGATCACAAATGTATAGTTTTATATGTATATGATAAATGCTAAAGTGAGTATTAAACAATGTCGCTTTTGATAATAACAGAATACAGTGTTATTGTAGAAGGAGTACGTAGACTTTAGACCGATATATTATAATTAAGTAGATCGTGTACTGTCTAAAGAATTAGTCATGTCTTCCCAGAGCCGGTGGCAAATTTATGACACTTGTTATGAAAGTGTATGAAGCAAGAAATATGTCAATAGATGTCTTTGGCATCCGATACTGTCTGTTATATATACTCCACAGTATATTATATGATGTTCATATTATAGGTGAAGGTTGTAGCTTTCCATCAGGTGGGCCATCAGCTTGTATCTTCAAGTTTACTATAAAAAAATCTGGCGTATATATAAATTGATGTGAAAAAGTCTGCATTCTATCTAATTGAATCAGGAATTCAATAACAACAGTAGTTTTATGGATGAAATTTATTACCTATATTGATGGTAAATTGTATATGGAATAAAACCCAAATATTATTGTTTCAGTATTGGTTGTGCGTGGTGGTGTTGCTCGGCTCAGGGATATTTTTCGCCGTCATCAATTTATATTGGAAGAAAGGTGAGTTATTCAGTATTATCATACATATATCGTTCAACACTTGAGATAAAATCACGTATCGTATTTTACAATTGATTTAGTCTACATTTATAGTATTAACCTTGGATGAAATGTGTTCTTGTCTTCTTAAACACGTACTGTTTTTAAATTTATTTGATTATATTTATATAAAGGTGTACGTGATATTTTACTTAGAGAATATATATATATATATACACACACACACATATATACATACATATATATATATATATATATATATATATATATATATATATATATATATATATCGACATTTGTGATAACATCGATATGCTGATACGAATTGTGAAATTGTTCACAGTTGAGGGTTCGACTCGTAAGAGTCCCGCGCGACAAGACAATTGCCAAATAAAATTATCAACCATCTAATAATATCAACACAATCTAAATAACATGTATTAATTATATTAGCACGTAATCGAATGAATATACAGTTGTGGTAAATGGCATTTATGGAAGTAAGTAGTTCTTAAATCTGTAGCGAAGAATCTCTACATAATGCGGCGGACAGGTTATGAAAATCTGAGCGATTTCGCGAGAGAGTTTCTTTTTATCTTAAGGATCTAAGGGTGGTTATGAGCCTGACTGCCCTTATCTTAGTATTTATATCAAATTTCTAGATCGTTATCTCGGGACCTTGAGATAAATGCGATAATGCTAAGTTTACATCGCCCAATGTTATTTTAGTTTTCAGGTCAAATGAATAGACGAACCTATGTAAATAAACATTTTCGCTAAAATTAAGTAGTTAGAATTATTTTGTAGCGAGCGAGAACGTCGGATCACAAAACACTAACATTAACAAAGTCAACTTTACTGATTACTGTTACTTAGCTATTAATTTGATTATATTTCGGAGATATCTTTCATAGAGATAGATAGATACTCTTTATTATTTCCTTCATAACATTACAACAGTAAACTTATTATAAATACAAACAATTACAAGACAATATTACATTAAGAAAACAATGGCCGGCCTTATCGCTAAGAACGATCTCTTCCAGGCAACCTTTGATATTATTATTTTAGTATTATCTCCTATAGTAGTTCGAATAGTGTGAGGTTCTAATTTTAGCAAATTGCAACCTCCATGTTTGTTTTCAACCGACTTCAAAAAGAAAGTTCTCAAGTCGGTTATACTTATTGTTTGTTACCCCATAACTTCATCAGTTGCAAACCGATTTGAAAGGTTCTTTTTTTATCTGAAAAGGGTATACTTATAGATTGGTCTCATAGACGTTCTTTTAAAATCAGTTCGGTAGAATTATTGATATTAGTATAAACACTTGGTTGTTTATAATAAATTTAAAATATCTATTTGCCTAAGAACTACCTATATACAGTTGTTTAGATGACTTAAAGGAATAGGAAAAAATTAAATATACATAAATTAAGTTTAAAGTTAATGTTACTAAATACAGTTTCGCTGTAGGAGTGGGACCCTTTTTTATCTTATGGTCATGAGCCTGATTTCACCAAGAGTGTGCAACCTTACAAGGGCGACTTAGCGTGACTTTAGCAGGCAGTGTAGCGTACAATCTAATACAGTTTTTTATATTCTATTGAGAATGATATACAAGCTGGTAGCCCATCCAAGGAATAGTGGTAACCATGACATTAATAATTTTCCATTCGTAATTTATGGGTTTATAAAAAATAAAATTAAAAAGTAATTCATGTCAGGATTAGCATTTAATATAATGTTGGAAAATGTTAAGTGCCGTTTAACGTACCTGTAGTGAAACACAACTTGCTAGCTCAATACTGTTTATTGTATATCGAAGGTACTAATATAAAAACCTCATCTTTCCTACCCACATAATTATACTACATCTTTCCCCTTATGACATATAACATTATATATATGTATTTATAAATAGTAAGTAAGTATAAAGGTAAAAATATAACAAATATCTGTTCGAATTTAGTATATAAGTGTAAACTAATATAATAAGTATAATTTACAACATTAACAAAAACCTATATATATATATGTACTCACTACATTAATGTTAATACAATAATACTATTTATCTACCTATTCATCATGAAACTAATTACAAATTAAAAGAATAACAGTATCAACACAAAATTAATTTAAAACACTGTTTGTTTAATTTGATAGTTTTTAGTCGGTTTAATAATAAATATACATAATATTATGTATATTTACTTTAACAATTTATTTACTATATGGAGAACATAGCTACCATATTGGAATACATAATTTGTGATTACATTTTATTTGCATTAAAACCTGTTTTTTTTTCCTAATAGTTACAAATTGCGCATCGTTAGTGCTGGGTAATTCGTATGTACGTATATGATTAGATATGCCTGTCTGTATGGCGTTTTCTTTTGCACAAGTACTCGCCTCTGCGTCACAGCCTGTGGTGCTGGATGCAGGAGTCCCTGGCCTTTCTACTGTTTTATTTGTACCTGTGACTGTAGCTTGTGCTCCCTCATTACCTTTGCGCCGCCTGCAAACTATATGACGACGATTACGTCTAAATATACGTCCAGTCTCGTCTTCTAAAATGTACGACCTTGGCTCCTTTGCTTGTTGCACCACCTTCATTAAACGACGTTGACCGCCATCATTAATGACCACCTTATCATTTTGATCCAAGCTGGGGTAGACTTTGTGTTTTGCTTGTCTATCATAGATGGATTTTTGTCTTGTCTGTTTGTTTAATAACTTATCATAATTAAGCTTGTTGTCCACTTTGTCAGCTAATAACGGCTCGTAAATCGGTAGACGGGTATTTAAACGTCTTCCCATCAAAATTTGTGCAGGCGAATCCACACCATCCCTAGGTGTAGATCTTAAATTTAATAAACTTAAATGGAAATCATGTCCCGAATCTTCACATTTTTTTAGCATATTTTTTACGGTACGTATCGTGCGCTCGCTTTTCCCGTTAGATTGTGCATATAACGGAGATGAAGTAACATGCTCAATCTCCCAATTGAAAAGAAATTGTTTAAATTGTTTTGAAGTGTACGCCGGTCCGTTGTCTGTTATTAACATTTTTGGTATACCATATCTACAAAATTGCTCTTTCATTGCTCCAATAACACATGAGCTTCCAATTGAATTTATTCTATTAACTTCTACATAATTTGAAAAATAATCCACTAATATAAGGTAATATTTTTTTTTATATTCAAAGATATCCGACCCTAACTTATTCCACGGTAAATTTGGAATTGAATGCGGTATCATCGGTTCTCGGATCGGCCGCGGTGCATGCAGCGCACACGCGGCACAACTGCGTACGACACTCTCTACATCACGCGACATGCCCGGCCAAAACATCACCTCCCGTGCGCGCCGTTTGCACCGGTCTATGCCTAAATGTCCTTCATGGACACGACGCAACATATCCTCCCGCAAAGTACTCGGAATGTATAACCGATTATCTTTAAGGATCAGGTTTTCTACATATTGTAAAGTATCCCTATAAGACCACAATAGACGTACTTCTGGATTCACGTTGTGTCTACTTCGAGGCCATCCATTACTAATATAATTTATTAATATTTGCGCTACTCTGTCATTTTTTAATTGCTCTTTTATTAAATCCAGTTTTTTATCACTGTATTGTAAATGCTCTAACATAAAACAGGTTTGTGCTTCTAATTCTTCATTGATCCGTTCATGCATCAGTATAGGTAATGGGGCGCGCGACAAAGTGTCCGCTATGTACATGAATTTGCCGGGCGTATAAACCACTTTGAAGTCATAACTTTGGATGCGTAGCATCATACGTTGCAGTCGCGCCGGCACAGCTGAGAGCGATTTTTTAAATATAGATTCTAGTGGTTTATGATCCGTCTGTATTGTTACATCGTTTCTACCGAATATGTACTGATGAAAACGTTCGCAAGTAAAGACAATCGCCAGCATTTCTTTTTCTATTTGCGCATAACGACGTTGTGTATCGGTAAGTGTAAGGGAAGCGAACTCGACCGGCCGCCCTGCCTGTAACACCACGCCGCCTAGTGCCTCCGCGCTCGCGTCCACTGATACCACTATAGGTAGTCGGTTCGAATACAGTGCGAGGACGGGAGCTGATGAAATAAGACATTTTAATTTATTTACAGCATTAGTATGCTCGGGTCCCCATACCCATTCCACATCTTTTTTTAGAAGCGCTCGTAACACTACTACATTTTCGGAATAGTTTGGAATAAATTTAGAAAGATAGTTTACCATACCTAGAAACCTTTCTAGGCCCTTTCTGTCTTTAGGTATTGGCATATCGACTACGGCTTTGACCTTAGCACTGTCGGGCCGCATGCCTCGTTCATCAAAAACATGTCCCAAATATGTAACCTCTTTTACATTAAATTTACATTTTTCTTTATTAAAACGAATGCCTATCTCTTTGGCTCTCTGGAGTAGCTTTTCTAATCTAGCATCATGTTCCTGTTTACTTGATCCCCAAACTACAATGTCATCGATAAATGATTCAGTACCTTCTATATCCTCAAGGTACTGTCTCATTAAACCATGAAACATTTCCGGCGTACAATTAATTCCATAGGGAAGTCTTAAAAATTGATACCTACCATAAGGGGTGCTGAAGGTACAGAGGTCAGCACTAGCCTCGTCCAGTTCCAGCATCCAAAAACCACAGCGTGCGTCCAACACGCTGAAGTGCGTGGCGCCGCGCAGGCGCGCGGCCACCTCCGTCACTGTCGGTAGCGAGTAGTGTGCGCGCTGCACCGCCCTGTTCAGGTCACGCGGATCTAAGCATATACGGATATCACCATTTTTTTTAGCAGCTATAACGATGGCATTCACCCATTCAGTAGGGTAACTCACCTTCCTGACAACTCCTAACTTTTCCATTCTTTTTAATTCTGTGTACAATTTATCTCTCATACCTAGAGGGATCCTACGTGTTGGACAGATAACGGGGGCAACACTTTTATTCACAACAATTTTGTGTTTGCCCGGTAGTTTGCCGAGACCGTGAAATAAATCCGAGTAGTTGTCAATATTTAAGGTATTTACTCTTTGGATCGCTCCTATTTGTAAACATGCATTCAATCCAAGAATGTTTTGACACTTCATATCTGCTATAACAAATTTTAAATTATGTACTTTATTTCTAAAACTAATTTTTAAATTGCAACTTCCAATGACAGGAACCGAGTTTCCCGTGTAGGACAACACTTTTTTATTGTATGGCATAAGACTATTCGGATTTATTCCTAATCGGTCAAAATCTATCTTTGTTAACACATTTAACATTGCCCCTGTGTCTAATTTAAAATTGATACGTTTACCACTAAAGTCTATTATTTCTATCCATTCCTTGGGTAAATATTTTTTACTTTTACCCATATTTACCATATTTATGTATAACACATCCTCACTAGAATCCGACAACGAAGTACTCACGGTATGCACTCTTTTGCTAAGCACTCTATTTGAACACACTCGAGCAAAATGACCTTGACCGTTGCACACGAAACACGTAGACCTAAACGCTGAGCACCGTTGCGCCCCCTCACAGTAGGTATTTCCACAACGCCTACAAGGAGTGTCGCGTTGCTCACGCGGTAGGCGCTGCTCGCTGCGCCCCCCGCGGCGGCCGCGCTGGCGTCGCCGGCCACCGCTCGGGCCCGCGCCGCCGCCTCGGGGCGCGCCGTCACCGTACACTGCATCCACATGAGTACCCGACGACGTCGCCTCCTCTATCTGTCTACGCTCCTCTCTAGACATCTCAGCCGCTTCACAAATTTGCACCGCTTTCGCGAGGGTCAAGTCCTCCGCCCGTAGTAATCTATCACGCACGACGTTATCCAATATTCCACAAACTATTCTATCTCTCAGTAAACCGTCCACTAGGTGTTCGAATTCACACCCTTGACTCAGTAATTTTAATGCCGTCACATACTGATTAATTGTTTCCCCAGCGACTTGATTTCTTGTAAAAAATTTAAACCTTAGAGATGTAACATTCACTTTCGTTCCGAAGTGGGTATCAAATTTTTTTTTCAAACACTCAATGTCATCGGGATTTTCCTCTTTTGAATACGAAAACGTAGAATAGACTTCATAGCCCTCTGCTCCAATGAGATTCACTAGCAAGCTCGCCTGTACCTCTTTAGATTCTTTATTGACGCCTGACGCTTTTAAAAACATGGCAAACTGTTGCCACCATTTCCGCCACGTTTCTGCTCGGACGGCAGGATTACCATCCACACGTAATTCTGAAGGAGGACGCGCGTGTTCCATTTTCCAGATATAACAATATGTCTACGGACACTGAACTTGACTTTCTTCACACCGGTTTTTAATTATAATACTGTAAACGCATTTATTTGATCGGACCGCTGCCACCATGTAGTGAAACACAACTTGCTAGCTCAATACTGTTTATTGTATATCGAAGGTACTAATATAAAAACCTCATCTTTCCTATCCACATAATTATACTACAGTACCTATATGCAGGCTGTGGCTTGCAAAAACCGTATAAAACTGTACAATGTTATGGTGACACATTCACGTGGTTATCCTACTAAATGTTGTAATCTAACCACTTCATTACATATTACTAGTTGTTAAATGTTTATTAAGGGGAAAGCAATTGTTTGTAATGGAGGTCTAAAAGCACTATTGCTATCAATAGGTTTTATAGAAATAATTAGTTAAATTAAATACACAATTTCACATGTTGACAGAATCTGTTTATATCATATAGCTTTCACCAAGACGTTCCTATATACACAACACACGTGGTCTCCCCTGGAAACCAGCGTGGTTAGTTCTTGTTGAGTTCGTCACAATAGGTCAACTGACCTGCTTTAATCCTCACCTATGATCCTTCCCCAGTGCTCCACAAGGCTATACCGATAGCGCAGGCGAAGTAACCACATCATTTTCACCCATTAAAAAATGTCCAATAAATATATTTAAGACCTTATTTTCTTTAGAAAGGTAATGACATGGTAAAAACAGTTAAAATATGTAAGAGCTTTTATTTTGATCTGGGCATAGAATGGGCCATCCTTACCTTTCTTGTGGGCGTCGTGAGAAATGACTAAGGGAGCTTAATGGTCGAGGGATGGGTAGCAGCGTCCCTTTTAAACATCACCAAAGTCTAATTGCGCTTGTTATTTCGCCTGCCAAGCATGCCAACTACTGGCAAGCCACATGCGGGGGAGGCCTATGTTCAGCAATGTACAGTCAATGGCTGATATGGTATAGTATGGTAGACTGTATGTAGGTATAGCGATAATCGATTGTAACTGTATTGTAAGTGCTACATAAACCTTTATTATTGTTTCAGTGCTCACGATATTCGGTACGAGTGTGTACGGGGGTGCTGTGATAGCGACATCTCTCGACTACTTCTTCGAAAGAATGGTGATGCTCAAATGGGTATGTATTGACTATTCTCTATTAAGATATCTGTAAAGATTTAGTTGAACTGAGAGTGACCGGATAATCTTACTAATATTATTAATGGAAAAGCTTATAAAACTGTGTATGTTTGTTACTCTATTGCGCTTAAATGGTTGAACTAAGTTTAATGAAATTTGGTACACTGGTAGGTTATATACTAAATTAACATATAGGATACTATGTATACTGATTCACGTAGGAAAGGCAGTGGGTAACAGCTAGTCTAGAATATGTATCGCGAGGGGCAATAAATGTGACATCTCTTGCGGGAAATCAATGATATTTTCGTCGATGTTTGAAGGTTATTCAATCACGCTTAAATGGCATTTTAATTATGTATTCTGATACGTTAACCTAAATTTGATGCGAGTCAACTGCGGGTTACAGCGAAACCTATACAATAATAATTACGGGAAGAGTATTTCTTTGAAGAAGTGTTCTGTCTTATGTAGGATTACTGAGCATTTTAAAGAACTATTTCCGTGATTCTAAGATACATCGCCGAGTAACATGCGTTATATTTTCCATGGAAATTCTTAGGGGAACAGGAATGGCGGGTGTAGTGTGGGCGAAGCCGCGATGGTTCCTTCTAGCAAATAATAAATGGCTTTCCAAAAAATTTCGGAGAACGCTAACTACAGATGTTATACTATACCTACTGAATACATAAATCGCGCGTGGTTTTATATAGGATTGAATGAATGTAACCCAGTTATATTATCTATACTAATTGTAAACAATATGTTGTTCACACTGTACCCAATAGGCGTTTTTATATCGTATCATTATATGGCACAACATGCTCGTCATGATACAACAAAATACATTATTAATATAAATGTTAAAGTAAGTTTGGCTAAACCAATCATTATGAAATTCGCTTAAATTATATAGATGGAGTGTCAATAGAAATGATTCCGGAAAAACAGGCCAAATTTTGATACAATTTTGCGTGATAAATTGTTATGAGTGATTCCTTTATAAATACAATATTTATACAATTTCTGCATCTTTGTAACGCGTAAACACTCGTTTTATTTATTAAATAATATACCAAATTACATTTTAAACGTAATTATATAAAATACCGATAAAAAACGAGTCCGCTAATTTGACAATTAGATGACAAAAAGTTGACCCGTTTTTGGAGCTCTATGCTCTATCTATATAGACTAAGGAAATTTATTATACACTTACTAAATGGAATTGTGATGGATATAGACTGTTTTTTATCCCTGTAAGTAAACATATCCCGGTTACGACAACGAAGTCATGGGTACAAGCTACTAGCTTGTACCCATGACTTCGTAGCAGTATGTGTGCTTTTTAATTTTTCGTCGACGTGCGCTATACGCTGAATTTAAAAGCGTCGTATGAATCTTCTTCAAAAAGATGTTTATACAATCACTATTTAGATTTTTTAAAATTGGAATATTGTTTTAATATAAATGGCCAGTTAGAAAATCTGTCAGTATGCCCCACTTATTCTCAGGGAAACAATTTCAGAAATATTTATCTTTGAATAAAATATGGTTTATAAATATAAATAGTCGATACTTAATGTAAATATAGTAAGCAGTAAATCAATTTATTTGTCAGTATAGGTACCAATAAAAATAATGGTTACCTTTAACTTTTATTCCCATTTATATAAATACATGTTGATATCAAACTGCAATTTTTTTTCTTGTTTATTTTAATTATTATGTATATAGTAAGGTTATTATATCGTCCCTCTTAAAACATCACCAAATGCCTAACTGCGGTTATGAACCTGCCTGCCAAGTGTGGCAACTACTAACAAATCCCTCCTTTATGGGGAAGGCTTCTGTTCAGCAGTGGACAGTTAACGGTGGATGAAAGGTTATCATATGTCTGTAGTAGATATTCTAACTTGTCTACAAATCTACGTAAATTGAGTGATCTTGGAACTATTTACGTGTCCACAAATAACCTCGTATACAATTAGATAAATAGATTTATAAATAGAATAATAGTTAATTAGTTTTTCATTGGGGAATGTAATTATATACAAATACTAGATAACATGAATTATATTCCTCTATTATGAGGTATGGTTATATTATATATAGGTATGTAATATTATGAGGTTCATTTTCTATGGAGTGTGTTACGTTATTTTTTTATTAATTTAGTGTTTTTAAAATTTTTAAATTTGGAATATTAATGAGATTCACGTGAGTGAAATATAGCTAGTAAATATTGTTGTTGCAGTTGTGGGAACGAGCAAAACTTGAGCCAGTGGTGGTGCCGCCGTGTCGACTATCCTGGTTGACGCTCGCCACGTGGCCTGCCGCCGCTATCGTGGGCCTCACCGCCCAGTGTGCGCTCACGGCTACCGGCATATATCATGAACAGAGTGAGTCATGTGCACTGCTCAATATATAATATAGGAGGCCTCTCTGTGATGAGCGTAGAGTGAAGAACAACCAGTGGTTCAATGGTTATGGCTCAACGATGCTTAACCGCCAATATCTAACTAATACGAACAAAATATTACAAGAAGACAAAACCAATTTATTACTGAATTTCGTCTACATACGATGAACGAAATTCAAGATAGAAACTTAGTATATTAAAGTTTTTTCTCTATGTAATATAAAAGAAGGAGATATAGAGACATAGAGACTACAGCATAGGTTTCTTAAATAAAAGGCTAGAGGTTTCTTCAGGGTCGACGCGTAATGCTTCTAATATTCCAGGAGCTATGAACTCCGATAACCGCTTACCATCAGGTGGGTCGTATGCTTGTTTGCCAACTCAGTGCCATAAAAAAGATATGTAAGTTAGAAGAAATGTCAGTAGGAGGTATTGGTGGTTAGGCGTACATTACATAATACATTTTGGGGCGATGAAAACAGGAATTTTTGAATTGCTTTCAATTATTTCATCAGCTAAGACAAGAGTCATGATATAGAGTAAGAACATAATGTATTTATTTTTGTGTCAATTATTAATAGATCTTTTTTTTTTTCCAAAAATATATGTATTACGTAACACAAGCTCCTTCCAAATATGAACTTGTGTATGTTGTATAAGTAATAAAATGTATTTAATTGTTTTTGTGAATACATTATACAGAAAACGCCCAGAACAAATCAAGTACACTTACAAGTGTTTGTATTGTACGTGGATCGAACCCGCGACCATTGGAAGGTGAGACACCGCTACACCACCAATGTTACCTTGTATCAGATAATCATTTCAATATTCTAATATTTGGCATCTCAGGTATAAGCGCACAGAAGCGTCGCCTGAAAGCGCAGCAGTCGCGGCCTGTCAGCCGAGAGCAACGCGCCGAAATGAAACAGCGCAAGTACAGATACCTGTACCAAGTGCGCACAGCGCACGGGGATGTTATCTCACAGGTGAGCCTTTTGTATGGTGCGAAAATGAAATGGTAAAGAGGTCTGTACTCTTGGTACCAGTGAATGATGATAAATATGAAATCAGGTCAGTTGACCTATCGTGATGAACTTGTCAGGAATTTATAACGACGGTTTACAGATTGTTTCGCGTGGCAGTCGACTTGACAATGCATATTGCTAACAATGGGAGTCGCTAATTAAATACAAAACATCTTTATTCAAATAGACTTGTTTACAAATACTTTTAAATTGTCATTTCTTCATAAATCTACTGCAGGTTACAGAAAGTTGTTATCTGCTGAGAAGAACCTGCAAGAAACTCAATAGTAAAAATCTCTGTTAACATTATGTGTATTTATTTAAATGTACTATATCTAAGAATATATAACCATTAAAAAGCCACAGCAAGATCGACTAACACCCATTAATTTTTGCCATTTAAGTAATCGTTCAGTGTGTAAATAAGCTTTGTCCAATAAGTGCTATTTAATAACAATTTTAAAATTTTTAAAAGGTCTGAAAGAAATGTTTGTATTGTCGTTATTTTTATAACATGTGACGAGTGTTTCAGTGGAGTTGGAAGTCTATATTATCCTTAAATAGATAGATAGAGCATCGAGTCTCAAAAACAGGTCAACTTTTTCTAAAACTAGTTGACTCGTATTTTTTATTAGTGTTCTATATAGTTACGCACATAATGTATCTTGACTTATCTATATTTAATTACTTAATAAACAAAATAAGTTTTTACACATTAAAAAAAAAAACTAAAATTATAAAACAAAATAAATATAGCTCTATCATTAAACTATAAAATTGTGTAACACCGAAATGTATACATATTATGTATGTATAGTAAGTACCTACGCCATGAGACCCATCTAAACGTACAGCGCAGGCGACCGACCAATCGCGCCTCTCGCGCTTCCAGAAAAGTTCGCGACTAACGGACGATATAGTAGTAAGGCGATGAGTGTTCCAGTGACATCATTATAATACTGTTTCTTGTTAAGTTTTATTGTAATACACACAATTTCGTAATAAATAACGTGTTCCCCCGTTACAATTGTTTTATATGTGCGTCGTTGTTGTAGTCGTACGTGCAAGCGCTGCAAAAGAAGGCGCAGTGCGGCAACTGGAGCGGAAGCGGTGGATGCGGAGGAGGAGAATGCAGCACGCTGCAGAGCGATTCCACCCACCTGACCGTGCTGGCTGGCTCCGAACACGCGCCGCCCACTGACTCGGACGACGATCTCAACCAGATACGGGCCGTGCACTAGTTTAGCAGGTAAAGGGTTTAACAGCGTTCATACTTATCTGTCCATTTACAAAAAAAAAAATAACGTTTTTCAATATTATTTAAAAAGTGTTCTACTAGCGAAATAAAAAAGGTTATCTTACAATAATATTATTCTTAATCTTAACTTTATATTTCATACATGAAAACTTGAAAATTATGGTCCAACAGGGTCCATAATTGAAGTTGAAATGTTATGTACCAACTATTGAATGCTATAAGAAATAAATAAATAAATAATATATAATTAATACTGTAATAACTTTATTATCTGAAAACATCGAAAGCGTTACTAAACAAATAATGTTTTCATTTTCAGGCGGCGGTATGATTATCAAATGAAGGGGTGAGAGAAATTGATTTTCATTCTATATGTATCCAGTATTTTAAGAGAAACCACTCATATTATTATTATTATTATTACATATTATTGGTAGTTATTATTAGTAATCATATATTTGTATTCAATGTGAAATTATATTACAATTATACTTGGAATTACGTAAGTAACGGAGTTCAAGGCCTATGATATATTTCGTTTATATTTAAGTATTTATATTTGAGGTATTGTATAATTTACTTGAATGAATGATATAGTACTACAGTGTATCTGTTTATGAGTATTTCGATTTACAGACATCTCTTGTACTTTTGTGAAAAATATAAGAGTTTGTCTGTGATAGTTCTGTCGAACATTCCAATGTTGTGATGGTAATGTGAATGATAAATTGTAACTAGAACTGACACCGCCCCTCAAAATAAATATAAGCCATAATCACTGCCACTAAATAACTTACTCTTATAAAATTACGGTCTTGGACTCCCTGTCATTGAGATGGTTGTGTTGTTTATTTGAACGATGGTTAATTTATAACTTTATAAGTATATACATTTATACTACGAATTAATTGTATTGTAATTGATTATTTGATAATCTGTATGTTGTTACATTGTAATAATTGCAATTGGAAATGAAATGTAATGTTGTAATTTTGCAAATTCTGTACCGATAGTCAGTCATATGTCGAATTCTTTTGACAATACGGGTCTTAGACAAAAGTATAATTGGGGATGTTATAGTTGAAAAAAAAAATAGTATTTTTAATATGCATCGGATTCGAATAGTGTTGTTCTTTATTGAATCATTTTGATAGTTATTTTTTAAATAGGTGTCACAAAAAATAGATTGATGTTCGCTATCGAAAGCTAGTTGCTTCTGCCGATGTAGACGGATTGTTGGTACAAAAATATGTAAGTACAGTTTAGGTGTAAGTGCACTCAGAGGCCGCACACACCTTCTCATATGTAACCCTCGTAGTTGATTTATCCATGTAGCTTTACGAATACATATTTCATATTAGCTGGTAAGATAATTTCTTTCTTGCCAAAACCACTCGCGTGCGTTATGAATTTTTCTGTCCTTTTTCGAGTATTTTTTTTTTTGTTAGTAACTGTTTGAAGTAGTGTGCGATTTGGATAAGATGAACGGGTAACTCTTAAAAAGAGTATAGTTAGATATTGAGAAAATTATAGAGACGGTTCTATGTAAAGAAATTCCTAGGTCCGTATGTATGATTTAATTTTCATTTTATAAGAATGCAAAGCATGAACGTTTGTTTGAAGCTATATTGTTTATGATTCGATATGAGGCTGTGCACTAGAGCATATGTGTTCAGATTTTGCTCAATAAGTTATTACTGATGTAATAGAAATCTCAATACTTAGATCATATATCTCGAGATAGGGCGTTTCAATACGAATGCTTTGTTAAGAATGGGTCAATGTAATTAGTAAGCGGAAGAAATGTAAGGTTAAGTTAAAAAATACAAATAATAAAGAAAAAATTAAAAAGAACATTATGAATCATTGAAAGTCGCCATTTTGATTAATACATATATATTTATTTTAATATAAAATTATATATAAAATTATAATCGAATTAATTGTTTATTTTAAGAAAAATATGTGTCAGTCAAAAATGGCGGATTGTATTTGGCCCGTTTTTAAGCACTCTATGTATGATTACCTTGATATATATATATATATATATATATAAAATAAAATCATTTTAGTGTTCATAACAGAGTACGGCGATGTTGCCTTTATTTGTCAGTTTTCAAAAACAATTGAATATTTTTTAATGTTTCTGTTTGATTAAAGTTAGCGAACTAAGTAGGTGCAAACTATTTAGAATTTTTCAAATACATTTTTGCAATCAAAATTCAAATTTTCAGTGACAGCATAAGAACATTAATGTAAGATTAACGTAGTTCTCTAGCAGAAATATTTTAAATAATCAGCCAGTAACATTGAAAATCGTTATATTACTTTAGAAAATTGATAAATAATTGCTGTGTTGCCACACTGGTAAGCAAAATTAGAAACGCTCTTAAGCGAACTGTGCTCTAGTATACAGCCTTATATATTAACATTCTATTCAGCATGTGATAAGTTTGTTATTTGGCCAAAGTTTATTTTAGTTATAGCACCGCTAAAAGCACAATACATTTTGTATTGTTTAGTTTAGATTTTTCAATTGACAGACACTGTTTATGAAATTGTTAATGATTTATAAATCGTGATACATTGATGTATGAAAATTTTGTTCAGTGAACTGACGGGTTATTTCGTTCGTAGAATGATTGAGTTTTTTTTTTAATTTGGCTTTGAAAATACCTACAGTCTAATTCACTTTATGAATATAATAAAATAGTCATGGTATTAACGATATCTTGTTGATGGTATTAATATTGAGAAATTAGTGTCATATTTTTTTATATGTAATCTCTAATTTTGTAAAGTATGTATTTGTTCTTCATTACTTTTCACAAATTTCTTTATGTAAACGTGAGGAGAATCCATTTGTATAGTCACAAACGAACTTTGGAGTCATCAATTGTTATTATGAAACTGTTATAATTATTTAAATTTTAAATAAAAATTGTTTGTTTATTAAAAACTGGTTCTGTCATGCAAATTAAAACGACTGGGTCATCTACAACACCTTATGGGGATTCAGGTGTGGGCTTCGAGCGATTGCTCTCTGCTCGATGCAACAGCGAGGTCCTGCCACCCTCGCGTCATATGCAAATTAGACTTGTAGGTGTTTTCAATAAGTAGGAGGTAATACATTAGTGACGTCAGTTCCCATGAACAGTCGACGGTTAAGTAATGTGAGATGTAAGATGTATATATCGTAATTGTAAAGTAGATATATTAGCGCATAGGGGATGTGGTGGCGTTTCGTAGACTTTACTATATTCCTCTCTATCTATAAGCATTGTCCACTTGATCGCTCAATTTCTAGTCTTATTTTATGTAACATTTCTCGCAATAGCAATATATTTATATATCACGTTCGCGTACAAAGACTTTAATGTTGACGTACAAAAAAAAACTGCATAGTTTCAAAAATATTTTACTAATAATTATTATATAACACGCTAGTTATTAGTTAGTTATATAAAATGTTTTAAAACAGTTTTTTTTCGGACGTAACTGTGTTTCTTTAAAAAAGAAAATGGATTATTCTAATTAATATTAACTATGTGCAATGCCTGCTGTTTTATTTCAGTTTTTTTTTTTTATTAAAAATTGTTAATTTATTTTACGTAGTTAAAATTTTATGCAATTTTATGTACGGATATACAGTACGTTTTACTTATTGTATCTACATATGAACGAAGTGTCATTTGTAGGCATTTATTATACCACTGTTTTTATAAAGCAGTATTTAAATTATTATATAATTTATTTACAATTATATCACTATTTTATTATTGTTATATAACATGATATGATTTAATTTAATTTTGTAATTGTATTCTGTATCTTTTTATATTTTGTTTTATTTATATCCCAATTTTAATAACCTGGATTATTTTATTTTTCTAATAGAAAACCAGTAGTTGCATGGTTAATTAACAAGGCATAGGGGTTTAGTATACAAATGGAGAATATAATATTTTAGTATTTGTTGGAATTTAAATGTGTAAACAGCGAGACTTCCGATTTTCATTATAGTACCCACTATGTACATATATTGCGATTAATAAGAAAATTATCTCATAGAGTCGCGAATTACATAACCCCGTTTATTATAATTTTTTTTTATAGTTTTTTAATTGACACCAAGAAATTTCACAAAGTCATCCAAAACTGTTATTTTCAACTGAATAAGTGAGGAAAAAAGAATTTAAAAATTTTACAAGTGGGAAACGAGGACGTAACTCTATATTTTAGGGTGTCGATAAATTTGATCTAGTTAGTTAGTACTTTTATTAATTATTTTTATGGCGAGACTTGTAGAGATAACGCTACTGTGACCCGGGAGTTTGGAATTAATATTTTATTCGCTTCTTTTAGTCGAGATCATGACGTGCAATAGGGTCAATATAGCAGCATGCTGTACGCTATGGCGGTTGCTTAATTTTTTTTTTTATTTACTATTGAGGGATCCTGCGATTGACTATGGTATCACCTGATTGGAAGTGATGATGTGGTCTAAGGTGAAGCTTGCAGGCCCGTAAAACCCATTCATATTTGCCTTAACAGGGAAATCTGATCTTTATTAATTACACAAATGGTTTATTACCCCTAAAAACGGTATGTATTCGCTAATATATGCTCGGACATTGATATGTCGTTCTGTAGCAATAAGTAACTATGATTACATTCTTTGTGTTGATCGTACATCCGTAGGTAAACAAGCGATAGGTTTGCCCCACTGCCACGTTGGATTCTAGTATATTCGGTGAGAAGTGGGCATGTCGTAGTTACGCTCTCTACAATAGAGTTTGTTTTGACTACCCTATTAGTGTCTATAGTCGTAAGCTATATATTATTTTATGACAAGATTGATTTTGTTCAGGTCCATTAGCGATTCACTTGCTACACACCTACTGTTTATTTTAAACTGCTTGTGTATATAAATATTTAATAACATCAATTACATGCATATTTTTATAAAATTATTATCATGTATAAATTACAAAGAACATTAATACACAAGTGCAACTGAAAATGTAATAATACTAAATTCTCTAATTATGAAACTGAATAAACTAAAACTTTCTCGATTAATAACTTTTTTTTTTATAAATATCGTTGTGATTAAGCTTGGTATTGCAGTTAAAATTAATTTCTGTCGTCCAATTAAAATTGGTTTTAAAAGCTAATTAGGTATTAATAAAATGTTACGTCTCAAACAGTAACGTGCGTTTAATTCAGATACATTTCATTTATTTTATTAAATCAATTATAAAAACTATATTTGATGATGATTAATAATAAAGAAACTATTAATACTTTAATTACTAAATAATATTATTTTAAATTTAAATTATTCCACGAAATTGTTCTACTAAATCTTGCATGATTTATATTTTGACATTTATTTGCGTATTTTTGTTATAAATATTTTTTATATAAGTATTAGTACTCAGCGAAATTATTTAGTAATTTAGCACTTATGAAATGCAAAAAACTCAGCTACATCATTCTGAAAATGTTAATCTGCAGTATTTTTTTTTCTACTGCACTGCACTGGCAGTACGCTAGTTTGCTATATTGATACAAATTGCGTACATGGATTTGGTGCCGTTGTACTATTGAAAATAAAGATTACCAAAACGTAAATAAAGTTAATTACACGAAAATGCATAACAATAACAAAAAAAAAACAAGTGACAAAGTCACAAACAGCCTAACTGTAAAGTAAGTTTTTGATATTCTATATCCTATATATATATATATATATATATATATATATATATATATATATATATATATATATATATATATATATATATATATATATATATATATATATATATATATATATATATATATATATATATATATATGAATGCACAATAAATTTTAATTTAATATAAAATTATTTTGGTCAAGATAGATACTTGACTGAGTTAAAACCATTTACTGTGAAATTTGGTATATATGTATACCAAATTTCAACTTAATGGGTCCAGTAGATTCGGAGCAAATTGGCTGTGACAGACAGACGGACGGACAGACACGCATTCACTTTTTTCCTGTTAAGGTGTAGAACCTTAAAAATATAGTAGTCATGTAACCATAAATTATGGATGAGTCTTCGAAATAGGCACCAAAATCATGATAGGTATGAGGAAAATTGTGTAACATGTGTACACATTGACCCCTTTATTCATAAAAAAATAAAACCTGTAATGATTAGAGATATATGCCAACACCCTAATCAATTTAGTATTATAAGGTTTTGTCAAATTGTTCCTTACTTTTCCGTGGAGAATTTAATGCAAAAGGAAAAAAATACTTCTATAGCTGTCGTAAGATTATCGGTTGTTTGACGTTTTTATGAATAAAGGAGTTAGTATATAATTAAATTATATATACTTTTGTATTATTCACATTTGTATATAAGGATTCGTAACGAATATAAAATAGTGTTAAGTCATAATATTTCCAGTTTGGGATAGCAACGTCATGGTATTATACATTTTTTGCTGAATATATAAATCGTAATAGGTACATAATTATGTAACACGTATTTTTGTATGTAGATGTAGATGGATGAATGATTAAGTATATTTTCGAGATAAAGAGGCAATAAGTATTAAGGAGCCTTATACAAAAGTGTTAATTTTATTTCGCGAACTGTCTACTTTTAATGAATTCAGAAATCTTATGCAATATTTTAGGTAATGTAGTGTATAACCGACTTCGGTGATCTTTTTTTACAATCGACAGCATTCACTTCTGTGTCTATTATCTATAGCTGCAATTTGCCGTATTAATACAGATCTAGTTACGAATGTGAAGAGAATAGTTCGCGTAATTAAATTATGCTACTTACTGTGTGTCTTTGGGTGTTTCACATCATTCTGTGAATTTCGGAACAGGCGTGAACTTGCTGTCACTATCTTTAACAAGATCTTTAGCGGAAACACGCTGTCATTGAGGTACAGATTGTCTACGATAATATGGCAGTCTCTCCCAATGTCCAAAGATTTAAGAATGTGTGAATAAAAATATTTACAAGGTCGACTAAAGAATTGAATACTCCTCTTTTTTCACAAACAGAGTAGCACGTCTGTATATGGCCACACACGTTGAAGTAAAAAGTTAGAAGGGCGTGTCATGATAACGTATACAATCTATACGTGCTTCATTGGGTTGGACCCGCTCATGGTGTTAAATGCCCAAAGACCTCCTTCTACGGGTTAAACGGTTCGTTATAATCAATTATCACTGTATAGTTTAACTTTTTAACCGCTTCTAGTTGGATGTTTTTCACAAATATTTTCTTGATTAAAGTGTTCTATGGACTTTATCTGATACAGAATCAGTGTTTGTTTTTTTATTATTTAACCATCTACTGCATTAATGCATAAATACAATAATAAAATAATATCATACGTCTTTATTTATTTATAGAACAGATATTAACATTATTTTGAAATACTGCTAAGTTGCTGATTGTGTTAAATGCTAATGGTGCGGTAGCTGCTGCAAAGCCAAGCGGTTACAAGGTTAAATGCTCAAAGACAACGGGATTAAACGGTTCGTTTTAACCAATTTATCATAGCTTAAGCTAGTTAACCCATTAACGGATAAGCGTCCGGTCCAATTTGTGCACTTTTATGTGATTATACATTTCTAAAAGAAATTATTCCTAAATGTTTAACATAAATTGATGTCGTAGGGGGTAAGGAGTTGAAATGTGATCTGGTATTTTTTTTATTAATTCGCTACTGGTGCTTAGATGTAGGTTACGCTTTATTTGCCGAATTTGTTATATATTTTTTTTAAGAAAGGATATAATTACAAGTTTCCCCAAACATGAGCTTATTGATAATATTATGTCAAATTGTAGAGTTATTTTAGCAATTTTAGAAATACATGCATAATTTCTTTTAGTAGTCGCTTCGTAATACAAGTGGTGTAGAAATTCTTTTATAGAAAAGAAGTAGAATGTTGTTAATTGTATGATTAGCAAATATGAATCCCATTATTTGGTGGCCACTATAGACTCCAAGGATAACAGAGGGCGAAGCAAGAAATCTTTGAAAAAAATAGAAGTCACTGGAAGTCGCTTTTCGTGACTATTCGGTCTTGGCGTTTTTGCGTTGTTCTTTCACCATCTGGTTTTATATTATTATTCTGTTATTTGTTCCAAGTGAAACTAAAAAAAAAAAAATATTTATCTTTAATCTATGTCATTTCTTTGTTATCTTTTATTCTTATTTCAAAGAGTATTTTAAAGTAACATCTTGATTCGTAAAAATTTGTATAGACGATTGTTATAAATGTTGATGATTCTACATTAATTAGGGATAACTGGTCGCCTGATAAGTTTTTGAAATTAAAAAAAGCCAGTAGTGTAATTTAGACTTTTAGATACGGAACTGCAATAGTCCTTCATAACTTGTTCAAAGATTGTTGATACAGCGGATTTTTTTTAATCCTGTCTAGTTGAGAGACATTACAAAATCTTCCTTTATTTTTGCTTTGTCTTCCCAAGTTTTGAGGTCTGATAAAATATAATCCTCGGCGTTAAATTTTGGTATAGTCATTATAATACCCTAAAATTTCATGCTTTAATGCATATACATATTTTGTGCAAGTACAAGACTTTTATATTACGTATTTAAGACTAGGGCGTCTACCATGAAGTGAAATTCCGAATTTACGACTTTGATATTTTGTTAAATTCTACCATAAAAGTTCAAAGGATATTTTTAATATTTTTAAACGGCATGTACAATAATATGTAATTTTAGAATGAAATTTGTGTTTAATTAGATCTAAAAATTTCGGAAAACATTTCATGGTATGCTCTCAATTTCGGGAGGGCAGATCTATTAAAAGAGCCTATAAGGACTCTCAGACATGTCGTCGTGCATAATTGAAAGTTAGGATGAGCACAATATAATTAAAAACAACTAATAAGGTAATTTTGTCCGTGGATAAGATGCCCATTGTCTAAGCAAACCTTAAAGGCTCTTTTAGTTATAAGTCGATAGGTTCGTATTACAACATATTTGAGGGTGAGATAGAAAAAGATTTCCGTTTTATTTCCTGTATGAAAAGATAACGTACTGTTGTATATTATATTTTATAGTTTTCTAAAGTAAATGAACTAACATTAATTATATATTTTACTTCTAAAAAAATATTTCAGAGTATAATCAAAATCTTTAACGGCATTTTAACGCAGTATTCTATTGGTGAATCTGATTATATTTCAATTTCGAAACGTCAAAAAAAAAATATTGTACCTCTCAGAGTCTCTCGATGATAACTTGGTCGATGAGGTCCAGCTGTTAGTATGGGAATTTTTATATCATTTCTCGGCTCATACTCGTATCTCTTTGAGCATAATGTTTAGTTTTCCTAATAAGACATTCCTTAATACTAACTAATTTCAATTCCGTACTATTTATTTAAATAGGTAGATTCTTTGCATGTTTTTTCTTTAATTTATTATATTTAATGAATGTTTATAAATTTCTCTGTAATGCCTAAAAGATCAGTTATTGTAAAGTGGCAATTGTCTATGTTACTAATAATCCTCTCTAGACAAAATATCTACGTTTCGATTAATTATATCAACTGTATGGATTTGCTTATATCAATCATATTTTTATATCATAGACTACTGCTTTGTTTAGGAAGGCTAATATCTCTACCGTTGTGTATGCACAATCATCATTAATTATCTATTATTATTATTATTATTATTAAAAACTAAGGGGCGGCGAATACCCTATAATGTCAATTGCTATGCTATTTTTATGGTTTCATTAACATGGAGAAAAATAGCGACGAACAAGCTAAGCGGTTTACCGTTAATTCGATGTAACCATAGATTTACAAACTTATGATCCATCCCGTGAAATTGTTACATTTAAAAAAGTAGAAATATCATATAAGTTTTAATGTATTACTTAAATATAAAACTTGTGAGTTTTTCGAGTTATTATATTATATTTTTAGTTTCGCTTTTAATTTCCATAGATAAATGTTTTGTAAATCTATGGATGCTATAGTGGTAATTCTCGGTGTGTCAGATGACCGCTGGTTATCGTATTTTGCTATATGATTGTAATTTGTTATTTTTTTAAGGATCGCAAGGTAACAAGTATTGTATATAGCGTTTGTTACAACACATTGACAGAAACAGTTCACAAAAGGATGTCATAATGGGAACATTTAGGAACTTTTGGCTCTGGATATAGTAAGCTATAGGTACAGCTTGCTATATCCAGATAGTAAATAAAATCTACATTTACCAGCACTCAACTCACACAACGAGCACTGTCAGTTGATTTTGAACCGGTATAAATTTATCTAATATCCTAAATTCGAGATTGGTAATGATATTGAAATAATTGTAATATTGATTTAGTATTAGATACTTTTGGACTTACAGTCCTCTCTTGCCAACACTCTAATCTAAGAAGGTTATTTTAATAAAGAATTTGTTGTCATCTCATCTGTAGTTTCATTTTATACATCACTTGATAATGGGTTTTTGAACAAAATTATAATAACATGGATAATTCTTAAATATTTATTTGTTATTAAACAACACTTTGGTTTAACGTTATATTTTTAATAATTTACATGTTTTTGTTATTAATTACATCTTTGCAATCAACATTTCTATTAAATACCTATTATATTATAAATCTTATGTAGGTAATTTAAATTATAATTACGTTGATTTCTTTAACATAAATAGTGCAGAATATTATACACATTAATTCATAGATCCGACTCTCTTATAACAAGTATTTTTGGGGTATTAAAAATATTTATAACTCCTCGAGAATGGAATTTAATTAGTATTATATTGTGATATATAATTGGGATCTCATGTGTATACTTTGTTATAAATTATAGATAATAACGTTATTATAAATATTCGAGAACTCATGCTGTCCAAAATTTTATATGAATAGTTAACATTTTTCGATTAAATATATTAATGACATATACTAATATTTAATTTAAAAGGCATTTGTGCATACCTATTATTATTTCTTTTTTATTTAATCTAATAAATAAAAAGATATAAATATTAAGTAAATAAAAAAATGAGTTCAAGTAAACGATTGTGTTGACCAAAAAATGTAGAAAATATAATATACTTATATAGTTTTTACAATAAATTTACAGAATCAATTATATATAGTTTCTAGCTACCGGTTGCCTTTTCAGTTATCTAAATTTAGGATTTTTTTTCGAGCAACCCTAAATATTATAATGGGATATTTATATAGCAATCACCAGCGGCTACAACCCAAACTAAAATCGATCTTAAACGTATTCAAATAAATACTACAATTTATTAATTGGAAACGTACCTATTAATTAGATAGGTATGCACAGAATATACCTAATTAGTATAAGAAAAAATATACTAAATCCGTATACCTGTGTTTTTAAAGAAGCACCATTTTATGTTTTGTATAGTCTTAAAATTTTTCTTCTAAAATACAAAATACATTTATTAATTACAAATTTATTTAGGAGCCACTTTTTTATAGATCTAGGTACATATTATTTCTTGCGACTTATTTGAAATGCAAAATCAAAACAAGAAATTAAATCTTTTCAAACATACGTATGATATAAAAGTATCTAAAGTTGTCTAGTTTTGCTTTCTTTACAACTAAATAAAGTTATCAAAACAGTAAAAGGTGGCAGTTGTTTTTTCATTCAACTATATTTAAGAACCTGCTATCAAACCTCACTTGCAGTCTTTGATTTTTGTTTCATGCTTCAAATATTCTCCCCGAGTGCTAACCCTAAGGCTAATTCAATTCAGCTTCCATTTAAGATCCATAATCTTACAAAGAACAGTATTAGAATTATTAATATCAATTCATTCTGTTGCTATATAATTATTATTATTATTACGAAAAACATGAATTTTCATTATACCTACTCATTATACATTTTTAAATGGCTTTCGTATAGAAATACATTTCTTGATCCTATAATTGTTTAACGATTATCCAAATTAAATACATCTCAAAGTGAATAGTATGAATATAATATTAATTTTATTTACAATTATTTGATTAATGAATCGTTTTATATGTTATCGAAATTCCCGAGGTTAGTGGTCACTTTTATAATTTGTTGTAATATGCCACAATATCGTACGATTTTACAGTTACGATATAAGGAGAGAGAGAGAGAGAGACAGTATAATTGTATGGAGACCCTTTCATTGTTCCGTACATAACCGCGATCGGGGTGAATAGAATATAAATATATATATATATTTTTTAATAGGCTTGTTTAGAAGCACAAATAATCACTTTTATTCTACTGCATTTTATCGCTAGGCTCGAATTGTTGTTACTTGTTGAGAAGAAATAAAAGAAACTCAACAATACTTGATGAGAAAAAATTCAAAGTGATTCCATACAATTGCATATAGTGAGATTTTATTATCACGATATAATATAATATTATCATACTGCAGCAAATTATAAAAGTGAAAATAGGTATTCAATAACGTCAACATACTCTCAGATTGGCAACTCATTCGCTTTTTTTTATAAATTTTAAGGATATATAGAAAATAATGCCAATTAAATATCTATTTAACACTTAATTATAAATGACTGATTCCTTCTGAACGTATTTATAAAGTATAAAATAACCTAGTGTAGACTATGTTCATATGCATGTCGTGATCTCTTCCACGTAAGAGGAAGGGAATATTCCGTAGCAACCGTTGAGGTCTCCGCTCCACCAGCCGTCGTCTTGCTTATCGTGGATATTTATTATATCTCCTGTGAACAAAGTAGGGCATACAACATTTAATTATTTTTTTTTTAACTGGTAATAGTAAACAAGCAGACGGCTCACCTGAAGAAAGTGGTAACCGTCATTAACAGATATGAACACTACCGTGAATTTATTGTGACGCTAGTTCCACTATATGTATTAAAATTTTGGGGGCTAAGATGTTTTGCCTCTGTACCCTATAATTTCACTGTCTTTTGTTTTCTGAATGACCTACAATAGGAGAACTTCAATATTAGTATGCATTATTTCTGTATGTATGTATTTTGTTTTTATGGCGGTCCCCATGGTTTTTATCGTGGCTATCTTGGTAAATTTGTTACAACCAAAGAATATATAACCGGGGTATGAGTCTACCCTGGTCACAATGGTCTAAATTCTGATGCTTTCTATACCTGTCAATGAAAATCAGTAGCGCAGGCATGGTTACGATTTTAACCAACAAAAACTATAGATGTGCAAACACCAGAGTAATTGCCTGCGTTGCGAAACCTAAAGAAACCTTAATGCAACATTTTTGAAGAAATCCATACTGTAAAGAAAACCTTTGTAAGAAAGTACATTTCACAATTTTAATTAAAAATTATTGCAATAAAAGCTACGTTTATTACAATTATCTAAAACAGGTACAATAGTCATGAGATTGCTGTGAGGCGTTCGGACGGCAAGTAAATGTAAAGTAAAATTATATTTGTTTTTCACAACAAAAACCGTAGCTAAAAATTCGCAATGCAAATGATTCGTTCACAGACAGTTGACTCGGTAATAATGTAAGAATGTTCGAAACTTATCAAACTACTTCCTAGGACATTGCTTGTTTGATTACTATATGGAGAGAAACCGCGTAATAATGACGTATTTAACTACAAATTTAAAAATGCAAACAGGTATCTAGATATTAATAAATACAATAAACTGGTGATAGACATAATTGTGTTCAATAGATCTGGAAATTACTAGTTCGAAATTTATGAAAGATGAAATAAATACGTTTACTATTAATTAAAATCGCCTCACTAAGCTTATACACAGTCACATAGAGTTCAGTACTTATATATTGGGGAAAATAAAAGTTCTTTTATTATTTTTTATACAACTTAGAATGGCAAACAAGCTGACGGTCCACCTCATGGAAAGTGGTAACCGTCGCCTATAGACATGAACAGTACCATGGACATAACAGAATATACTGTTTCGCCCATGATACCCCCCATGCGCTGCCATTCCTGAGGACTCAGGTGTTATTCCTCACAGGACATAGGTACCCAAGCAATCGACTTTTGTACAAAGTCTCCCTGACTTTGTACAAATGTTACTTGTTTGAATTTACGTTATTGGTATCTATAAAATAAGTAATATTATAGATACCAATGTTAATTAAATTTAATATTTTAATGGTCAATAGGTATACTTAAATTCATTTTTTAAAGATATGATCGATCGACCTGTAGGTTCTTGAGAGTGTGCGTAAATACTTTGACAGTCAATTTATGAATCTCATAATATTAAATGGTTGTAATTTGTGAAATAATCTCACCAGGAGTCAAAGTAAGCTCGTCGTTCAGCCTCGCCTCGTACGTGTAGAGGGCGCGACATTTGCCTATGGACGGGTTAGGCGCCGGCGCATCATTCGTTTCATTCTTAATTATGTCAGTCAGATCCGCCGAGCTGTCACTCTGTGATGAGAATTCATCTGGGAAACAAAGTAGTTTTTTCTTAGAATGAAACATGAGTAGTTTATTTGTGTATTAATTTGTATGGTATCTAATATTTTTTAACTACAATTATGGTTGCAACGCATGCGTAGTAGAGTAAATTATATGACGATTATTGTTATTACTTATATGTAGGTATATGTCGTCATGTGGTCCCGGCATAGAATAGGCTACCCCTTCCTTTCCCATGGGTGTTACAAGAGGCAACTAAGGTAACTTAATAGTAGAGGGATAAGTAGGAGCGTCCCGTTTAAAACATCATTAACAGCCCCACTGCGATGGGGGGAAAGGGATTGTTAGTAATGGAGACTGAGAATCCCATTGCTAGCAATATACCCAACTAGGTCGACCTCCTCGCGGTTCTCCCTAGAAACTATCATGGTTAATTCCTGATGAAATCATCATGATGGGCTAACTGGCCTGTTTTCATTCTCATCGATCATCCTTCACTGGTGCTCCGCCAGCGTATCCCGTTAGTGTAGGCGGGGTTACCATACTATTTTCACCCATAAAAAAATAAGCCCAACTGCGGTTGTCAACCCGAATGCCAAACGTGGCAATTACTGGCAGAACTCTCCTTCTACTTCTTAACTTTTATCTTTAACTATACATTTTTATCCTCGAACTTTCCATAGTTTTCTTTACTTAACTTACTCAAGCTTTTCAAAAGCTGACTGTAAGAGATCCCTGTAATGGGCAAGTCCACCATTGCGTGTTAAATCTTCTTAATGTGTTCAACGTAAAGTAAGTACACTACAAATTTTACAATACAATACCCATGGTATTGTTTCTATTTTATTTAAAGAAAAGTATTAGCATTACATATTGATGCCTTAATTACAATTAAAGAGATTTTTTTCGAATCCAAATTTAATTTGAAAATAAAAGTCTAAAAGAAAATCTTTACCGAAGTCACTATCCTGCTGGTTAGACAGCCCATCACCAGCGCCCCGTTCACTCCAGTCCAAGGGACTCTCCGGAGGCTGTGGTGCTTCAATTGATTGAGATTTCACTAGAGGCGCAGGTATTGTGGGTAGATCTGGGATAACAGGTGTCACCGGTGCACTCTTGTTGTCAGTATTTCTTCTGAACGACAGATGTTCTATTCTCAGTTTGCTCGAGGCCCTACTCATGATAGAGTCACGCCTCTCCCTCTCCTCGCCACCGCCGTTTATGCTCTTCGTTAATGCGGTATAGTTCGGCTGTAGGTTTTTATTCACTTCACTTTGGTAGTCAGCTTGTAACCACGGTGGAACCTGAAATATAGGTAGCTTTTTTATAGCATAAGTTGATTTATAAATACCTTGTAAAATAATAAGCCCTGTAACTTTGTTATAATTTTATTATTACTTAGCTTAAGTAGTATGTAAGTAATAAGTTTAACTTTTTATTTATCTGTGTAATTAATTACTAGTTATTAGAGCATTTGCTTATGTGATCCTTCGAGTCAGATGGTGGAACAAAATTAAAATGACTGATTTACCACTATTGATAGCGCTCTTTCTTACTTTTAGGATATCATAAGAGATAAGCCTGTACACTAAGACGTCTTGCTAGGGTAGATGGAAATTGTAAGCTAGAATCCATCTCATATAGGGCGATAACAAATCGTATTTTGTAATCGAATGTTTAATGGGTTGTTAAAGTACTTATAGGCAGCACACAGCCATAATCAGGGTAATGAAACCTTTTAGTTTCATTTGGTTACATATCAACGGGAAATATTTTCTATAGAATACGGTTTTAAATTAAACATTAATCATTATCGAATATTCATATTACAATATTACATACCTAAATATTATAAAAAGGAATTATATGCGCACTTACCTTAAGTATGCTCTGTTGCAGACCTTGCTTGTCTCTGACAATCTGTATGTGCGTCGCAAGAGGATGTTTCACGGGCGGCCTGTTATCCAGTTCGCTTAGACTGGTTGAAATCTTGAATCTTACGGCTTCCAAATAAGTTAGCATGGATCTTACCTGGAAGAAATTCCTTATATATATATCAGATCTTATTATTTTATAACCATATAAAAGTTTGCAATAAACTTGGCTACCAACCCCATTTCGTTTTGTCATGAATATGTAGAAATCTCAGTATATTATTTGGCGAGAATTATAAATATTCATGTCCGATAAAACATATTTTATTATTATTAGAGCTTACAGTATCATTTACATACTAAGATGATAAGTATATTGTTGTGTTGTCCAGGCGTAGACTGTGCCACTCCTTCCTTTCCCGTGAGTATCGCAAAAAGGTATTGGGCAGCAGCGCCCCTCTTAAAATATCAAGTCGCTTGTACTGGCAAAACTAAAACTCCTCTTTTGGAGGAAGTCTATGTTCAGTACTAGATAGTATAACAGCTAATATGGCGAATGATGATAAGTATATGATTTTTTTTTTATCATTTAAGTTCTTCATTAGATTTTGCTAATAAAGGCTTTATCATGTATGTTTACAGAGAGTAGGTACTTACATTCATTGTTTTATTTTTAATATGGGCACTAAAAAGCAAATCTTTTTTAGGCATCGGTTGTATAGTATCTTAAGTACCATACCACATTCTTTTAAAGCAGAATGAATAAACTATCTATATGTAAGTAGGTATTTATATATATAAATAAAACTTATATAAATTCCTTACGTGGTAAAGTTTGTCGGCTACATTCTGTTGTGAGTCATCACTTCCAAAAGTAGGCGTTTGCTTCATGGCCATGGATAACTTCTCGAGGCCCTGCTTGGATTTCCTTTCGCGGTCTATATCTTGTTTTACTAACTGCAGAATCTTTATTAGGGCCTAAAAATAAGATCCAATATTATTTAGGTTAGCTGTCCACGATATTGCCCATGAGACGGGGTAATATTAATGGATTGAAGTAATAGTGCAAAAAAAAATTATATTTGTGAACAGTTTTTAAACATTATTTGCGTAGAAATCATGAAATCTCCAAATGTCTTCGATAAATTGTGATGAAGTCATTCACTAAGGATTTTCTTACAAAAATTCTTATGGAACCTTGATAGCGTAAAAGGCGGATTTATCACATATAGCGATATCTACCAGACAACCGTAGACAGAAATATAACCATACGTAAGCGGTAGGATACTCAACATTACCTGTTTACGTCTTTCTCTGTTCATCGCGAGGGTTGTGTGCTCGCAGTAGAAGTCTGGCAGGAGCTGTTCACTCGCGCCTGCGGGAACAGATCGCACCCCTCGAACTACACGCATGTCCACGTTGGCGTTCGCATTTTTAATTGGCGCCACTAGAGTGTTTGTTGCCTGTTGTTGAAATAAAAATGATAACTTATGTATTGTAAGTGTATATTCTTGTCTTCATTAAGTTGAACTTGTTTTTTTTTTTTGGATAAAGATCGAAATGAAATTTTCTAACAAGTATAGTCATTTTAATTAGAAACATTAGTAAAGAAGCTCGAAGTCTAGTAAATAGTTCATTAGTTTAATACAGTTACGACCATAAAGATAGTTTGATTCTGGCCTGTTGACCAGCTGTCTACTTAAATTTTCGACTAACTTTCCGGTGATAGAAAATACTGTCATAATCCCTAATCCGAGAACAAAGCAGAATCGTTTCCTGCAACAGGATTCAAATTAGTGAGCAAGTTTATTAGACTTCCATCACAACGGCAGTAGTGGGCAAATGCTTCTTTGGGAAATAAACAGTAATAAAGACTTAAAATAATACTTACATCAGCTAACTGTGGAGGCACTGCCGCTGATAATCGTAAATAACAATCGGCAGATGCTTTCAGCTGGGCCAATCTCTCTTCCTCAAGAGACTCCAACATGCCGGCACCCTTTACAACGCTCGACTCCCATTCTAACCTGCGTTAGTTCGTTAATTATTCTTTGAAGCGTGATAGAACAAAGAGAATATCTATATATCCACTGGGTATTGGGAGATAATATCTTGTAATGTGAGATTATGCTAATGAGGATTGCTATGGATGCCACCATATTTTCTATGATATGCTATATGTGATATGTAAAAATGATTTCCAGACAGAAAGTGTACATTAAAACATTGTTTGTTATTTCAAATTGTATGTATAAAATATACCAAATTACCTAGCGCGTTCTGCATGAACACAAACGTTGTAATATTCCACTTCAGTCTTCTTGACAGCGTCTTCTGTCTTCCTCTTTTTCACTTGTAGTTTAGCAGCGTCCTTTTCACTCGTTGAGTTGGTGAGTCGTTCCGCTCTCGCCGCGCTGAGGATGGAATGTGGAATGTGTCCCACGCTTGAACTTCGTGATATTCGGCTGTGAATAAAGTAATATAGGAGCTGGTAATTAATCCTCAGAGCCCCTAAGTAGGTATTTATCAATCGCATTAGCTGTAAAATTCGCTAGGTGCAGTCGCTTAGCATTGAAGGATCCTTCGTTAAAACCTTGACTCAATTAATATCCAACAGGATTATAATTTATAAAAGTATTAATTTGGATATTAATTTCGTCAAGTTTATTACAATTTAGCAGACCTCATATCCAATGTGGCATCTTGTAATTTTTCATTTTCTCTTGCAGCAGCATGAGATTGTTTCTTGGATTTAGCTTCAACTGTCCTCCATTCAGTGAGAGCTCGCGTAGTTTTGTCGACGTTACCTTCGATCTGTAAGAGGAAATATTATTAAATTGTTCCATATCAGGTAGGTAAGTATTTACCTACTTAATTATTTGTAATTTTTCCCCAATTTTTTTATAAAAGAGTTTCAATTCAACTATCTTTTTAATTTTTTTTTATCGATTGTGAACCGTTGTGACGATATTTTTTTCGTTTTGAAGGCGTTCGTTACAGTGTTGATCTTATACTCCTATTTTAATTTTGTCAACACAGAAGTCATATCTCTTTTTGTTAAAAAGCAATTAAATTGTTTGGGTTACCTTTTTCCTAAGTTTTAATTGGCAATCTGTAACATGTTTCATTGGTTTTACTAGTTCTTCGGCCAGAGAATTTGAGTAATTCCTGAAATAAATATTTTTTAGTTAGTTATTGATTTTTTATTTCCTCCTTATTATATGGTAGATAATGTTTGGATAATATTTTAATTTTTAGTGAAACTTTTAACTAGTTGCACAACTATGTATTAGGTAATAGTTACCTGTGAATTTCTGATTGTTTCTCCATTTCTAAAGCGACATGCTTCCACGCTTCGGCGCATGAGCCGACGCTCTCTTTGCACGCCTTGCTCAGTTTTGTTCCAAGTTTTGCTAAACATTTCGAATAGTAATTTTCTGCTTCAACCCTACGAAGAAATTGAACATTTTTAAGTGCGATAATGTAATCGTCGGTCGGAAGGAAACGATAAGTGGTATCTATGGCGCAATGGTTTGTTTTTTATGTCTACGTTTATTATCTATGATGTTAAGCAATATAATGCCGTCTCGACCAATGGGAAGGTGATAAATTTGTATCGCAGTATATACGTGTCTGTTGGCCCACTTGGCGGCGGCTCGAGAGATACTATTTTTGAATTTGTGGTCATTGCCTTGCCCTTACTTAAAAGTATTGTACATATAGGTATCGAAAAATGTATGTATCAATATTAATTAAAACTACATGACAGCTAACTAAATAACTAAACCTAATATATGTAGATATCTATATCAAGTCATATATTATAATAAGAATAGGCATTGTATATATCTTTGTTATAATAAAATAAAAAATAAAATTTAAGATTACATGTAAATTGGTATGGATGAGCTATATCCATCATAGGCAATATTTATTTATTTATTTATTTATTCATAGGAAAACCAGGACTATACTAGAGCAAATAGATACAGTACCTGTGTATAATATACCTATGTATATGCTGTATTTTTTTCTCTTCGATCACAATTTATAAAAAATTCTATGTTATTACTCCAATTCCTGAGAATAAGGTGACCCCTTGTGATGCACTAGCTATTGAATTGAAACAACACCACTACAGAAACCGGTATTCGAGTCTATCTAAAAATACGATATCGCTACCCGTGCATGAAATAGAACGAGATAGCAACGTCGTTTTGTCTTCGTGTCTAAGCTAATGAATACTTATATATGGATAGATTTGTGTGTCATTTGTCCCCACAGCTGAAATCGCGGCAGTGATCTACCATGCTCATATAAATACATAACGCTATTACCTATCATCATCACATCAGCCGATGTGTACTGATCACCGCTAAAGATTGACCTCCTCCAAAAGGGGGGTTTTGCCAGTAGTTGCCATACTTGGCAGGCGGTTTAGTAATCGCCGTTAGGCTTTGGTGATTTTTAAGATAAACGCTGCTGCCCATCCCTCGACTATTAAGTTCCCTTAGTCGTCTCTTACGATACCCATGGGAAATGAGGGGTGGCCTATTCTATGCCGAGACCACACGGCAAATTACATAGCATGACTAGATTTTTTATTGACCACAGACTTTAATAAAAAAAAAATAGAGTGAATTTAGCGGAATGAAGGATCGGTCGAGCGATTTGCTCATATACAATAAGTCTATTGTTTTATCGTTCAGTATAGAAAGTATATGGAGAAATGTCGATAGCTTATCTTATAACGCGCACGACTGAGCCTGACCCGATGATCGCTCATAACCGCTCATTTGAGCATAAAATACAGCGAAGCGGAACTACTTTGCTATTTGTTCTTATAAAAATACTATAGAGTAATAGAAAATTATTAGTCCAGAGTTATGGTTACGGATGTATTATGAAGGTTACCTATATAGAAATTAGAGATGTGGAAAAAAATAAGATATAACCAAGTCATTTTATGCGATAAATAAATAATAACAGAGATAAATGATTTCTACTATTTTATACTATTTCTATCTAAAAATTAACAATTTTGATTTAAATTACATTTCTAAATTTGAAATTTATTTTAATATTGATCGTTGCACGCGGCATTGCACGTGTAGTGAAAATTTTAAAAAATCTTAAATAAATCGTAAATGCTTACGTTAAAAAATAAGCATATGTAACAAAATTTCAGCTTTCTAGACTTAATAGTTTTGGTATGTTGATAGTCAGCTAGAATAAACGGCTTTAAACTATGGAGATATTAGAAGTAAATTATCTAAACGCTGACAATATCGGATGTACAACAAGTGAAATAACGTCATAATTAAGATTTTTGTCGTCAATAAGTGATTAGTCAACAAACTACGTCGTGATATCTATGTTACCATTATTACAATACACTTAGGTAAACATTCTTATAAGTAGCTAAAATAGAATAATTTAGAAACTATGCCGAAACAGATGTGTACCTATTCCAATTTAAAATAATTATAGATATGTACAGTTTAAAATAGTCTTAAACAAATAACTCATAGACATTGTGATGGAAAATTTATATGCTCAGTAGCTGTATCAAATAAGAAACTGATCGACTAATATAACAATGTGTAGCAATTATTGAGTCCCGATAGTACATATAAAAAGTGGGACGCGGCTCTTATGTATTTCTTATCGATATTTTTGTAGCAATACCTACTTATAATTTGTTTTCATACTTTGTGTATTTAGTAAACAACTTTGTATAGATAGACATACATTATCACAAACATATTTTTAGTCTATCTTCTCTAACCAAACCATAGACGTACTATGTACTTTATATTATAATCTAAGGTCCAAACAACTAAGTACTATTATAAGAATAAATTATCGGGGATACTACAATAGTATCAACTACATTCTACTAGTTGCATTTCCCTTGTAAATAATATCAAACTGAACTTATCATTGTTTTACATTATGTAATATAGTTGATCGTATAATCTCCTTATATCTCTGGATTTCAAACTTTTTTGAAGTCGGTATGATTGCCATGTAGTCCCGGCATAGAATAGGCCACCCCTTCCTTTCCCGTGGGTGTCATAAGAGGCGACTAAGGAAGGGCGAGTGATAGGCAGCAGTGTACCTCTTACAACATATTTAAAGTGTAACTGCAGTTGCCAATTCCCCTGCCAAGCGTGGCAACTATTGGCAAACCCCTCAAGAGGTGGTTTATATTCAACAGTAGACATTTAAAGGCTGATATGATGATGATGGTGTTATTTATCGTTAAGTTCACTGAATGTTATATCAGAAATGTATTTAAATTGAAATTTTCATTTTAGTACTAACCTTTCTTGTAAAATTGATGCTAATTCTTTGCTGAAGTCGCTGCCTTGTTTTACATAGCGCCTCAACTCATCAAAGCCGTTTTGCGCCTGGAAATAAAAATAAAACGTAAAATATTGAAACATTAAAGTATAACATAGGTTAAAAAATTTAACATATCACAGTTTAATGTGCCGAAATAAGAACCCGTATTTCTAAGCTACCACGGCTAATTCAATACTATCAAAAGGTAAATTTTCAATTTCTTTTAAAACGTACCTAATTAATTATTATAATAGAATATATAAAATTTTATATGTTTACACGTATTAAATATATAATACAAACATTGTGGGCATGTAATTGACATTATTACAATAATAACAATATTTATTTATTGATCTCACAACTTTTTTGAGTACAATGAAACTTAAAATAATACCATAGATACATCAAAGTTGTAGAGAACTGGTGCCTAAACTGGGTATCCGATGAACTGTATATCTTCCTAGTACATCGATATATTATTCGGTGTTTCTAGATCACTTTCGTTATGCTGCCTCTGTTGTGGTTTATGTGACCGACGGTGGCTTTTCGAAGTACGAAACAATTAAAATTATTTGGTACATCCAAATTTTTTTTTATACGACTTAAAATGGCAAACTAGCTGACGGCGCACCTGGATATGAATATTCAAAGTTTACAGATTAATAAATTCGATTTTGCGGTTTCTAGATCGCAGTCAAACGTTGTTTAACTGAGCTTCTATGCAGCTTCTATGACGTTCATATTTACTAATATTATAAATGTGAAAGTGTATTTGTTGTAACGAAATTTGGTATATACATGCTATACGGGATGGAGAAGGATTTAGGCTACATTTTATCCCGATAAATGAGCATATTCTGGTGACGCAAAAGTCGTGGATAAAAGCTACCAGCTTTATATATTATATCTCTCCTCACTGAACTCAGTAAAAAAAAAAGAACTAAGCATCGGTAATGTGGACACCGACCGGGGGCGACTATAGTCGTCGACCCGTCTTACTAACTTTCCACGCGAGAAACGTACAATTTTATATACTAATAAAACACTAACATTTAATTACGTCTTCAGTGCTCAATAAATATGTTTTTTATTCAAAGCCACGCATTGACTGATTAAAAGTTATTTTACGTAGGTAATTTCGATAATTTAATTTGTTAATCCGAATGTCATGGTCGTAATAAATGTAAAACAGTAATAAATGCAACTGGTTGTAAATTGCGAATGTTATTTCCAGGTTTTATTCATATCTCTTTTTTTTATAACTTGAAATGGCGAAACAGCTGACGGCCCACTTGATGGATGTGATCATGTCCATACATGGATAACAATATGGATATCCTGAAGATACTATGAAAGTTTCATATATTTACTTCTATACCGAGTAATTTCACTACCATATCTCTTCATCCCAAGACAGCCATGTAAGTATAGTTTATCCATGACAATATAAAAAAATCTAAAATTAGACAGTTTCTAACGATATAAATTTATACTGTATGTACCAGATTGTACCGGGAATTCTGTGAATGTCTCACGTGTGACAGTATTGTTTATATATAGGTATAACATAAAACATTCTGAGTTGTGAAACGAAACGGAGAACTAGTTATTTTTATAAGAATTGCATGTATTTATAATTCTACATGAATCATTATTATATTTTATGAAAATAATATACAGTTTTGGCCGCCAGTTTGGTAATATTTAAATCGATGATGCAATTATAAAATTGGTTAATTTCAAGATTTCGATATACAAGTAGTATATAATAATAGTAATAAGTCACATTTTAAAATATCTTTGCGTAGATTAAAAATGGTCCCACAGTATATAAATAATAATACTACAGTAATAGTACTTTATTAATGATAACACTCTGTTAAATCTTTTTGTTCGTTGTTCAAGCTTTAATCCAGCCAGGTATAGCATCTCTATTATTATTCAACTTTGCTCGATCATGTGCATTTTCCTCAAACAAAGCATTGGCTTGCATGTCTTCGATTATAAAATCTACCCAGCGTTTTCTGGAATGATCATGAAATCTAATATCATCTTTTTGTAACATAGATTTAAGCACTTGTGAACCAAGTAATCTAGTACTTTGTTAAATATCAGTGGCAAATTTAAGAACAATTTTTTTCTTTATCTTTTAATTATCATTTTCAACCTTAAATAAATATTTCCTTATTACCATTTATTTAGAAATAGAAATGTAACAGTCCTACACCTGTAATAATAGACAGCTGTACTTATTTCATACCTTTATTTGATAAGCTATCTAAACACTGTCTTATAACTTTGCCCCAATAAACTGCACAATACTGTGTAGGCTACGCAGATCTGATTTACACAATATGACAGTGATAACAAGTAAGGCGGCTTTCGAGTCATAAACTGTCCACTAACTTTTCGCTTTCATTGACCTTAAATTAGATTTTATCAATACCTATACATAAATACGCCGCTCGATAAGTTTGCAATTATAGTATTTGTTACTATAAAATATACAGTTTGATTTTATTTCAACAAATTTAAGTGATTAATGTTGTATTTCTAGAACCAATCAAGAGAAATCTATTGTTTGCTGACGTCGTATTTACCAGCGCTTGAGTGACACAATTACTTTATTTAATGTAGCATTGTTTTTTTTTTCAATCATTCTCACTATGATCTTGTACAACAATCAGTTATCGAATGAAAGTTATATGAAATATTTATACCCTTAATAAGTGGCTGAGGAACACATCTATTATTAAATCGATCTAATTTAAATAGCAATACTAAAAACCTGTTTAAAATGCTGTTTAGATTAATAAAGGTAACTTGAAATGAACACAGTAGTTCACTAAAATAATTAAGTGAGTGATATAACATTAGAGTAGAGACCTTTGCTCAAATGTGGTAACTTATTTACATTAAAGAACCCGGTTTCCGCTATAATAAATACTTACAGCCAGTCATATAATAACGTGGTCTCAATCAGGCACCCTTGATTTTAAATAGAAAAAAAATGTTTTAAATCTATGCAAACTATTTAATTTCAAAATGTTATATTTACACTTTATGATACAGATTTTTTGGACAGAGACATATTATAAGTTGTACTTACAGTACAATATTATGAATTTTATTTTATTATATTGATGTTTCCAGATGGTTGCATAAATTCATTTTCTAGTATTGTCGATTTCTCTCCACTTCTTGTTTCCTCAAACCAGATCATAGCCTAGATCATATTATAGTATTTTCTTCCATAAAAAAAAACATATCTACTAGGGTAGTCAGGGGTATTGTTTATTGATTATTAATATTATGGTAAAATATTTAGTCTAAAAATACTTTTGATACATTTAAATCTTGGGTATTTTTCGCACGCTAGCTTTACCTATCCTTTTTATACGCTTTAATAGCTCAATAAAACTAATTAGATAGAAGTGTAAACATAAAACGAAGCTACCACTATCACCTTCACATATATAGTATCGACAGTATTTTAATTATAAACTAGTAAATAATCATTTGAACACTTCGATCACGCAGAAGGAAATCGCAAACGTTTCATTATATCAATTAAGCTCGGATCTTACAGGAAACGGTCTTGGTTTGATTAACGTTTGATTAGATATGAACCTATTAATTTGACGCTAATGATTTCCAAGTTCATGGTACAAATACAAAATTGTGATTTGATTATGAAGGGCACGATCGAAACAGTCAGATGCTAAATTATGGTAGGATATTTTATGATCAATACACCTATTTATTAAATACAGATTACAAAATTCAGGTAAGAGTCTGAGGAATATCTAATTTTAAATTTGGAAGAAAATCAGCAATTAAAGGCTAATAATCCATGAAGTTAACTAATTAGTTAAGAAGAAGCGATATGATTCATTTGGTGACATAAGTTGTTACGGAGTAATAAATTGGAAAATAAGCTATTATTATTGCATTGCTTTAACTTTATTTGTACTATTACTGTTCATTTGTTCGCTACGCACAAAATGTTAAATTATAATCATTATATTTCCAATTGTTAATGTTAATGATAATAATAATTAATATGTCTATGTCTAAAGGCGACGGTTACCACTTTCCATCAGGTGGGCCGTCAGCTTGTTTGCCGTTCTAAGTTGCATAAAAATATGTGGATATTTTGTTCTTACACATATAATATAATTATCAGGTAATTATTGAAGAAAATAAATACACATTAATTGTATATTTAATTTATTAAACCAAATAATGTTCTTATTAAATTTCTATGTTAAATAGTTTAAAAGGTATAGTATCTATAAATATATGTACCTGATCTATTTAAAAGTACATCGACATCCAAAAGGTACGATAAAAGATTTGATTTAAAATTGATTGAATGTCTATAAATACTGTTATGGTTTCCTAATTAACATGAAATTAACGCCCGTTGTAAAACGGAGTACGTGTCTACATCCAGCGGCACAGCGGCCAGCCAACGGTGTAACATCACGTATCATTTCCATTGCAAAAGGCTGCCACGCTTGACTGCTTCATTGAAATACTTGATCATCCGTTAGTCTTTTGTTTAGTTATTCTATTGCCCACTTAAGAATTGCCTCAATATTCTAAATATGAATTTTATCGTAAGTCCGCTAACAGATGGCAAGATTGGCGAACTGCAATGCCAATTTATAAACATTATATGTCATTGGTCGGTTAACAGTTCAATCAATCAATCAATCTAATAGGTCTAATATATTATTGGAATAAATTTAACATTCATCTTAGTTTTTCTTGAATGTAGATTGCTAGATTATTACGAATCTGAGTTATAAGAGGACACATAAAGCAATAATAAATCGGATATGACAAACCAAAAATTAGAGTTGCTAATTGTGCTGTTCTCTTGGTATATTGTCGCAGTAACCGTATTTCGAAATGTCATTTGAACTTGTTTGGACGATTCGTTTATTTCGAATACGTCAGATCACCTTTATATAGACTGAAATTAGGGTAAGTTTGGCTGGAACTACGGGTGGTTTTTATTCTTTTAACATTATTAGATATATAAATAATTGATCGT